CTACTTTGAGTTAGTAACTTTGAATTATGTATTCTGAAAATCAGGGTCAGGGTAAATTCTGGGTTAATTCAGGAAATAAACTGAAATTCCAATTAAATAATTGAAAAAATTATTTCTTTTCAATGACCTTCCAATGAACTAAGAAGTAGAAGCAATTTAATTCAAATTGACCTATTGACCCCAACCCTGCTAGAAATGTAGCCTGCTGCACGCCTTTACCTTTTCTCCTCTGGTGTGTCTTCAATTGACCTCATAGTGTTGACGATCACCCCTCTCAAGAGTTGATGCCCAGCCAATACCTCAATCCGGAGTCTCTGTTTAATAACAAGGTATATCAATTAACCAAATTCATTGAATACAGCCCTTTTTACATCATCAGCTATCACAAAGTGCTTTACTTATACCTGGCCTGAACCCCAAACCAAGCAATGCAGAAGCAGAAGCACAGTGGCCAGGAAAAACTACCTAGAAGGAACTAACCTAGGAAGAAACCTAGAGAGGAACCAGGTTCAGAGGGGTGGCCAGTCCTCTTCTGACTGTAGAATACATTGAATATCGGTGCAGTGTACAGTACAAATTGAATTCAACAGGTTTGAAAAGTGGCTTAGGACTGATAATGGACTTAGCAGACAGGGAAAATCAACATGAATGTGTGAATAAGTGTATAATATGCCAGAGTTAAATCAAGACTATCGAGCATTGCCATGAGCAACCCTACTGTTTTTTTTTTGTTGTTCGTATTTTTGTCCTCAATTTCATTATATCCAATTACGATCTTGTCTCATTGCTGCAACTCCCCAACGGGCTTGGGAAAAGTGAAGGTCGAGTCATGCGTACTCTGAAACATGACCCGCTAAACCGCGCTCCTTAACACCTGCCCGCTTAACCCAGAAGCCAGCCGCACCAATGTGTTGGAGGAAACACCGCTCAACTGACGACCAAAGTCAGCCTGCAGGCACCCGGCCCACCACAAGGAGTCGCTAGAGCGCGAGTTAGATATTGCAGATGCCCTATCTGTGCCCATACTGTCCCATTTCTGCTTCCTAAAATGTACTAGTTAATTTTAATTTGATTGCCTCTCACTATCTGTACAATAAAATCGGAAAAATATACACACATACAGTGAGGGAAAAAGGTATTTGATCCCCTGCTGATTTTGTACGTTTGCCCACTGACAAAGACATGATCAGTCTATAATTTTAATGGTAGGTTTATTTGAACAGTGAGAGACAGAATAACAACAAAAAAATCCAGGAAAACGCATGTCAAAAATGTTATAAATTGATTTGCATTTTAATGAGGGAAATAAGTATTTGACACCTCTGCAAAACATGACTTAGTACTTGGTGGCAAAACCCTTGCTGGCAATCACAGAGGTCAGACGTTTCTTGTAGTTGGCCACCAGGTTTGCACACATCTCAGGAGGGATTTTGTTCCACTCCTCTTTGCAGATCTTCTCCAAGTCATTAAGGTTTCGAGGCTGACGTTTGGCAACTCGAACCTTCAGCTCCCTCCACAGATTTTCTATGGGATTAAGGTATGGAGACTGGCTAGGCCACTCCAGGACCTTAATGTGCTTCTTCTTGAGCAACTCCTTTGTTGCCTTGGCTGTGTGTTTTGGGTCATTGTCATGCTGGAATACCCATCCACGACCCATTTTCAATGCCCTGGCTGAGGGAAGGAGGTTTTCACCCAAGATTTGATGGTACATGGCCCCGTCCATCGTCCCTTTGATGTGGTGAAGTTGTCCTGTCCCCTTAGCAGAAAAACACCCCCAAAGCATAATGTTTCCACCTCCATGTTTGACGGTGGGGATGGTGTTCTTGGGGTCATAGGCAGCATTCCTCCTCCTCCAAACACGACGAGTTGAGTTGATGCCAGAGAGCTCGATTTTGGTCTCATCTGACCACAACACTTTCACCCAGTTCTCCTCTGAATCATTCAGATGTTCATTGGCAAACTTCAGACGGCCCTGTATATGTGCTTTCTTGAGCAGGGGGACCTTGCGGGCGCTGCAGGATTTCAGTCCTTCACGGCGTAGTGTGTTACCAATTGTTTTCTTGGTTACTATGGTCCCAGCTGCCTTGAGATCATTGACAAGATCCTCCCGTGTAGTTCTGGGCTGATTCCTCACCGTTCTCATGATCATTGCAACTCCACGAGGTGAGAACTTGCATGGAGCCCCAGGCCGAGGGAGATTTACATTTCTTTTGTGTTTCTTCCATTTGCGAATAATCGCACCAACTGTTGTCACCTTCTCACCAAGCTGCTTGGCAATGGTCTTGTAGCCCATTCCAGCCTTGTGTAGGTCTACAATCTTGTCCCTGACATCCTTGGAGAGCTCTTTGGTCTTGGCCATGGTGGAGAGTTTGGAATCTGACTGATTGATTGCTTTTGTGGACAGGTGTCTTTTATACAGGTAACAAGCTGAGATTAAGAGCACTCCCTTCAAGAGTGTGCTCCTAATCTCAGCTCGTTACCTGTATAAAAGACACCTGGGAGCCAGAAATCTTTCTGATTGAGAGGGGGTCAAATACTTATTTCCCTCATTAAAATGCAAATCAATTTATAACATTTTTGACATGCGTTTTTCTAGATTTTTTTGTTGTTATTCTGTCTCTCACTATTCAAATAAACCTACCATTAAAATTATAGACTGATAATTTCTATGTCAGTGGGCAAACGTTCAAAATCAGCAGGGGATCAAATTCTTTTTTCCCTCACTATATATATATATACATACATACACTACCGTTCAAAAGTTTGGGGTCACTTAGAAATGTCCTTGTTTTCGAAAGAAAAGCAATTTTTTTGTCCATTAAAATAACATCAAATTGATCAGAAATACAGTGTAGACATTGTTAATGTTGTAAATGGCTATTGTAGCACTTGTTGGCTGCTTTTCCTTCACTCTGCCGTCCGACTCATCCCAAATCATCTCAATTGGGTTGAGGTCGGGGGATTGTAGAGGCCAGGTCATCTGATGCAACACTTTTTTGGTTACTACATGATTCCATGTGTGTTATTTCATAGTTTTGATGACTTCTCTATTAACCTACAATGAAGAAAATAGTAAAAAAATTAAGAAAAACCCTTGAATGAGTAGGTGTGTCCAAACCTTAGACTGGTACTGTATATACACCTCTGATCTATATAAGAGACCACTGCAAAATTATCAGTTTCTCTGGTTTTACTATTTATAGGTATGTGTTTGGGTAAAAATAACATTTTTGTTATATTCTATAAACTACTGACAACATTTCTCCCAAATTCCAAATAAAAATATTGTAATTTAGAGCATTTATTTGCAGAAAATGACAACTGGTCAAAATAACAAAAAATATGCAGCGTTATGCCACTCCTGGCGCAAAAATTCAAGCAGCTCGGCTTTGTTTGATGGCTTGTGGCAATCCATCTTCCTCTTGATCACATTCCAGAAGTTTTCAATGGGGTTCAGGTCTAGAGATTGGGCTGGCCATGACAGGGTCTTGATCTGGTGGTCCTCCATCCACACCTTGATTGACCTGGCTGTGTGGCATGGTGCATTGTCCTGCTGGAAAAACCAATCCTCAGAGTTGGGGAACAATGTCAGAGCAAAAGGAAGCAAGTTTTCTTCCAGGACAACCTTGTATGTGGCTTGATTCATGCGTCCTTCACAAAGACAAATCTGGCCGATTCCAGCCTTGCTGAAGCACCCCCAGATCATCACCGATCCTCCACCAAATTTCACAGTGGGTGCGAGACACTGTGGCTTGTAGGCCTCTCCAGGTCTCTGTCTAACCATTAGACGACCAGGTGTTGGGCAAAGCTGAAAATTGGACTCATCAGAGAAGATGACCTTACTCCAGTCCTCTACGGTCCAATCCTTATGGTATTTTGCAAACCTCAGCCTGGCTCTTCTTTGCTTCTCATTGATTAAGGGCTTTTTTCTAGCTTTGCACGACTTCAGCCCTGCCCCTAGGAGCCTGTTTCGAACCGTCCTCGCCGTGCACTTCACTCCAGCTGCCGTTTGCCATCCTTTTTGTAGGTCACTTGATGTCATCCTACGGTTGTTGAGTGACATTCGAATGAGTTGGCGGTCATCCCGGTCAGTAGAGAGTCGTTTTCGCCCTCTGCCAGTCTGTAGCTTTGTTGTCCCCAATTTCTGCTGCTTGACCTTGTTCTTATGAACCGCAGTCTTTGAAATGTTAAGGATGGAAGCAACCTGATGCTCACTGTATCCCTCTGCCAGTAAAGCCAGAATTGAACCCTTATTTTCCTCACTCAAAACTTTCCTTTTCAACTCTTTTGGCATTCAGTAGAATGAGGTGTGCCTGTGTTGGAATTCAACAGACACTGGAATGGAATGGCTGTCATACATGTAGAGATGCTGATTTAAGAACAATTTCCAGTGGTCTCTTAATTTTTTCCACAGCTGTATATATACATATATATCTTATTCAGGACCTCTAGGAGATGGGTGGTGATACAATGGCAGCCATAATGATTGAGATTGATCATCTGATGATTAAAACAATGGTAGAAGATTTTATTTTTAAAAAGGGTAATGAACCTGATGGATTGCCAGTTGCTCATGGAGGCCGGAGTAGTTTCCTGAAACGTCTGGGGCCAGGTCCTCCTCCATCTTCTCCTGGAAGCCCTCCCAGCTATCCCACTTCTGTTGAAGGCTCTGGGAGTGCTGGGCCTCAGCCTGCAATTTTCTGTTGAGCACACACACGTGTAAGTACACACACACACACACACACACACACACACAAACGCACACACAGACCAAATCACACACAATACAGGTCCAATTATTCAGTAAAATCCGTTACGTCATCTGTAAAAAAAATCTGTTACTCTTGGGAATTAATGGTCATTTTACCACCCCCCCCCCCCCCCAAAAGAAAGCTGATATTGGGTCGGTTTTGCACTTTCCACGCTAATGGTTAAGGTAAGGATTGGGGGAGAGGAGACTGATCCTAGAGTAGATCTGTAATTAATGGGCCCACTTACCTGTTCATGTGGGAGGTGCAGGATAGGGCCTGCCCACACTTCCTGGTCAGGGACTTCAGTCTATCTGCTTCCAGGCCATCCAGGGTCACAGAGAGGCTTGCCTCAGTGAGGTCATCCAGGGCAGGACGCAGGTGGCTCAGCTCCATCAGAGCAGTCTGAAGGAGCAATGAAGGGACATAGGTCAACTAAATACGAGTGTGTGTGTGTCCGTGTGTGTGTGTTGTCTGACTTACCTTCACACTGTCCATGCTGCAGACATCAGAAGTGAGCATGTGATGCAAAGCCTCGATCTGCAGCTCCAGTGAATCCATACTACTGTTGATTGTGTGGCGTTGATCCAAATCCTCCTGTAAGCAAACACACAAACACATACAGTGAAGTCCAAAATTATTGCTCACCCTTGATGAGCAAAAAACACTATAAAAGAAACAATACAAATACTGAGCTATATTGTATGCAATAAATTTTTTGGGCTAACCCTAACCTAGAGATTATTATAAATAAACTCTGCATTAACATTCTACTTTTTTAAGTTAATCTCATTTTAAGGAACTGTATTGTGGCTTCCATGGCTTCCTGTTTCACTGGGGTATACAAATTTGGTAACACGCATGTAAAATCCCTTCGTCATCCATCACCATGGGGAAAGGCAAAGAACTCACAAATGAAAAGAGACAAATGATTGTTGACTTTCATAAATCAGGCAATGGGTACAAAAAAACAACTGAAAAACAAAATATACCACTTACCACAATTAGAGCAACAATTAAGACGTTTAAAACCACTGGTAAACATGCCTAGTAGAGGATGCATGTACAGTGCTTTCGGAAAGTATTCAGACCCCTGACATTTTCCACATTTTGTCACGTTACAGCCTTATTCTCCCGAGTGGCACAGCGGTCTAAGGCACTGCATCTCAGTGCTTGAGGCGTCACTACAGACTACCTGGTTCGATTCCAGGCTGTATCACAACCGACCGTGATTGGGAGTCCCATAGGGCGGCGAACAATTGGCCCAGCGTCGGCCGGGTTTGGCCGGTGTAGGCCGTCATTGTAAATAAGAATTTGTTCTTAACTGACTTGTCTAGTTAAATAAAGGTAAAATAAATCAAATCAATTCTAAAATTGATTTTTTTATTTAAATGTTTTTAATCTACACACAATACCCCATTATGACAAAGCGAAAACAGGCTTTTAGAAATTTTTGCACATATATTACAAATAAAAAACAGAAATACCTTATTTACATAAGTATTCAGACCCTTGCTATGAGACTCGAAATTGAGCTCAGGTGCATCCTGTTTCCATTGATCATCCTTGAGATGTTTCTGCAACTTGATTGGAGTCCACCTGTGGTAAATTCAATTCATTGGACATGATTTGGAAAGGCACACACCTGTCTATATAAGGTCAAACAGTTGACCGTGCATGTCAGAGCAAAAACCAAGCCATGAGGTCGAAGGAATTGTCCGTAGAGTTCCGGGACAGGATTGTGTTGAGGCACAGATATGGGGAAGGGTACCAAAACATTTCTGCAGCATTGAAGGTCCCCAAAAACACAGCGGACCACCAAGACTCTTCCTAGAGCTGGCCGCCCGGCCAAACTGAGCAATCGGGGGTGAAGGGCCTTGGTCAGGGAGGTGACCAAGAACATGATGGTCACTCTGACAGAGCTCCAGAGTTCCTCTGTGGAGATGGGACAACCTTCCAGAAGAACAACCATCTCTGCAGCACTCCACCAATCAGGCCTTTATGGTACAGTGGCCAGACGGAAGCCACTCCTCAGTAAAAGGCACATAACAGCCCGCTTGGAGTTTGCCAAAAGGCACCTAAAGGACTCTCAGACCATGAGAAACAAGATTCTCCGTTCTGATGAAACCAAGATTGAACTCTTTGGCCTGAATGCCAAGCGTCACATCTGGAGGAAACCTGGCACCATCCCTACAGTGAAGCATGGTGGTGGCAGCATTATGCTGTGGGGATGTTTTTCAGTGGCAGGGACTGGGAGACTAGTCAGGATCGAGGAAAATATGAACGGAGCAAAGTACAGAGAGATCCTTGATGAAAACCTGCACCAGAGCGCTCAGGACCTCAGACTGGGGCGAAGGTTCACCGTCCAACAGGACAACGACCCTAAGCACACAGCCAAGGCTTCGGGACAAGTCTCTGAATGTCCTTGAGTGGCCCAGCCAGACTTGAGTGGCCCAGCCACGGACTTGAACCCGATCGAACATCTCTGGAGAGACCTGAAAATAGCTGTGCAGCGACGCTCCCCATCCAACCTGACAGAGCTCGAGAGGATCTGCAGAGAAGAATGGGAGAAACTCCACAAATACAGGTGTGCCGAGCTTGTAGCATCATACCCAAAAAGACTTGAGGCTGTAATCGCTGCCAAAAGTGCTTCAACAAAGTACTGCGTAAAGGGTCTGAATACTTAGGTAAATGTGATATTTCAGTTGTTATTTTTAATAAATTTGCAAAAAATCTAAAAACCTATTTTTGCTTTGTCATTATGGGTTATTGTGTGTAGATTGATGAGGGGGGGGGAAAACTATTTAATCAATTTTAGAATAAGGCTGTAACAGAACAAAATGTCAAAAAAGTCAAGGGGTGTGAATATTTTTCGAAATGCACACTGTATATCTTGTCCCCACACACAGCGAGGAAGATATTTCGGGAGGCAAAGAAGTCCAAGGGCCATAGTTGGAGAATTACAGCATCTTGAGGTCACCAAGCCTCCAAATCTACTATTAGAAGCCACCTTCATGCCAACAGGCTATTTGGAAGGGCTGCCATATAAAATATAAATGCCTGGAGTTTGCTAAACGGCATTGGTACTTGAATTGGAATCGGCTGCTATGGTCAGATGAGACGAAAATAGAGCTCTTTGCCATGTACACCAGTGGTGGGTTTGGCCTCGAAAGAAGGATGCAAATGCAGAAAATAACATAATTTCTACTGTAAAATATGGTGGTGGATCTTTGATGTTATGGGTCTGTTTTGCTTCCACTGGTCCTGGGGCCCTTGTTAAGGTCAACAACATCATGAACTCTACCAAGTACCAGGACATTTTAGCCAAAAGCCTGGTTGCCTCTGCCAGGAGTCTGAAATGTGGTGCAAGTTAATCTTCCAACAAGACAATGACCCCAAGCACACATTAAAATCTACAAAGAAATTGTTAATTGACCACAAAATCAACATTTTGCAGTCTCCGTACTTGAACCCCATTGGAAGCCTTTGGTTTGTATTGAAGAGAGCAGCCAATAAGCACAGACTGAAGGATATCAAGGATCTGCAATGATTCTATTTGGAGGAATGGTAAAAGATCCCTCCCAATATGTTCTCCAATCTCATAAAGCATTATAGAAAAATGCTAAGTGCTGTTATCCTCACAAGGGGAGGGTGCACAAAGTATTAAAACAGGGGTGCCAATCATTTTGACGCCTATCTTTTTAAAAATTATTATTATTACTTGTTTAAACTAAATATTTTTCTCTGAGCAATTGTATAAGTATAAAATAATTTAATTTCCCAATTTTGTTTAGCATACAATATATTTTTGGAGCATACTTTCATAAAATGTCCATGCATTCATTTTGTTGTATAAATCCATCAATGTTGGTGTTAACGTTTTTCCACAATATTTACGATCAAATCTGTTCATTGTATTTTATTTATTTACATTTTCTACATGGCTTTCCCCTCTCACCTGAAGCCGTGCACGTTTCCCTGACAACGCCTGGCCCAGCAGCACCAGGTCACGTGACAACAACCTGGCCTCTGATTGGATGATGGCAGCGACGAGTGGCTCCGTCTGTCCAATCAGAGGCTTGGAGGCTTCCAGAACTTTGCCCAGACTGCCTTGAACATCCTCAAAGCCAACCTGCTGATGCTGGAAAACACACACACATACACACACACACACACACACCAGTGAGATGTTACTGCCATAAATGTGTGAGACATTGCCAATTCACTCCTGACGGACACCTAGGGGCTGCACATTTTTGTTCTAGCCTAACACTAGCACGACTAACCTGCCACTAGTCAACTCATCACCAAGCCCTTGATTAGTTGGTTCATGTTTGTTATTGCTTTAAATCACTGGCCATCGCTACTACAGTATTTGCTTTGTTTTTCTCTGCATATTTTGGTGTTTTCTGGGTCTCAAATTCAGAGGGAAACATCCTCCTTGTCTTGTATTCACAGAGCAAAACAGCTGAGTATTTTAATTAAAAGTGGTGAGTGGTTTTTGAAGTAGGCATGGATGACGAATCGGGTTGTGCTCTAATGGAGCGAGTGGAAGATAGGTTGCTCACTGCTTACAAAATAATATCGAGCTCATTTCTTTTTCTTGGTCTGCAGGGTCAGGTATGGGGTAGAGGAGAACACACATACATGCACGCACACACACATACACACACAGCACAGTGTGGCCTATTGTTGCTATTGGGTGATTCCACGCCAACGTAGGCTGAAAATACTTTTGGTATCTCCGATTGATTTGGCAATTCTGATATAATAACTTAATTGGGAGGAAGGATGTTTGACATGCTTTTTACATTTGTTTCACAAACCATTTTTGAGAAAATCATGATGAAAGTGGCCATTTAGGCAATTTTTAGACCAATACATGCCTCCTGTAAGACCCTATGATCTGTGTACCTTACATGACACAGAACACATATTGGTGTCATTATACAGTTGAAGTCGGAAGTTTACATACACCTTAGCCAAATACATTTAAACTCAGTTTTTCACAATTCTTGACATTTAATCCTAGTAACAATTCCCTGTCTTAGGTCAGTTAGGCTCACCACTTTATTTTAAGAATGTGAAATGTCAGAATAATAGTAGAGAGAATTATTTATTTCAGCTTTTATTTATTTCATCACATTCCCAGTGGGTCAGAAGTTTACATACACTCAATTCGTATTTGGTAGCATTGCCTTTAAATTGTTTAACTTGGGTCAAACGTTTTGGGTAGCCTTCCACAAGCTTCCCACAATAAGTTGGGGGAATTTTGGCCCATTCCTCCTGACAGAGCTGTTGTAACTGAGTCAGGTTTGTAGGCCTCCTTGCTCGCACACGCTTTTTCAGTTCTGCCCACACATTTTCTATAGGATTGAGGTCAGGTCTTTGTGATGGCCACTCCAATACCTTGACTTTGTTGTCCTTAAGCCATTTTGCCACAACTTTGGAAGTATGCTTGGGGTCATTGTCCATTTGGAAGACCCATTTGCGACCAAGCTTTAACTTCCTGACTGATGTCTTGAGATGTTGCTTCAATATATCCACATAATTTTCCTTCCTCATGATGCCATCTATTTTGTGAAGTGCACCAGTCCCTCCTGCAGCAAAGCACCCCCAGAGCATGGTGCTTCACGGTTGGGATGGTGTTCTTCGGCTTGCAAGTGACCCCCTTTTTCCTCCAAACATAACAATGGTCATTATGGCCAAACAGTTCTATTTTTGTTTCATCAGACCAGAGGACATTTCTCAAAAAATCACGATCTTTGTCCCCATGTGCAGTTGCAAACCGTAGTCTGGCTTTTTTATGGCGATTTTGGAGCAGTGGCTTCTTCCTTGCTGAGCGGCCTTTCAGGTTATGTCGATATAGGACTTGTTTTACTGTGGATATAGATACTTTTGTACCTGTTTCCTCCAGCATCTTCACAAGGTCCTTTGCTGTTGTTCTGGGATTGATTTGCACTTTTCGCACCAAAGTACGTTCATCTCTAGGAGACAGAACGCGTCTCCTTCCTGAGCGGTATGACGGCTGCGTGGTCCCATGGTGTTTATACTTGCGTACTATTGTTTGTACAGATGAACGTGGTACCTTCAGGCATTTGGAAATTGCTCCCAAGGATGAACCAGACTTGTGGAGGTCTACAATTTGTTTTCTGAGGTCCTGGCGGATTTCTTTAGATTTTCCCATGATGTCAAGCAAAAAGGCACTGAGTTTAAAGGTAGGCCTTGAAATACATTCACAGGTACACCTCCAATTGACTCAAATGATGTCAATTAGCCTATCAGAAGCTTCTAAAGCCATGACATCATTTTCTGGAATTTTCCAAGCTGTTTAAAGGCACAGTCAACTTAGTGTATGTAAACTTCTGACCCACTGAAATTGTGATACAGTGAATTATAAGTGAAATAATCTGTCTGTAAACAATTGTTGGAAAAATTACTTGTGTCATGCACAAAGTAGATGTCCTAACCGACTTGCCAAAACTATAGTTTGTTAACAAGAAACTCCAACCTAAGTGTATGTAAACTTCCGACTTCAACTGTATACATGTTCAATGACTTCTCAATACACAGTGGTTGCCAATATGAGTAATAATATTACAGTTACTGATCAGAGGTCGTTGTTACTTCGCAATTTTTTAAATATTTCTCTTCCTATTACAGTTACTGATCCCCAAAAATATATGTGATGATTATTATTCCCTCTCTGTTGGCTCAATTTATATATTTTTTAAACGCCCCGGATTCTATATAATTGTTTTCGTCCTGAGTCTGACATCTTCTCACCAAGTTCCTGTTTTACGCACGCACCCACTACTACTAACTGCTTTTAGTGAGGGAGATGAAAAATGGCAGAAGTGTTTAAAACATTGCATTTCTCCATCACAGAGTTGAGCACTCTCTGCAACTGGGGGTAAAATGCATCACTGACAAAGAGTATAAATTCCTGAGGGAATATTGCACAGTCATGAAGCCATTCACTGTGTCATTGGACATCTTGCAAGGGGAGGAGAACTGTTTCTACGAAAATCTACTACCAACCCTGGATATGTTGATGTCCAAGACACTGGCACTGAAGGACTGTCTCTCTCAGATGACAGCTGGCCTGCCCGATGCCATAGTCCAGGTAGGCTTAGATAGTGTTCATATCCTTGCCCTCAATGCCCTGTGAGTTGATATCTGCAGGCCTATTGCACATAGCCTACTTGAATTTATTAATTTTTTTTAACTTGTGTTGGTGATATTATTTACATTTAGTGAGGACGCGCAATGTTTTGGGGTGTAACGCAAAAGTTATATAACGTGTAGGGTAACTAATTACTGTTCCCAGGCAGTAATGAGTAAAGTAATTAATTACTGTTGAAAGAAGTCACGAGTAAGGTAATATATTACTTTCAAGACCCCAACACTGGCCATATGGCAGCCTAAACAGAGAGCTCTGTAATAAAAAAAAAAACAACATATTATTGTGTTTTTAAGTGTTTTTTATGTATTTTTCATCTGCTTTTTGTTTCTGATCATTTACTGAGTCGTGATTTGACCCGTTTTTATTTAGAATTTATGTATCTGACGGTTTGAAAACTGAGACTGCTCTTCTCTGTGTCACGGAGGCTCTCCGCACTGCTAAAGCTAACTCTCTCTCCTCTGCTCTTGTCCTTCTAGACCTGTCTGCTGCCTTTGATACAGTGAACCATCAGATCCTCCTCTCCACCCTCTCCGAGCTGGGCATCTCCGGCGCGGCTCACTCCTGGATTGCGTCCTACCTGACCGGTCGCTCCTACCAAGTGGCGTGGCGAGAAGCTGTCTCCGCACCACGTGCTCTCACCACTGGTGTCCCCCAGGGCTCAGTTCTAGGCCCTCTCCTTTTCTCCCTATACACCAAGTCACTTGGCTCTGTCATATCCTCACATGGCCTCTCCTATCATTGCTACGCTGACGATACACAACTAATCTTCTCCTTTCCCCCTTCTGATAACCAGGTGGTGAATCGCATCTCTGCATGTCTGGCCGACATATCAGTATGGATGACGGATCACCACCTCAAGCTGAACCCTGGCAAGACGGAGCTGCTCTTCCTCCCGGGGAAGGACTGCCCGTTCCATGATCTCGCCATCACGGTTGACAACTCCGTTGTGTCCTCCTCCCAGAGTGCGAAGAGCCTTGGCGTGACCCTGGACAACACCCTGTCGTTCTCCGCCAACATCAAGGCGGTGACCCGATCCTGCAGGTTCATGCTCTACAACATTCGGAGAGTACGACCCTGCCTTACACAGGAAGCGGCACAGGTCCTATTCCAGGCACTTGTCATCTCCCGTCTGGATTACTGCAACTCGCTGTTGGCTGGGCTCCCTGCCTGTGCCATTAAACCCCTACAACTCATCCAGAATGCCGCAGCCCGTCTGGTGTTCAACCTTCCCAAGTTCTCTCACGTCACCCCCCTCCTCCGCACACTCCACTGGCTTCCAGTTGAAGCTCGCATCCGTTACAAGACCATGGTGCTTGCCTATGGAGCAGTGAGGGGAACGGCACCTCCGTACCTTCAGGCTCTGATCAGTCCCTACACCCAGGCGAGGGCATTGCGTTCATCCACCTCTGGCCTGCTGGCTCCCCTTCCTCTGCGGAAGCATAGTTCCCGCTCAGCCCAGTCAAAGCTGTTCGCTGCTCTGGCACCCCAATGGTGAACAAGCTCCCTCACGACCCAGGACAGCGGAGTCACTCACCACCTTCCGGAGACATTTGAAACCCCACCTCTTTAAGGAACACCTGGGATAGGATAAAGTAATCCTTCTACCCCAACCCCCCAAAAAAAAAAAAAAAAGTATAATTGTAAAGTGGTTATCCCACTGGCTATAGGGTGAATGCACCAATTTGTAGTCGCTCTGGATAAGAGCGTCTGCTAAATGACGTAAATGTGCCCTTGAGCAAGGCACTTAACCCTAATTGCTCCTGTAAGTCGCTCTGGATAAGAGCGTCTGCTAAATGACTAAAATGTAATGTAAATGTTGGCAGTTTGGCTTGGCTAGCTAAGTTAGCTAGCTAATGTTAGCTTTGAATGGGACTGTTGTCGTTTGAATGCCTCAACATCGCAAAAGCAAGTGACTCGGGATAGGAGAGGACTACATTACTGGAAATGACTTGCAGTAGTGAAGATTGTCAACTACTCTGTTACCAAATGTGAGGTGAGCCTGTGCGCCAGAGGCGATGTGCGCTGATGAGGCTACGGACCTGTCTGTCTCTGACTCCCTGGCTGTGACTGAGATGCTTCCTCCTCCTCCTGACCATCAATGTTTTCTCTACTCCGCTCACCATCCGAAGTGCTTGAACTGAACAACTCTCCATGACCCATCAGATTTACGCATTTTCTAGATTAGCACAGACATTTATTGACATTTACTTTGTTTTTTGTTGAATTTCTTGATGTATACTCAATTCAGCTTTTAGCTGCCATGTATACTGAAATAGAACTCAACTCAATAAACTGAAAAGGAGAAGCTATATACACTGAGTGTCCAAATATTAGGAACACCTTCCTAATATTGAGTTGAACCCTCTTTTGCCCTCAGAACAGCCTCAATTCGTCGGGGCATGGACTCTACAAGGTGTCTAAAGTGTTCCACAGGGATGCTGGCCCATGTTGACTCCAATGCTTTCCACAATTGTGTCATGTTGGCTGGATGTCCTTTGGGTGGTCGACCATTCTTGATACACATAGGAAACTGTTGAGCGTGAAAAACCCAGCAGCGTTGCAGTTCTTGACACACTCAAACCGGTGCGCCTGGCACCTACTACCATACCCCGCTCAAAGGCACTTAAATATTTTGTCTTGCCCATTCACCCTCTGAATGGCACACATGCACAATCCATGTCTCAATTGTCTTAGGACTTTAAAATCCTTCTTTAACCTGTCTCCTCCCCTTCATCTACACTGATTGAAGTGGATTTAACAAGTGACATCAATAAGGGATCATAGCGTTCAGTCTATTTCATGGAAAGAGCAGGTGTTCCTAATGTTTTGTACACTCAGTAGACTTCAATTTGAATAAATCCCAACCCGAGTGACAGTGACACTCACCTTGATGGTGTCAACCAGGTCCTGTGTGGCGTGGCATGGTGTCGACAGGGAGCTGAGCAGTGCCCCCCACTGGTCCTGGTGGTGTTGCAGGTGGACGGAGCACTGGTCGGACAAACGGCTGTATTCCCCCCAGAACGACAGCAGATCCCCAGTTCTCAGCAGCTCCTCATCCACTTCCTGCAATACTGCCTTCCACCTGACAGGGGGTGAGAGTATTTTAAACATAATAAAGGGGCAATCTGGGATTCAAACAACAACAAAGTGGGCTGCCTGCCATTTTTTTTTTTTTTATAAACTGAGGCATCTTGTTTTAAAGTTATTCACTAGCCATATACAAAGCAATATAACGTGCTGATGGCAAAATAGAGGAGCGAAATGAACAACTGTGTTTTCTTATTGCTTTAGTGATTGACAGTAGATGGCGCAAAATGAGTCTTCAATGATGAAGTGACACTTTCAGGTTAGGTAGACCCAGCCATAGAGATCCTATTAAATTACTAGAGGGGCTATGTCATAAACCCTCGAAGTTCCAGAATGGGGTGAAAATGGCAGCCATATTAGTCAGGGAGAAATCCAAGCCAGTCTAATTACAATTCATGTCAGTAGAGGCATAATCCTGATTTTACTTATGCAGGAAAATAAAACAAAGGCATGTGATATATCAGAAATTGTGTAATAGAATTATTGTCAACCTAAAATCTTGTCATATAATCATAAATACAATAACCTCTAAAATATATGCAAACAGACCATAAATGTCGATATATATATAGACACTACAATTCAAAAGTTTGGGGTCACTTAGAAATGTCCTTGTTTTCAAAAGAAAAGCAGTTTTTTTGTCCATTAAAATAACATCAAATTGATCAGAAATACAGTGTAGACAATGTTAATGTTGTAAATGGCTATTGTAGCTGGAAACTGCAGATTTTTTATGGAATATCTGATTTCAGTCAGTGTATGGCTGTGGATTGACTATTTGAACAGAATGTTGGCATATTGGCAGTTAATTGGAAAAAATATGGAATCATTCCTCTAAAACTGGCTGGCTAGCTGGCTAACAAACATACAGTACAGATAAATTCTTCAAAATTCATTATTTTACACAATATCTTATCACAGCACTGGCAAACCATGGTTGACCAACTCCCTGACCAAAATGGCTGACCTTTATCCCATCGTAAGAAGGTTCATGTCAATTCTAGTATTCTAATTCCTAATTCTATGGACTCAGCATTATGACATCATCAACACAGCAGGCCAACTTCCTGCTTATTAACAACAGCAGCATTTAAATCTATGAAGACAAAGCTGTCATCAAGGCAAAGGGTGGCTACATTGAAGAATCAAAAATCAAAAATATATTTTGATTTGTTTAACACTTTTTTGGTTACTACATGATTCCATATGTGTTATTTCATAGTTTTGATGTCTTCACTACTTTTCTACAATGTAGAAAATAGTAAAAATAAAGAAAAACCCTTGAATGAGTAGGTGTGTCCAAACTTTTGACTGGTACTGTATATATATTGTAATATATATTTTCTTCCATTTCGTGCTTACTAAACATGACCCTGCTGTTTGATTATGTCACATTGCCGAGTCCACCTTAAAGGGGCAATTTGCATTTGCTACATCCATTTTTGGATGTATAAATTAATTATATGTACCTATTGATTATTGAAGAGTTTAACTTGTAAATGCCTCATGAGCTTAGATCAACTGTTGTACCCAATCAGAACCCAACATATAAGTTTGTTTTATTTCAATGTTTGTAAACAAAGTAAATGTAAACAAACTCTTTATAGCTTCAAAACATGGTTAAAACTATAGTTTTGATATTATGGATGGTCAGTCCTTGCATCCATAGCTCTGTCTATGAATTTGAGAGTGGTTACATTTCTCCAGCCTTATCCCTCAGATTTTTACTGGAACAGGAGCAGGAAGGACGCATTGTTATTGTTTCAACTGCTGATTGCCCCTTTAAAGGTCCAGTTAGCGGTGGTACTGACTGTGTTCTCTCCTCCTCAAGTCTCTCAGTAAGGAGTTGGGCCGCTCCAGGACTGACTGCGTCCCTCAGGCCTGCGTACGACTGGTCCAGAGCAGCCCACATCTCCGCCCCCATCCCAGCCTCCACCTGGAGGCACTATGGACAGAGAAATGCCATAGTGTAAACAAACACTCCCTTTCCAACTCACCAAACCAAACAGCATTTCATGACAAAATCTCCTACAGCCTTGAGGCACGCTGTGTATGGGAGATATAGGTTTGGTAGCTTTGCATGTTAGGAAGATATAGGCTATCCTATACATCTGGCACACAATATGTGTCTACGTCACATGTTCTATACCCACAATGTCGGGTTGTCTACAGTAGTTCAAGGTTAGTGTGATGGTATCTCTTTCAATCATCTTTTAATTCATATTTATCTACCATTACAGTGGATTGTAAAATATTGGACCCTGTATCAGTGGTTAATGGTTGAGACAGAGAGGTTTCAAAACAGAGAGTCGGAACTGACGAGCACTTCTTGTACTGGTCATTAAGCAGACTAGGGCAGGATTTTAGCTAGCTGGTTGCCAATGGGGAAAGTGACAAACTTGTCCCTTGCTGGTAGGTTTTCTCTGAATCTCAATACATTAGCTAGCCTTAAGTAGCTGAATATGTCTTCAACACATTTCCATATTTGTCAAAAACGACTTAATTTCAAAGGAGTGCTGTACTGGACTGTATGCACTAAATGTGGATCACGTAGCTAGCTTGGTGGAACTGCCCCTTGATGTGTCTCTTCTTATATGGTTGACTACTCCATCACACTCACCTGTAGCTGCTCCACATGCCTTTTGACCTGGTGGGAGGAGAGGAGGGGGCCACTGCTGTGTTCCAGACCACAGCGCAGCCTAGTGGTGTAGAGTGAAACATCACCCAGCTCCTTCTCAAACTGGCCCCACTGAACACGCACCCGCTGGAGAGCAGGCCTTAGGCTCCCAACCTGTAGGGGACACAAAATACCAATAGCACCCTTTTCACACTATCATGTTGACCTGAAACAAGCTGTGTTGGCTTGGATATTTCATTTTCACAATGTATTTTTCTGCATGGTTCCAACAACTATAGTGGATGCGTAGCAAGGCCAGCTCAGTACAGCTTGGTTTTGCTTAACTCAGTTTAGCTCAGTAGTGTGTAAAGCGCTTTTATGTCATATTGTATGACACATAACATGCCAGAGCAGTGGAAACATGGCAGCAATGGGGTCCTGCAGGACCCAAGTGTTTGCAGACTTCTCTTTCAGCCCAGCATGAAAATACATTTTCAAATTAAATTATTTTTGTTTTCCTTGTTTTTTAATATGAGCACAGATAACAAATAAAACCATAAGTAAAGATATAATTATGCATGAAGTAAACAGCAATATTGGGTCAATTTCCACAACAACTAAGAGCATTGAAGTGCGAGGCTAAACTTCTCCTCTGTTTTGACCTCGTAGCTATCACTTTGTGGCAGCGTGATACTCTGCGTGACTGTGTGAGAGCAAAGTCTTGCATCATGCTCATCTGAATACAGCGCCTATAATAAGTATTTACCCCCCTTGGATTTCTTCACATTTTATTGTGTTACAAAGTGGGGATTAAAATGGATTTAGAAGAAAAAGCATATATATATATGTTCATCTTTTAATGAAGAATTTAACTAAAATATCTTGATCAGATAAGTATCCCCCCCGAGTTAATACATGTTAGAAACACATTTGGCAGCAATTACAGCTGTGAAGCTTGTTGGGTAAGTCTCTAGGAGCTTTGCACACCTGGGTTGTGCAATATTTGCCCATTATTCTTTTCAAAATCCTTCAAGCTCTGTCAATTTAGTTGTTGATCATTGCCAGACAGCCATTTTCAAGTCTCGCCATAGATTGTCAAGACGATTTAAGTCAAAACTGTAACATGGCCACTCAAGAACATTTACTGTTTTCTTGGTAAGAAGCTACAGTGTAGATTTGGTGTAGATGATGCAGCCACCACCATGCTTGAAAATATGGAGAGCGGTACTCAATGATGTGTTGTGTTGGATTTGCCCCAAACATAACGCTTTGTATTCAGGACAAAAAGTGTATTCCTTTGCCACATTTTTGCAGTATTACTTTAGTGCCTTGTTGCAAACAGGATGCATGTTTTTAATATTTATATTCTGTACAGGCTTCCTTCTTTTCACTCTGTCATTTGGGTTAGTATTGTGGAGTAACTATAATGTTGTTGATCCATCCTCAGTTTTTTCCTATCACAGCCATTAAACTCGGTAACAGTTTTAAAATCACCATTGGCCTCATGGTGAAATCCCTGAGCGGTTACTTCCTCTCCGGCAACTCAGCTAGGAAGATGCATGTATATTTGTAGTGATTAATATTAGCCTAATTAATAACTTCACCATGCTCAAATGGATATTCAGTGTCTGCGTTTTTGATCTATCAATCAGTGCCCTTCTTTGCGAGGCATTGGAAAAGCTCCCTGGTCTTTGTAGTTGAATCTGTGCTTGAAATATACTATTTGACTGAAGGACCTTACAGATAATTGGGTGTGGGGGGTACAGAGAAGGGGTAGTCATTCAAAAACCATGTCTACCCCTATTATTGTACACAGAGTGCAATACTCCTGAACTTATTTAGGCTTGCCATATCAAAGGGGGTTAATACTTACAGTACCAGTCAAAAGTTTGGACACACCTACTCATTCAAGGGTTAATAATAGAATAGAATAATAGTGAAGACATCAAAACTATGAAATAACACATATGGAATCATGTAGTAACCAAAAAAGTGTTAAACAAAATATTATTCAAATAGCCACCCTTTGCCTTGATGACAGCTTTGCATACTCTTGGCATTCTGTCAACCAGCTTCATGAGGTAGTCAACTGGAATGCATTTCAATTAACAGATGTGCCTTCTTACAAGTTAATTTGTGGAATTTATTTCCTCCTTAATGCATTTGAGCTTATCAGTTGTGTTGTGATAAGGTAGGAGGGGTATACAGAAGATAGCCCTATTTGGTAAAAGATCAAGTCCATATTAACAGCTCAAATAAGCAAAGAGAAATGACAGTCCATCATTACTTTAAGACATGAAGGTCAGTCAATACGGAAAATTTCAAGAACTTTTAAAGTTTCTTTAAGTGCAGTCGCAAAAACCATCAAGCACTATGATGAAACTGGCTCTCATGAGGACCACCACAGGAATGGAAGACCCAGAGTTACCTCTGCTGCAGAGGATAAGTTCGTTAGAGTTACCAGCCTCAGAAATTGCAGCCCAAATAAATGCTTCACAGAGTTCAAGTAACAGACACATCTCAACATCAAATGTTCAGAGGGGACTGTGTGAATCAGGCCGTCATGGTCGAATTGCTGCAAAGAAACCACTACTAAAGGACACCAATAAGGAGAATAGACCTGCTAGGGCCAAGAAACACGAGCAATGGCCATTAGACCGGTGGAAATTTGTCCTTTGGTCTGGAGTCCAAATTGGAGATTTTTGGTTCCAACCGCTGTGTCTTTGTGAGACGTGGTGTGGGTGAACGGATGATCTCCGCATGTGTAGCTCCCACCGTAAAGGATGGAGGAGGAGGTGTTATGGTGTGGGGGTGCTTTGCTGGTGACACTGTCTGTGATTTATTTAGAATTCAAGGCACACTTAACCAGCATGGCTACCACAGCATTCTGCAGTGATACGCCATCCCATCTGGTTTGGGCTTAGTGGGACTATCATTTGTTTTTCAACAGGACAATGACCCAACACACCTCCAGGCTGTGTAATGGCTATTTTACCAAGAAGGAGAGTGATGGAGTGCTGCATCAGATGACCTGGCCTACACAATCCCCCGACCTGAACCCAATTGAGATGGTTTGGGATAAGTTGGACGGCAGAGTGAAGGAAAAGCAGCCAACAAGTGCTCATCAAATGGGGGAACTCATTCAAGACTGTTGGAAAAGCATTCCAGGTGAAGCTGGTTGAGGAAATGCCAAGAGTATTCAAAGCTGGCATCAAGGCAAAGGGTGGCTATTTGAAGAATCTCAAATATAAAATATATTTTGATTTGTTTAACACTTTTTTGGTTACTACATGATTCCATATGTGTTACTTCATAGTTTTGATGTCTTCACTATTATTCTACAATGTGAAAAATTATAAAAATAAAGAAACACCCTTGAATGAGTAAGTGCGTCCAAACTTTTGACTGGTACTGTATATAACCAAGAAATGTCAGTTATACATTTTTTATTAATTTGTTAACATTTATATAATTTTCTTTTTACTTTGACATTATGGAGTATTTTCTGTAGATCAGTGTAGACCATTTCAACCCCACTTTGTAACCCATGTAAAAAAATCCAAGGGCACTGAATAGTTATGGTAGGCACTGTATCTGCGGTGCTGCTTGTGGCAATGTCGTATCGCAGAGTCTGAGTTTAATAAATTAAACCATAGTTAACAAACAAAACCATAGTTAACTAACAAAAACCATAGTTAACTAGTTAACTTGTGGCCTGTGTCAATGTGTGTGTTAGTCACCTGTTGGTTGAGGTTTGTGCAGACCTGGTTGACTGTGTCTGCAGACCAGGTGTCCTGGACCAGATCCTCTACCTCCACAAACACGTCTTTCAGTTTCTCCTCCACAGCCTGAACAGATAGAGAGGAAGTCACCTTTTGTCAACTGTTCTATAAAGAAATGCACACAACTCAGGCATGCGCACACACATGCGTGAGCACGCAAACAAGCACACACACACAAACACACACTATTCACTCAATGAAGTCCCCATCTACATACAGTGCATAGAGTATAGTATCCATGTCTCAAGTTCTGGCTTGTTAAACGCTCCATACCTCCCACTCAAGCAGGGCCTTGTCCACCTGCGTCTGACTGACAGGTCTCTGCCACTCCCTCAGCTTCTTTCTTTCCCCCTCGGCCCAGCTGAGCACCCGCCGCAGTCGCTTCTCTCTGTCTGCGCAGGTGTGGAACAGCTCCTCAGCATGGCGCACCTGCAAACCATAGGTATCATACAGACACGAGGGTTGGGGTCAATTCCATTTCAATTCGGTAAATTCACGATGGAAAATTAGAATTGGAAATGTCAGTTCACTTCCTGAATCGACTGAATTGAAATGGAATTGACCCCAGCCCTTTATTTCTCTCGATGACCCAGACCCATGCCACTCTAAGAAAAGCAAACTGCTTCAATTGACAAATGTTGATAAAGTACTACGTTAGCTATGAAGATTTTGTGAAACTCCTGGTCATCATTTTTAAAATATTATTATACTTTGCAGTTGACAGCTTTCCACCTTTATTTAGTAGAGTCCTGATTCCTTGTTTAGATGATAAAAAGCCTTAATTTGATTGGCTATCACAATAGTGAGCCTGGTTTTATTTGGTTAGCTGTCGTACTCACCTGACTGCCCAGCTTCCCTTCTAGGAGGAGCCAGCTCAAGTTGAGGGCTCCCATTTGCTCTGCAAAGAGTGTGCGCTCCTCAGAGCAGCGGGCAGAGTTGTCCGACGCTGCCACTGACTGCGGTCCGGACTGGCACAGGAAATCCAGGGTGAGTTGCCCGCTGGCACTGCCTGCCTGGCACCCCTAAGGAATGAAACACCACAGCACACACTGGCATTAACACACAGGAATCCCTACTACTCTACTCTACTACCCCACATAAAAAATACTACAGTTTACTGTAGAATACTATAATACATTCTGTAGATTCCCTCGATCATGTGTAGTGCTTACTATAGAATTTTGTAGTATACTGTAGAATACACTACACACTAGTATCTCTCGATCGTGTAGTACTTACTATCGAATTTTGTAGTACACTGTATAGTCGTGGTCAAAAGTTTTGAGAATGACACAAGTATTGGTCTTCACAAAGTTAGCTGCTTCAGTGTTATGAGATATTTTTGTCAGATGTTACTATGGTATACTGAAGTATAATTACAAGCATTCCATCAGTGTCAAAGGATTTTATTGATAATTACATTAAGTTTATGCAAAGAGTCAATATTTGCAGTGTTGACCCTTCTTTTTCAAGAACTCTGCAATCCGCCCTGGCATGCTGTCAATTAACTTCTGGGCCACATCCTGACTGATGGCAGCCCATTCTTGCATAATGAATGCTTGGAGTTTGTCAGAATTGTGGGTTTTTGTTTGTCCACGCACCTCTTGAGGATCGACCACAAGTTCTCAATGGGATTAAGGTCTGGGGAGTTTCCTGGCCATGGACCCAAAATGTCGATGTTTTGTTCCCAGAGCCACTTAGTTATAACTTTTGCCTTATGGCAAGGTGCTCCATCATGCTGGAAAAGGCATTGGTCGTCACCAAACAGTTCTTAGATGGTTGGGAGAAGCTGGTCTCATGTGTTGGTACCATTCTTTATTCATGGCTGTGTTCTTAGGCAAAATTGTGAATGAGCCCACTCCCTTGGCTGAGAAGCAACCCCACACATGAATGGTCTCAGGATGCTTTACTGTTGGCATGACACAAGACTGATGGTAGCGCTCACCTTGTCTTCTCCGGACAAGGTGTTTTCCGGATGCCCCAAACAATCGGAAAGGGGATTCATCAGAGAAAATGACTTTACCCCAGTCCTCAGCAGTCCAATCCCTGTACCTTTTGCAGAATATCAGTCTGTCCCTGTTGTTTTTCCTGGAGAGAAGTGGCTTCTTTGCTGCCCTTCTTGACACCAGGCCATCCTCCAAAAGTCTTCGCCTCACTGTGCATGCAGATGCACTCACACCTGCCTGCTGCCATTCCTGAGCAAGCTCTGCACTGGTGGTGCCCTGATCCCGCAGCTGAATCAACTTTAGGAGACGGTCCTGGCGCTTGCTGGACTTTCTTGGGCGCCCTGACTTCTTCTTCACAACAATTGAACCTCTCTCCTTGAAGTTCTTGATGATCCGATAAATGTTTGATTTCGGTGCAATCTTACTAGCAGCAATATCCTTGCCTGTGAAGCCCTTTTTGTGCAAAGCAATGATGACGGCACGTGTTTCCTTGCAGGTAACCCTGGTTAACATAGGAAGAACAATGATTTCAAGCACCACCCTCCTTTTAAAGCTTCCAGTCTGTTATTCTAACTCAATCAGCATGACAGAGTGATCTCCAGGCTTGTCCTCGTCAACACTCTCACCTGTGTTAACGAGAGAATCACTGACATGATGGCAGCTGGTCCTTTTGTGGCAGGGCTGAAATGCAGTGGAAATGTTTTTTGGGGATTAAGTTCATTTTCATGGCAAAGAGGGACTTTGCAATTAATTGCAATTCATCTGATCACTCTTCATGACATTCTGGAGTATATGCAAATTGCCATCATCAAAACTGAGGCAGTGACTTTGTGAAAATTAGTATTTGTGTCATTCTCAAAACTTTTGACCACGACTGTAGAATACACTACACGCTGTAGTACCTTTCGGACATTACAGTTTTTCTCAATCGCGTACAAGCAATTTTTGGATCTGTGTTGAAACGTATCTATAGCAGAACAGCGATGATCAAATGCTCAAATACTGTACATTTACAGAACCTCTGATCATTTTCTTTATCTTACTACCTGACTTGAATATCTTGGACCACCTTTTGCAAAACATTAAAAACAAATGTCATCATTGAAAACAAAATACACTGTTAAGTGTTTTGTTCACAGAATATTAACAGATTATTTTCATTAGAAGATAAATGTGTGCAATTGTGTTCACTGTTTCTAAATCATCCAATCACTGACTCCTAAGTCATCATCTCCAACATTGTGACCTTCCATTATAGAGCGTTGCTTTGGTGTGAATTTAGGCCTATAAATTCATTTGTGTTCCTCCATTGTATTCACCTTTCCTTATTTCTATTGTGGATTGTGTTTCTGTGTGCCAATGGAAAGTCTACAAAACTATGAGCAAACCAACCTTTGTATTGAATACATGGAATTGGATGAAACCGATGAAGGAATCCTACACACAAGGTGCTTATTTTTTTAAACATGTTTTTAAAAATCAGGAATAATATTTGATTTGATGTATTTAAATTGTTCAGTTAAATATGCAAGAAGAGTACATTTACATTTACATTTTAGTCATTTAGCAGACGCTCTTATCCAGAGCGACTTACAGGAGCAATTAGGGTTAAGTGCCTTGCTCAAGGGCACATTAACGTCATTTAGCAGACGCTCTTAGCCAGAGCGACTCACAAATTGGTGCGTTCACCCTATAGCCAGTGGGATAACCACTTTACAATTGGGGGGGGGGGGGGGGGGGGGGGGGTAGAAGGATTCCTTTATCCTATCCCAGGTATTCCTTAAAGAGGTGGGGTTTCAAATGTCTCCGGAAGGTGGTGAGTGACTCCGCTGTCCTGGCGTCGTGAGGGAGCTTGTTCCACCATTGGGGTGCCAGAGCAGCGAACAGTTTTGACTGGGCTGAGCGGGAACTATGCTTCCGCAGAGGAAGGGGAGCCAGCAGGCCAGAGGTGGATGAGCGCAATGCCCTCGTTTGGGTGTAGGGACTGATCAGAGCCTGAAGGTACAGAGGTGCCGTTCCCCTCACTGCTCCATAGGCAAGCACCATGGTCTTGTAGCGGATGCGAGCTTCAACTGGAAGCCAGTGGAGTGTGCGGAGGAGGGGGGTGACGTGAGAGAACTTGAACACCAGACGGGCTGCGGCATTCTGGATGAGTTGTAGGGGTTTAATGGCACAGGCAGGGAGGCCAGCCAACAGCGAGTTGCAGTAGTCCAGACGGGAGATGACAAGTGCCTGGATTAGGACCTGTGCCGCTTCCTGTGTAAGGCAGGGTCGTACTCTCCGAATGTTGTAGAGCATGAACCTGCAGGAGCGGGTCACCGCCTTGATGTTGGCGGAGAACGACAGGGTGTTGTCCAGGGTCACGCCTAGGCTCTTCGCACTCTGGGAGGAGGACACAGCGGAGTTGTCAACCGTGATGGCGAGATCATGGAACGGGCAGTCCTTCCCCGGGAGGAAGAGCAGCTCCGTCTTGCCAGGGTTCAGCTTGAGTAATACCGCACCTTTGGATAGTTGTACTTCCAATTTTGATCGTCACGATTTAGTGTAGGGATCATCAACTAGATTCAGCCGCTGGCCAATTTTTTCTTGAGAGGATGGTCAGGGGTCCAGAACATAATTACAAATAATTTGTAGACTGCAAATTGACCGCAAGAAGTATTATATTTGACTAAAACATAATCATTTCAAACCTTGCTTACATTTGTATATGATCACACTCTATTATGCGTGAGAATACTTTCCAAAATGAAAATGACTTGGAGCTGGTTTGCTTGTGTGTTTACAGTCTTTTATGTCCCCCAAAACATATGATTTATTTATTTATTGCTCAGAAAACTTGGGTGGCTGAATACAATCCCCAGTGGGCCTCCAGGTGGGGAACCCTGATTTAGTGACTGCAAAGAAAATGTATCGATCTACTGGGATATTTTAAACACAGACAAACTTTCTGTTTGGTCTGCTTAGACTCAAGAGATAAGTATGGTTTCATTAATCTTTTTGCAGGCTGTGGTGTTCTTTTCATTTATGTATTTGCAATTTTGATGGTATCATATAGTTTTGATGAATGTATTAATGTTTTGAAAACACATTTACTGTTTTGCAAAAGGCCACAGAGTTCTGTGTCTTGTGTACTATAGTATGTACTATAGTTTACCATAGTATACTTTGGTATGTACTATGGTAGGCATACAAATAAATGTATGTGTACTATGATAACTTGGTAAATAATGGCATTTATTTATCCATATTACAATTAATTAAATGTGGGACTAGTCCTGTGTTTCTCAATACATAGCTGTGTATGTATGTATGTATGTGTGTGTGTGTGTGTGTGTGTGTGTGTATGTATGTGTGTGTGTGTGTGTGTGTGTGTGTGTGTGTGTGTGTGTGTGTGTGTGTGTGTGTGTGTGTGTGTGTGTGTGTGTGTGTGTGTGTGTGTGTGTGTGTGTGTGTGTGCCTGCGTGCGTGCGTGCGTGTTAATGTACCTGGTAGTATTGGAGTATGTGTCTGAGCTGATCCGCGTCATGGCAGGCCTTGCTGGTGGCCTGTCCCTGCTCCTCCAGCCTGGCTTCTGTCTCCTTCACCCACGCCTCCAGGCCTGACAATACCTGGCATGGTGGCCACCTCTCCAACAGGAGCTGAGGAACACAGAAGGAAAGGGACATCAAAACGCCAGCAGGATATAAAGCAATGAAGGGACTCTATAGTGTATGTGTGTATATAAATGGCATATACTGTATATACAGTACAGTGCCTTCAGAAAGTATTTACACCCCTTTACTTTTTCCACATTTTGTTGTGTCACAGCCTGAATTCAAAATGGATTAAATTGAGATGTTGTGTCACTGGCCTACACACAAAACACAATACTGTAGCTCAGTTGGTAGAGCATGGTGCTTGCAACGCCGGGGTTGTGGGATCGTTTCCCACGGGGGCCAGTATGAAAAAATTTATGCACTCACTAACTGTAAGTCGCTCTGGATAAGAGCGTCTGCTAAATGACTAAAATGTAAAATGTTAAGTGGAATTATGTTTTTAGAAATGTTCACAAATTAATAAAAAATCTAAAAATGAAAAGCTAAATGTCTTGTGTCAATAAGTATTCAACCCCTTTGTTATGGCAAGCCTAAATAAGTTCAGGAGTAAAAATGTACTTAACAAGTCATAAAATAAGTTGCATGGACTCAATAGTGTTTAATATGATTTTTGAATGACTACCTCATCTCTGTACCCCACACATACAATTATCTGTTAGGTCCCTCAGTCGAGCAGTGAATTTCAAACACAGATTCACCACAAAGACCAGGGAGGTTTTCCAATCCCTCACAAAAAAAGCAGACATTGAATATCCGTTTGAGCATGGTGAAGTTATTAATTACACTTTGGATGGTGTATTAATACACCCAGTCACTACAAAGATACAGGCGTCCTTCTGAACTCAGTTGCCGGACAGGAAGGAAACCGCTCAGGGATTTCACCATGAGGCCAATTGTGACTTTAAAACAGTTACAGAGTTTAATGGCTGTGATAGGAGAAAACAGAGGACGGATCAACAACATTGTAGTTACTCCACAATACTAACCTAAATGACAGAGTGAAAAGAAAGAAGCCTGTACAGAATAAAACTATTCCAAAACATGCATCCTGTTTGCAATAAGGCACTAAAATAAAACTGCAAAAAATTTGGCAAAGAAATTAACTTTATGTCCTGAATACAGTGTTATGTTTGGGGCAAATCCAACACAACACATTAAGCATGGTGGTGGCTGCATCATGTCATGGGTATGCTTGTCATCGACAAGGACTAGGGAGTTTTTGGGGGATAAAATAGAGCTAAGCACAGGCAAAATCCTAGAGGAAAACCTGGTTCAGTCTGCTTTCCAACAGACACTGGGAGACAAATTCACCTTTCAGCAGGACAATAACCTAAAACACAAGGCCAAATATACACTGGAGTTGCTTACGAAGACGACATTGAATGTTCCTGAGTAGCCTAGTTACAGTTTTGACTTAAATGAGCTTGAAAATCTTTGGCAAGACTTAAAAATGGCCAACAACAAACTTGACAGAGCTTGAAGAATTGTAAAAATTATTCGGTGCAATACTGTACAATCTAGGTGTGACTAGGTGAAAAATCTGTCTATGTGCCCTTAAGCAAGGCACTTAACCCTAATTGCTCATGTAAGTCGCTCTGGATAAGAGCGTCTGCTAAATGACTAAAATGTAAATGTAAATGTGTGCAAAGCTCTTAGAGACTTGCCCAGAAAGACTCACAGCTGCCAAAGGTGATTCTAACATGTATTGACTCAGGGGTGTGAATACTTATGTACATTATTATTTCCGTATTTCCTTTTCTCTTTGTCATTATGGGGTATGTGGATGGGTGAGAAAAAAATCAATTTGATCAATTTTGAATTCTGGCTGTAACACAACAAAATGTGGACTAAGTCAAGGGGTATGAATACTTTCTGAATGCACCGTATAGTCAACAATATAATGTAGAGCATGGCTTTAGAAAGGCATACCAGTGTAAATATACAATGTTTGTATGCTGTTTTAGAATATCCAAAAGCTGTGAATTCGACCACAGCCAAAATAAGTGGAAAACCATGAATGAACTATCCTTATCTGCTCTTATCGAGGAGTTTCCCAGTAGCTGACTTATGTCCTTGATTTGACTAAACACAAGGGGGAAAAATTAGAGTTAGAAAGAAAGAAAGAAAGAAAGAAAGAAAGAAAGAAAGAGAGTCGTTGTATGCGGCGCTGTGAACTGGCCTTCACCGAGACCACAGCTGCAAGGGGGAGGATAGGGGGCAATGCCCAGGTGTGTGTGTGTGTGTGTGTGTGTGTGTGTGCGCGTGACTGTGTGTCTGTGTATGCCTCTATGCATGTTCTGTGCGTGTGTGAGTATAGGTAATGGGTTTTGATGATCCGGTGATGTATACACTGTGGGAGCCAGTGCAAATATTTTACACAATCCCGTTGTCTGAAGATAAGCTTAGTCTTTCATCCCCTCCTCTCTCATATCTTCATCAAGTTGGTGAACCCACAACCGGTCATACTGTACATGAAAGAGTTCTCAGGGTGCATCGCAAATAACACCCTATTCCTTATGTAGTGCACTACCAGCTCAAAAGTAGTGCACTAAATAGGGAATAAGGTGCCATTTTGGACGCACCCTCACTGTTCAGTTTGGCACAACGTTCGGCTGTTTGTTGAAAGTTCTGAGAACCTGCTCGGATTCACTGGTGATAAACGAGAGGCCAAATGAAAAACTAGTCTTCGCCTCTTCTCTTTGGTCATCCCATCTGTGTGTGTTATTAGGAGATTATTTGAAAGATAATGGGTGCGTCTCGATATTCCTTTCCCTTTCCTTTTCCCCAAGGGGTATGTGGGAAGATAATAAAACATTTTAGGAAAAAAATATAGGGACAAATATTACCCCCCAAAATATGTTCAAGTTATTTCAATCTTGGACCTCCCGAGTGGCACAGCGGTCTAAGGCACTGCATCGCAGTGTTGAGGCGTCACAGCCGGCCATGACCGGGAGTCCCATAGGGCGGCGTGCAATTGGCCCAGCGTCGTCCGGGTTAGGGGAGGGTTTGGCCGGGGGGCTTTCCTTGGCTCATCGTGTTCTAGTGACTCCTTATGGCGGGCCGGGCACCTGCAAGCTGACTTCAGTTATCAATTGAACAGTGTTTCCTCTGAAACATTGGTGCGGCTGGCTTCCAGGTTAAGCGAGCGGGTGTTAAGAAGCAGCATGGCATGGCGGGTCATGGCTCGCCCTTCACCTCTACAGAGCCCATTGGGGAGTTGCAGCGATGAGACAAGATTGAATTGCAATTTGATATCACGAAAAAATATACAAAGAAAACGTTTTTTTTTTCAATCTTAATAGGCAGGAAAACATTTACTGAGGCCACTGGTGTGAAATCTCTAGTTATTTTATATTTATAGGCCTACTTTTTTACTTTAGTTTCAGTGCGTGTGCATTGCTCTGTCTACCTGTCCTCTGCCCACCCAACACGCTAGAGTGCCTGCTAGTGTTATCCTCACTGAAACTATGATTGATAAAACAGCAGCTGATGCACTGAAGACTGTATCATTGTCAAATAACACAGTGTGCCGTAGGATCAATGACATGGGCGTTAACATTGTTAATCGAGTGGTGAAAATATTTAAATCATTCTGGTCCATTTTGTCACGATCGTCTAGGAGTGAAGGAGACCAAAGCGCAGCGCGTTGAACGAACATGACTTTAATTAGAAAAAGCACCGAAATACAAAACAAAAGACGACTCGTGAAGTCCACAGTACAACGACTGAAACACGGAACAATAACCCACAAACCCCACAGGAAAACATACAGAAATAAATATGGCTCCCAATCAGAGATAACGAGCCGACAGCTGACACTCGTTACCTCCGATTGGGAGTCATTGACCAAACCTAGAAATACAACACTTTGACACCCAACATAGAACAAAACCACATAGACTGCACACACCCTGGCTCAACATAATGAGTCCCAGAACCAGGGTGTGACAGTACCCCCCCCTAAAGGCGCGGACTGCGACCGCGCCTCAAAACCCCCAAACAGGGGAGGGCTGGGCGGGCATACCTCCTCGGTGGCGGTTCTGGCTCCGGCCTAGACCACCACCCCACCATAGTCACTACCCGCTTACGTAGGTTCCTCCAAATGACCCCCACCGGTTTAAGGGGCAGCACCGGACTAAGAGGCAGCACCGGACTAAGGGGCAGCACCGGACTAAGGGGCAGCACCGGACTAAGGGGCAGCACCGGACTAAGGGGCAGCACCGGACTAAGGGGCAGCACCAGGATAAGGGGCAGCACCTGACTCAATGGCGGATCCTGGCTGGACGGCTCTGGCGGATCCTGGCTGAACGGCTCATGGCTGGCTGAAGGATCTGGCTGCTCATGGCTGGCTGACGGATCTGGCTGCTCATGGCTGGCTGACGGATCTGGCTGCTCATGGCTGGCTGACGGATCTGGCTGCTCATGGCTGGCCGACGGATCTGGCTGATCCGGTCTGGCCGAAGGCTCTGGCTGATCCTGTCTGGCGGAAGGCTCTGGCTGATCCGGTCTGGCGGAAGGCTCTGGCTGATCCGGTCTGGCGGAAGGCTCTGGCTGATCCGGTCTGGCCGAAGGCTCTGGCTGATCCTGTCTGGCGGAAGGCTCTGGCTGATCCTGTCTGGCGGAAGGCTCTGGCTGATCCGGTCTGGCGGACGGCTCTGGCTGATCCTGTCTGGCGGAAGGCTCTGGCTGATCCTGTCTGGCGGAAGGCTCTGGCTGATCCTGTCTGGCGGAAGGCTCTGGCTGATCCTGTCTGGCGGAAGGCTCTGGCTGATCCGGTCTGGCGGAAGGCTCTGGCTGATCCTGTCTGGCGGAGAGCTCTAGCGGCTCCGGTCTGGCGGACGGCTCTGAAGGCTCATGGCAGACGGGCGGCTTTGCAGGCTCAGTACAGACGGGCAGTTCAGACGGCGTTGGGCAGACGGACAGTTCAGACGGCGTTGGGCAGACGGGCAGTTCAGGCGCCGTTGGGCAGACGGGCAGTTCAGACGGCGTTGGGCAGACGGACAGTTCAGGCGCCGTTGGGCAGACGGGCCGTTCAGACGGCGTTGGGCAGACGGACAGTTCAGGCCCCGTTGGGCAGACGGCCGACTCTGGCCGTCTGAGGCGCATCGTAGGCCTGGTGCGTGGTGCCGGAACAGGAGGTACCGGGCTGAGGACACGCATCTCAGGGCTAGTGCGGGAAGCAACAACAGGACGCACAGGACTCTGGGGACACACAGGAGGCTTGGGGCGTGGTGTATGCACTGGTGGTAAAGGGCTGGAGACACGCACCATCGAGCCAGTGCGTGGAGGAGACACAGGGCTCTGAAGACGCACAGGAAACCTGGTGCGTGGTGTAGGTACTGGTGGTACTGGGCTGGAGCGAGGAGGTGGCGCCGGAAATACCGGCCCGTGCAGGCGTACTGGCTCCCTTGAGCACTGAGCCTGCCCAACCTTACCTGGGTTGATGCTCCCCGTCGCCCGACCAGTACGGGGAGGTGGAATAACCCGCACCGGCCTATGTGGGCGAACCGGGAACACCATGCGTAAGGCTGGTGCCATGTACGCCGGCCCGAGGAGACGCACTGGTGACCTGCTGCGTGGGACCGGCTTCATGACATCCGGCTCAACACTCAATCTGGCCCGGCCGATACGTGGAGCTGGACTGTACCGAACCGGGCTATGCCTGCGTACAGGAGACACCATGCGCTCAACTGCGTAACACGGTGTCTGCCCGTACTCTCGCTCTCCACGGTCAGTCCAGGGAGTAGGCGCAGGTCTCCTACCTGACTTCGCCACACTCCCTCTTAGCCCCCCCCCAAGAAATTCTTGGGTAGTACCCACAGGCTTCCAGTCTTGCCTCCGTGCTGCCTCCTCATATCGCCGCCTCTCGGCTTTAGCTGCCTCCAGCTCTTCCCGAGGACGGCGATATTCTCCCGGTTGTGCCCAAGGTCCCTTACCATCCAGAATCTCCTCCCATGTCCATGAATCCTTTATGGGTGGATATAAATCCTGTGTAGGTGGATCCTGTTGCTCCTGGACGCGCTGCTTGGACTTTCTTTGGTGGGTTATTCTGTCACGATCGTCTAGGAGTGAAGGAGACCAAAGCGCAGCGCGTTGAACGAACATGACTTTAATTAGAAAAAGCACCGAAATACAAAACAAAAGACGACTCGTGAAGTCCACAGTACAACGACTGAAACACGGAACAATAACCCACAAACCCCACAGGAAAACATACAGAAATAAATATGGCTCCCAATCAGAGATAACGAGCCGACAGCTGACACTCGTTACCTCCGATTGGGAGTCATTGACCAAACCTAGAAATACAACACTTTGACACCCAACATAGAACAAAACCACATAGACTGCACACACCCTGGCTCAACATAATGAGTCCCAGAACCAGGGTGTGACACATTTTCTCTGCAGCTGGACGAATCAACTGATGTCAGTAGGGAAGCCCAGTTGATTGCGTTTGTGCAATACAGAGACATTTTGGAAATTAATGAGCACATTCTGTTCTGCAAGAAGCTAACGGGGAGAACTACAGGTCAGGATGTGTTTCACGTTATTGACAATTTTTTCTCAGAGCACAATCTGGATTGGAAATCCTGTGTTCATGTGCGCACGGATCATGCTGCATCAATGCCTGGGAGAGTGAAAGAATGAATTGCCCAGATAAAGAAGGTAAATCCCATTGTATCATTCACAGAGAGGCATTGGCCAGCAACAAAATGAGTCCTGAGTTACATTATGTTTTGAATGACGCAGTGAAAGTGATTAACTTTATCCATCCAGTCCAGACCTCTGAATCACCGACTGTTTGAAAGGCTCTGTGATGACAGTGGGACTGAGTACCAGCCTCTACTGCTTAACATGACGTCCGTTGGCTATCTAGAGTGAAAACGCTACAGAGGCTTTTTGAGCAGCGAGCTCAAAATAATTTTCTGTCTAAGCACTCACACACCTCCTAGTGGCTGTGTTGGAGGACACAGACTGGGGAGTCCGCCGTGCCTATCTTGCTGATGTGTTCAGCAAACTGAACAACCTGAATCTAACTCTGCAAGTTAAAGACACACACATTCTAAACATGTATGACAAAGTGTGTGGATTCATGAAGATGATCAAACTCTGGGAGAGGATATGTGAAGATGGGGATATAAGTTGTTTCCAGCAGCTTGACACCTACAGTAGGCGACCTTTCTACAGATGATGTTGACACTCCTATTGTGCAAATAGTAAGCTCACATTTATCCAAACTCAACAGTGAGTTCAACTCCTACTTCCCTGACATTGAAAACAAGTCTGCCAAACTTGACTGGGTGCGTAAACTTAATTTCTGTCAAATGTACACCTAATTTAGGAATTATGCCGGTCGCAGGCGCATGAGGGGGTACTTCAGGCAGGTCAAAGTGTTTTAGAGGTACAGTAACCAAAAAAGGTTGGGAACCACTGACGTAGAGGACACGAGGACAGGACACTTGGTTATACTGGGTGTGCAGGCTTTTGCTGCTGCCTGGTTCTACTACACTACAACCTGGTTCTACTACACTACAGCCTGGATCTACTACAATACAGCCTGGTTCTACTACACTACAGCCTGGTTCTACTACAATACAACCTGGTTCTACTACACTACAGCCTGGTTCTACTACAATACAGCCTGGTTCTACTACACTACAACCTGGTTCTACTACAATACAGCCTGGTTCTACTACACTACAGCCTGGTTCTTCTACAATACAGCCTGGTTCTACTACAATACAGCCTGGTTCTACTACAATACAACCTGGTTCTACTACACTACAGCCTGGTTCTACTACAATACAGCCTGGTTCTACTACACTACAACCTGGTTCTACTACAATACAGCCTGGTTCTACTACAATACAGCCTGGTTCTACTACAATACAGCCTGGTTCTACTACACTACAGCCTGGTTCTACTACACTACAGCCTGGTTCTACTACACTACAACCTGGTTCTACTACACTACAGCCTGGTTCTACTACACTACAACCTGGTTCTACTACACTACAGCCTGGTTCTACTACAATACAGCCTGGTTCTACTACACTACAGCCTGGTTCTACTACACTACAACCTGGTTCTACTACACTACAACCTGGTTCTACTACAGCCTGGTTCTACTACACTACAGCCTGGTTCTACTACACTACAACCTGGTTCTACTACAGCCTGGTTCTACTACACTACAACCTGGTTCTACTACACTACAGCCTGGTTCTACTACACTACAACCTGGTTCTACTACACTACAGCCTGGTTCTACTACACTACAGCCTGGTTCTACTACACTACAGCCTGGTTCTACTACACTACAACCTGGTTCTACTACTACCCTGGTTCTACTACACTACAGCCTGGTTCTACTACAAGACACCTGATTATTCTACTCAGCAGCTCATCAAGAGCACAACCAATCAAATCCCCACCTGGTGCAGTCTCTCCTGGGCTATGGGAAGTGCAGACGTGACTTCGGTCCAGGTTTGCTCCAGCTGTGCTAGCTGTCTGCGCAGGCACGGTGCATCAGCCTCCTTCAGCTGCAGTAGTAATGTGCCCGCCCTGAGCGCAGAGGCCTTTTCAGCTGACTTGGTTTCCAGCTCCACTGAAAACTCCTGTAAAAAAACTAAACGTCAAATCAAAGAGCTCCCATTCCCGAAATTTCACACAAAATTCACACATTCAGTTTGCAATTCTAACATTTTCCATGGCATTTGTAATGTATTTAGGAACCAAAAATTCACTCAAAACTAGCTTTTCAGGTGTTTGTGAAAGAAAAGACAAATGGACTGCATTTTTAACATGTTACAATAAAATTGGTTATACAATAAAAGTTGTTATTCTATATTTACTGTATATCCATACATTTCGGGTAGGATCTGGATGACAATGATTATTTACTACTTTGAGCTACAAAACGTGTCATCTGAAGTTTTTTTTCCTAACTATTTTACCAGTAGTTGGATGAGGTAAATACGGGTGAGCTCCTCGTCTTGAGGTGTGGCGTCGGGCAGACTTGTCCATGTCTTCAGGCGTTCTTTAGCACTGCCCATCCACCCAGTGAGTGAGACAGAGTCTTTGTGGAACCTACAAGAGGGAAAACAGGGTTCAAACAGGGTTCGATGTTTCCTTATGCAAAGCAGTCTACATTTATAGTGCCTTCAGAAAGTAATCACACACCCTTTACTTTTTTGTTGTGTTACAAAGTGGGATTAAAATGGATATCATTGTAATTTTTTTGTCAACGATCTACACAAAATACTCTGAAATGTCAAAGTGGAAGGAAAATTCATTTTTTGTTTTAATTAATGGAAAATAAATCACTAATATTTCTTCAATAGATAAGTATTCAACCCCCTGAGTCAATACATGTTAGAATCACCTTTGGCAGCACTTACAGCTGTGAGTCTTTCTGGGTAAGTCTCTAAGAGCTTTGCACACCTGGATTGTACAATATTTGTCAAGTTGGTTGCTGATCATTGCTAAACAGCAATTTTCAAGTCTTGGCATAGATTTTCAGGTTTCCTTCTTTTCTCTCTGTCATTTAGGTTAGTATTGTGGAGTAACTACAATGTTGTTGATCCATCCTCAGTTATCTCCTATCACAGCCATTATACTTGGTAACTGTTTTAAAATCTCCATTGGCCTCATGGTGAAATTCCTGAGCAGTTTCCTTCCTCTCCGGCAACTGATTTAGGAAGGGCGCCTGTACCTTTGTAGTGACTGGATGTATTGATACACCATCCAAAGTGTAATTAATAACTGCACCATGCTCAAAGGGATATTCAATGTCTGCTTTTTTTTACCCCTCTACCAACAGGTGCCCTTCTTTGCGAACCATAGGAAAAACTCCCTGGTCTTTGTGGTTGAATATGCGCTTGAAATTCAATGCTCGACTTAGGGACCTTACAGATAATTTTTTGTGTGGGGTACAGAGATGGGGTAGTAATTTAAAGTCATGTTAAACACTATTATTGCACACAGAGTGAGTCCATGCAACTTATTATGTGAATTGGTATGCACATTTTTAATCAAGACATTTCAGCTTTTCATTTTTTATTAATTTGTAAACATTTCTAAAAACATAATTCCACTTTGACATTATGGGATATTGTGTGTAGGCCAGTGACACAAAATGTCAATTTAATCAATTTTAAATTCAGGCTGTAACGCAACAGTCAAGGGGTGTGAATACTTTCTGAAGGCACTGTAAGTGTTAGCCAAAGCTGTGTTGTGTGTGTGTGTCCCTGCCTATCTTCCAAAAACCCTGTCTGTGTGTGCCCACCTGTTCCAGTTGTCCCTGATGTCACAGCTGCGTTGGCTCTCCTGCTCTGCCTTGCCGCGGATGGCCCGCCAGCGCAGCTCCAGGACGCCCCCTGTGCCGCCAACCCCGGTACTGCATCCCCAGGCCTGCAGAGCCTTCTCCTGGTCCAGGACCGAGCCTAGGGCAGGCTTGCACTCCTCCAACAGGGCCAGCACTCGCTAATGGGGGGAGAAAGGGGGAGGAGAGAGAGGGGAAGAGGGAGGAGAGGGGGATCAGTAAATAGGGAGAGAGTGAGAGAGAGAGAGAGAGAGAGAGAGAGAGAGAGAGAGAGAGAGAGAGAGAGAGAGAGAGAGAGAGAGAGAGAGAGAGAGAGAGAGAGAGATGGGAGTGAATAGGGGGAGGGATAGGGTGAAAATGTGAAAGGATAAAGATTGAGAAGGGAATGTATTTGGAATAAGAGAGAAGGAAGAAGAGGTAGGGCCAGAAGAACGGGGGATGAAAAGAAATGTAGGGATCAAATAATTATTGTGGGATGTGGGGAGAGGGAAAGGGAATGAGGCGGGGACGGAAAAGGGAGAGGAGAGGAAGACAGGAACAGAGAATGAAAGAGAGAGGAGACAAAAGGAGGAGGAGGAAGGGGATGTTTGCAAGGGTTACAGAAAGAAGGAGAGAAATATTGAGAGGGACAATGGGGAGAGAAATATGAAAAGGGGAAAATGCTAAAAAAAGTGAGACAAGGAACAATGTGCGAAAGAAATGCATAGAGAGAGTGAAAATGGAATCATCACCACCCAAATCCTCACCTGAACCCCTGCCCACCCCCACACTACTGCTAATGCGTCCCAAATGGCCTCATATTCCCTACATAGTACACTACTTTTGACCAGAGCCCTATGGGCCTGGTTAAAAGTAGTGCACTATATAGGGAATAGGGGGCCATTTGGGACGTAAACAGCATCTCATTCAGTTATTATGGCCAGATAGAGGAAGGCATAAATCTATTAAGGAGATTTGATAAAAAGAAGCATGTGTACTCTACCCTTCCACCCACACACACAGGTGTACACACACACAAACACACACACATTCCACTCAAGTCTGTCCGTCCGAGAGATGAGAAATAGGATTCTGTAATTGTAAAAGGGAGGATATGGGGAGGGAATCCGAAATGGAACATCATGTTCTAATCTCCGATAATGGCCATCCGTATTTCTCAAAGTAATCTGATTTCGGAATGAAGCAATGCCACAACAAATAACTCTCCCTCTCTCTTTCACCCTTCCTCTCTCTCCACCTCTCCCTCTCCTTCTCCCTCTATCTTTCCATCTCTCTTTCTCTCCATCTTTCTTGCGCCAGGTGGCCATGAATCCCTCATTCACTGAAGGGCCTGGTTCACATCCAGCTCTCTCTTTATGGTTGCGTCTCAAATGCCACCCTATTCCCTACATAGTGGACTGCTTTTGACCAGAGCCCTATGAGGGGAATAGGGTGCCATTTAGGAGTCAGCCTGTGGCGCGTCCTACATTTATGTGGGTTACTGGAATTAGACAACAGGCGGTTTCATCCCAGTGCTCGCAGGATGCATCGCTCATTTGGACATAAGACACCTGTTGCTTATGACTGATGCTCATGATATACAGTATCTTCCAGTGATACAAATGATTTGGTAAAATTAAGAATAAGGGATAAACTTGTTATGTAGAGCAAACTAGTTCTTAGTGGGCAAATGTTGCTCAATTGGGTATGTGAGGAGAAGAAAGAGGGTGGACAGAAGGAAATAGGGGACAGTAAACGAGAGAGGGATTAAGAGTGAAAGGAAGAAGAGATGAGGAGGTGATGAAGACAAGAGAGGAGAGGAGTCGGAGATAGGGACGGCGAGAAAGACTGAGATGGTCTACGGACAGAGAGAAAGAAGAGAGAAAAGAGCATGTAGAGAGAGAGCGACACAAAGGAGCAGCGAGACAAAGAGAGAGCAAAATGGGGAAAGAAGGAAGAGTAGTAGAGAAAAGAGAAGGAGAGGGAGGTTTGGATACCTGACAGGTGTCCAGTCTTTCCTGTAGCAGCCCCTCTTCTTCCTCCTCCTCCTCTTCCTCCATGGGACCCTCGCAGGGGATAAGGGCTTCCAGCTCCTCCAGCAGCCGGCCCAGCCGAACACAGCCCTCCTCCCACTGTGTCCAGTCCTACGCACAAACACGCATACACACACAAGGGTGTAAACATACATGCACGTGTGCAAACACACAAAGACACAGTGTGTATGTGTGTGTGTATGTATATATGTGTGTATGTGTGTGTGTCTGTTTAAAAGAGAGTGTGTGTGTTTACTTATGTGTGTCTTTCATGTGCGTGCGTGTACCTGCAGTCTTCTGTGCATAGTGGCTCCCTGCTCCAGAGCCTGTTGCTGCAGAGTGGTGACCTGTTTCTCCAGCCGGACCTGTTCCTCCTCCTGACCGACCAGCCCCCCCTGTGGCCCACACTGGAACAGCCGCTGCACCAACGCCAGCTGGGACCCCATAACCTGGTACAACTTCTGTTCAGCCATCGCCAAACACAGACAGACATAGAAAAAGACACAGACACACAAAATAATCAATTGAAACCCAGTTTCTAAATTGACAAAATCACATGACAATTGGTCAGTGGTTTACATGGAGATGATCCCAAACTTTTATTTAAACTTGGATTCAACTGCTTTCCGAGTGGGCAAGACATTTTCCTCTACAGTTGTTCTCCCTTTCCATTCAGCTCCCATGCCTAGTCGAATGTGCATAAAATGACTTGACATGACATAACACTCTCTTTTCCTCCAAGACCAGCATACGCTTACCTTGTGCCTGCTGAGCAGAGTCTGCAGCTGGGTGCGGCTGTGCGGAGGGCGGTCCTGACAGTCTGCCAGACGCTCTCGGCCTAGCGCCACCAGACTGGCCACACCCTGCAGCAGGGCCTGGGACACCCGCTGCAGCTCCACTGCATCCTCGGGACACCGGCCGACGATATACTGCAGAGACACACCATCATTACTGACCTACAGTAGACATTTAGAGTAAAAGGCGTGATTATGTGGGAAGAAAATACTGACAAAGGGGCACACACACACACACACACACACACACACACTAGCCCTATAATTAACAAATTCAATGTGGTACCTCCAGCATGGGGACATCCTTGATGTGTGTGAATGGGTCACTCTGTCCACGTTCAATCTCATCATACACGCACACGTGGCTCTCCTGTTGCTCCATCCCTGCCTGCATGCAGCACACAGTGTGAAAAGAGACAGACATTGAAAAATCTTGGTTAAGCAGTTAGGCACGAGAGGCCGTTGCATATCGTAAATAACACAATGACATCTGTTCTAGGTATCTGAACATTCTGTAACGTTCTGATGGTTGTAAGGTGGTTCTGGGGTGGTTTGTGGGGTGATTGTGAAGTGCTGGGCGGCAAGTAAACTAGCGGTTAAGAGCGTTGGGCCAGTAACTGAAAGGTTGCTGGTTTGAATCCCTGAGCCGACTAGCTGAAAAATCTGTCAATGTGCCCTTGAGCAAAGCACTTAATATTAATTGCTCCTGTAAGTTGCTCTGGATATGAATGTGGTTGTAGGGCAGCCAGGTCACACCAGTTCCACTGCAGTATTAGACATTGGTCCAGGAAGTATGCATGCAATTTCAATACTGTCCACAAGGGGCAACACAAGTGCCTATTACTATCTAGTAGGCTCATGGCTTGCTAGGGTGTTGTGGGTGGGGATTGAAGAAGGGCTTAAACCATGAGCTGCGGCTCTGAGGATTACAGATTCAATTCCAGTGCTAGGCACTCATTTTAAATTGTTATGTTTTAACCCTATCCCAAACCTTAAGTGGTTGTAGGTTGGTTGTGATGTTATTGTGAAGTTGTTGTAGAGTGGTTGTGAGGTGGCTTGTGTGGAGCCACTGACCTGATTGTGGCCCAGTTGTGTGTGTAGCCGGCTCAGTGAGGAGGTGAGGGCTGACTGGGCTGTTTGGAGACAACCATGAAGACAGGTCACACACTGGGCTATGGTCTCTGGTGCTTCAGACAACTGATCTGGGTTGATGCCTGACCTTACATGGTCCAGCTCCTCACCCAAGGCCGGCAGCTCCGAGGAGAGGCACTGTGAGGCACATACACACATAGACACACATGAGCACACACAAACACAGACACACACACAGGTGCGCAAACACACGCACAGTTAACTTGCACAGTTTCAGAGATTTTGTCACCGGAAAATAACCAAAGGAGGTATGTGTTGTGTGAATGAAATTATGCAATTAAAGCTCATTATAGATATTGTTATTGCAGTTAAGCTAATTTGATAGGGAGTGATTAAACAACCCCAGGGTGACACTTCCATGGTGCAAAAGAGCACAGATCTGTGCAAAAAATACTAAACCTGGCACAATTTGTTATTTTTAATCTGGCAAAGTTTACTTGTTCAACAATGCGTGTTATGAGGCGGCAACTATTTATACATAAACTTAATAATATGAATAATCAACTCCTTATTTATCACATTGTTGAAGAAAAGTTAAATCCCAGATCTGTGCTCTTTTGCACGACAAAAATGTCACCGCCAGAGCGCAATATAGGCTACCTATTTCCAGAGATCTGTAAATGTAAATCAGCAGTTTGTATGTACTGTACCTCAATCTGTAGCAGTCTTAGTTGGCTATCCTCCATGGTGGTCATAGAGGGACTGAGCAACAGGCCAGTGAGTGTTTCCAGAGAATGCTCCACTGCACATAGAGCTGTGTAGAGCTCTCTATCCAACATGGGATAGCCACCTTCCTTTGAATTGGTAGAGGAAAGGCCACTTGCTCTGTGTCTGAGTCGCCTAAGGCTTGCAGTACACACCTCTATCTCCCTCAGACCATCAAAGCCACCGCCGGTCCCCTCTGCCCTTGACCCTGTAGCCTACACAACAAAATGGAGAGCACTGTCAACACACTATAATGGCTTGAAGACAGTTGCCATTAAAATCCTGTACCTCTGCTAAATTGTGACCCAGGTCTGATGGGTACTTGAATCAGGGAGGTGTAACAGTGTGAACTGACCGCATGTAGATCCTCTTCCTGAATCTTCCTCAAGGTGTTAAGTTTCTCAGACAGCCGAGTGTGAAGGAGGTCCCATCTCCCGTCCTATAAAAAAATAAATGTAAAACGTGCGTGCTGGTAATTGTGTGTGTATGCGTGTACATGTGTGTACATGTGTACATATGTGGTGCACAGGTGTGGTACTCTTACCAGGTCTTCAAGGGGGTCGCTGGGTGTATCTGGCAACTGACCATTGGCAACTGACTCAATTTCCTTGGTTACTGACCCAGTCATCTTGGTTACAGAAGTAGTCTCAGGTACTGATTGTATCTCTTTGGTTACTGATCCAATGTTTACAGGTACTTCTCCGGTTTCTTTAGTTGCCAAGCTACTTTTTACAGATGCTGGTCCAGTCTCCATGGTCACTGAACTAGTTTCAGGTAATGAGACAGTTGCCTTGGTTATTAATTCAGACTTCTCGGTTACTGACACAGTCTCCTTGGTAATGTCCTTACTGACTGATTCTGTCGGCTTGTTTTCTGGTCCAGTGGTCTTGGAGATGGGTCTCCACTGAGCCGGTAATGAAAGGGTGTCTCCAGGTGCTCTGTCAGTTTTTTCAGGTGTTGGTTGTATCTTCTCAGATATTAAACCAGAATGAGTGTCTTCTGGGTCTACACAAGACTCTGGGATGTCCAACTCCTGAACGAAGATGATTGGAATGAATCAAACCCAACCCCAATAGACTGGTATGGAATCTGATATACAATTACTTGCACTTCTTTACTCAATGATCTGGTAACACTTTATATTTATAATCCATTAATAGATCATTTATAAGGCATGTATTAATGATTTACTGAGCACTTGTAAATCATTATTACGACTTTATTTACCACTAGTAATTAAGGTATTTGAAAACGGTTAACACTATTTAACAATGCTCATTAATAAATCATGTATAATGAATTTGTTAATGATCTGTAAATGATTTATAAACTATAATTTTTTAGAAAAATGAAAAACTACATTATGTTTATGTTAGTGAGCTATTTACATACTATGAAGTTGTAAACTATTACTTATTACTTCTGCCTTTATTCATTATCAATATGTTAATGTCTTAAGAACCACATCAAGTACAAATTATTAGTAAACTTTTTTAAAAGTTGCAGCCATTCATACAAAATTATTTATAAAGTTTGAAATTATTATAAATCTTTTCACCAATTTCCCCTTCATAATATCAGTCTGGCCATCCCATCATTAAAAACTATTTGAGACAAAGTCATAAGGGGCATTATTAAAACAAATTTGTCAGCGATTAGATCACCTTCAACCAGTCAGAAGATGACCTAATCCAAAGTGCAGCGTTTGGCTCCGTGGGTTTTTACCCACCCATCATTTTTAAGAGGATGCTGATTGGACAGTAACGGGGCATATTAGTTTGGATTCCAGGGTATGGCTCAGATCAATTAAAAAAACATAAATAAGTACACAGCAGTCAGGAGGTTGAAGAAAAGTTGAACATTTTATTGACTTACCGTGAGAATGTCCAATAGATCACAGCTGTACAAAGTTTGCATATGTTGGAGGAAAACTTGTTGGCTAGCTAGCTAGTAGTGAAGCTAGCTACGTAGCTGCGGGCTAGCTAGCTGTCTTTAGCTGATCCACGTCCGCATCTGATCGATATGCTCGGATGAAAGCAGACATCCGCATGATGTTTTCTATTTTAATACCTTTTTTTCTCCGATATGCACCCGTGCATTGTAGCATAGCAAAAACATAGGTGTAACGATGTGAAGCCTGCCACTCAACCTGAACATAATAACCATAGCAATCATGACAGCACTCTCGCATCAATAACAATGGCACTCTCTGATTGGCTAAGAAAATCTCCTTTCCTGAGGATGGCTCACCCCTCACAGTTCTGGGTGACTTTAACCTCCCTACGTCTGCCTTTGACTCATTTCTCTCTGCCTCCTTCTTTCCACTCCTTTCCTCTTTTGACCTCACCCTCTCACCGTCCCCCCCTACTCACAAGGCAGGCAATACGCTTGACCTCATCTTTACTAGATGCTGTTCTTCTACTAATCTCACTGCAACTCCTCTCCAAGTCTCCGACCACTACTTTGTATCCTTTTCTCTCTCGCTCTCCTCCAACACTACTCACTCTGACCCTACTCAGATGGTAATGTGCCGTCGCAACCTTCGCTCTCTCTCTCCCGCTACTCTCTCCTCTTCCATCCTATCATCTCTTCCCTCTGCTAAATCCTTCTCCCTCCGATCTCCTGATTCTGCCTCCTCAACCCTCCTCTCCTCGCTGCATCTTTTGACTCTCTATGTCCCCTATCCTCCCGGCCGGCTCGGTCCCCCCCCTCCTGCTCCGTGGCTTGACGACTCATTGCGAGCTCACAGAAGAGGGCTCTGGGCAGCTGGAAATGGAGGAAAACTAGACTCCCTGCAGACCTGTCATCTTTTCACTCCATCCTCTCTACATTCTCTTCCTCTGTTTCCGCTGCTAAAGCCACTTTCTACCACTCTAAATGTCAAGCCTCTGCCTCTAACCCTAGGAAGCTCTTTGCCACCTTCTCCTCCCTGCTGAATCCTCCTCCCCCTCCCTCCTCCCTCTCTGTAGATGACTTCGTCAACCATTTTGAAAAGAAGGTTGACGACATCCGATCCTCATTTATTAAGTCAAATGACACCGCTGGTCCTGCTCACACTGCCCTACCCTATGCTTTGACTTCTTTCTCCCCTCTCTCTCCAGATGAAATCTTGCGACTTGTGACGGCCGGCCACCCAACAACCTGCCCGCTTGACCCTATCCCCTCCTCTCTTCTCCAGACCATTTCCGGAGACCTTCTCCCTTACCTCACCTCGCTCATCAACTCATCCTTGATGGCCATGTCCCTTCCGTCTTCAAGAGAGCGAGAGTTGCACCCCTCCTCAAAAAACCTACACTCGATCCCTCCGATGTCAACAACTACAGACCAGTATCCCTTCTTTCTTTTCTCTCCAAAACTCTTGAGCATGCCATCTCTAGCCAACTCTCCTGCTATCTCTCTCAGAATGACCTTCTTGATCCAAACCAGTCAGGTTTCAAGACTGGTCATTCAACTGAGACTGCTCTTGTCTGTGTCACGGAGGCTCTCCACACTGCTAAAGCTAACTCTCTCTCCTCTGCTCTTATCCTTCTAGACCTATCCGCTGCATTTGATACTGTGAACCATCAGATCCTCCTCCCCACCCTCTCCGAGTTGGGCATCTCCGGCGCTGCTCACTCTTGGATTGCGTCCTACCTGACAGGTCGCTCCTACCAGGTGGCGTGGCGAGAATCTGTTAAAATAACTTCTGATAACCAGGTGGCGAATCGCATCTCTGCATGTCTGGCAGACATATCAGTGTGGATGTCGGATCACCATCTCAAGCTGAACCTCGGCAAGACGGAGCTGCTCTTCCTCCCGGGGAAGGACTGCCCGCTCCATGATCTCGCCATCACGGTTGACAACTCCATTGTGTCCTCCTCCCAGAGTGCAAAGAACCTTGGCGTTAACCCAATAGAAAGATCGGGGAAAAGTCCTTGTCCAATAGAAAAAGTATCAACCCATAGCCCTGGCTTTATCTCTAATCAATCACCTCCCTCCGAACTTCCCTACAAACACCCCTGTCTTGTGTACCTCTGATTCAGAGCCACGTCTTGCAGCCATTTGATTTGCTAAGATCAAATCATTACAAATATTTATTTTAATTAGTTCACTCCCACATAGGCCAGATTTGAGTTGCTGTTATTCCAGGCTTATCTACGCTATGCGCAATTAGCCTGGAGACAAGGTTAAATAAAAGATCAACAAATTGTTTATAAAACTATAAATAATTTATATACCTATTATTAAGATATAGTGGCCACTTTAGATGATGTACTGCAAATTAGTTTACTAATAATTTATAAATGGGTTGTTAAAGGGACCTTGCACTTTCAAATCAAAGTTTGACAAACGTTTCCAGATTGTTATCTACACAACCAATGTCGTGGGACGTGGTTTCATCTTGACATCAGTAAAATTTTGAGATCTGAAAACATCTGACAAACGTTCATTTATGCGTGAAATGTCCCTTTACGAATAATATGAATAATGAACAAAGGTATTCAAGTCATTGGCAGATCATTTACTTGGCAGGAGAGCAGCCATGGGTGGGCCTGGGAGGGCATAGGCCCACCCAATGGGGAGCCAGGCCCAGCCAATAAGAATTAGTTTTCCCCCAAAAAGGGCTTTATTACAGACAAATACTCCTCAGTTTCCTCAGCTGTCCGGGTGGCTGGTCTCAGACGATCCAGCAGGTGAGGAAGCCGGATGTTGAGCTCCTGGGCTGGCGAGGTTACACGTGGTCTGCGGTTGTGAGGCCGGTTGAACGTACTGCCAAATTATCTAAAACGACGTTGGAGGTGGCTTATGGTGGAGAAATTAACATTACATTCTCTGGCAACAGCTCTGGTGGACATTCCTTCAGTCAGCATGCCAATTGCACGTCAGCACGCCTCAAAACTTGAGACATCTGGGGTATTGTGTTGTGTGACAAAACTGCACATTTTAGAGTGTCCTTTTATTGTCCCCAGTACAAGGTGCACCTGTGTAATGATCATGCTGTTTAATCAGCTTCTTGATATGGTACACCTGTCAGGTGGATGGATTATCTTGGCAAAGGAGAAATGCTCATTAACAGGGATGTAAACAAATGGGTGCACAAAATTTGAGAGAAATACTTTTTGTGCGTATGGAACATTTCTAGGATATTATATTTCAGCTCATGAAACATGGGACCAACACTTTACATGTTGGGTTTATATTTTTGTTCCGTATAATTATAATGATTTACATTAATGTGCAGTAAATCATTAATACATGCCTTAGAAATGATATATGAATGGCTTTCAAATTAAAGTTATTATAAAGTGTTACCCTCTGAACTCCACAGAGACCTTTAGTGACTGTTGAGAGAAATAAGGAAAAACGACCACGTATAGAGGACTTACTATAAACGTCTGCTTACCTTAGTGACAGCGGCGGTGTGCGCTTCAGACATAGCGTCACTATCCTGGAGCCACTGGGTGGTTGTAGCCACTGATTCTGCCAGCTCCTGGTGGCTAAGAGTCTCGTCTGGGTCCTAACACACACAGTACATGTACACACACACACACACGCAGCACACAGGTGTATTATGGGTGTGTGTGGCAGACAGGGCTCTTGAAAGACAGCTGCCTCTGACAGTGTCCAAGGGATTTCTAGGTAGGTTACGACAGTAGAGACTATAATCAGTAAAAGTATAACATGTTAAACTTAAACCCTGTTATAAGGCCCACATAAACTATCATGACAATGACATAAGAGGAAAAACATTCCATACCTTCAAAAAACGTTCAATACTGCAAAGTAAGACGATTATGAAACAAAACTATCACACAGCTAAAGAGGAAAGAGAAAGGGAAAATGCAGTTGCATGCCCACACGGAATAGCATTCAAAGAAAAGAGGGAACTGTAGGTGACCACTGTAGAAGACTCTTGACGCAACTTCCAAGGACGTGTGTTGCTATGAACACCGAACAATAGTGGCATGATAAAAGGAATAAGTCAGAAATTGTATGAAGTAGTGTATTACCTGTTTTCTGAAGGCATAGAACAATCCCACTCTATGTGCAACAACCACATTATGACCACTAACTTTAAATGTTAGCTCTTAGCCCTAACCCCACTCTTTATTGTAATATTTTGATCAAGTCCCAGAACGGACCTGGCAAATAAATGAGGAGTCAATTAAATTGGAGCAGAGGCAGGATTAAAATAATAATTTGTGGTTGTAGCCAACGAACTAGTGGGCCAATAATATATCTTGTGTTTTATTTTATTTTTATTTTTTATCTTTACCTCCGGAAAACTGCATGTGAGCGTGTCAGAGGATGATGAGTGATGATCTTCGTCCTCGTATTCCTCCTCTTCCTCAGAGAGGCATGCTTCTGAGGCATCCTCCTTCACAACAGGGTTAGGAAAGGGTTAACATTGGCTGTTAGTTAAATGTTAGAGCAGTGGTTGTCAACTCTGGTCCTTTGCGCCAGCTCAGCACTGAAACACCAAATTCTTCATAGTTAGTTGATTAGCTCATTTAGGTATGTTAAAATGCTGTACTGGATCAAAAGACTGCACACCCTGTAGCTCTCCAAGACTGTGAGAACCACTTTGTTAAGAGTGCCTGAAAATTGTTATTCAAACTCATGTTACTTCTAATGTTAGGGTGTGTCTGAAATGGCAAAATATTCCCTACATAGTGCACTAGGGTAACATTCTGTACGTAACATTAATATTTTGGTTGACCATGCGAGTGTGTACCTGATGGCCGGTGGTCCCCGGTGGACCCGTATCCCGTTGATGTGTGCTGAAGGTAAAGGCACTGGGTTCTGTTGTCACACACATATTGCCTGACGGGACGTCCCCCTCAGCCTCCCTTACTTCACACATCTTGCCCTGTGGATACAGAGGAAGAGACTAGAGAGATTAAAGGTCCTGAAAAGTCGAAATCATGCTTTTCATCAAATTAGATGATATTTGGATGAAACTAAATCAAAGTAGGATGACCAAAGTATGAAAAATGACTGTTGCTGGTACATCGATATAGTTCGATCATAAAATCAAATCAAATTGTATTTGTCACATGCGCCAAATACAACAGATGTAGACTTTACTGTGAAATGCTTACTTACGAGCCCTTTCCCAACAATGCAGAGTTAAAAAGTAAGAAAATTAGCTAATAAAAATAGAAAACAGTAACACAATAAATAATATATATATACACAAGGAGTACCGGTACTGAGTCAATGTGCAGGGGTATGAGGTATTGAGGTAATATGTATATGTAGGTAGGGGTAAAAGTGACTAGGCAATCAGGATAGATAATAAACAGAATAGCAGCAGCGTTTGTGGACAGTGTGAAAGTGTGTGTATGTGTGTGGCGTCAATATGCATGTGTGTGTGTTTTGTGTGTGTGAGCGTATGTGGTGTGTGTGTGTGTGTGTATATGTGTGGGTTGGAGTGTCAGTGTAAGTATTTGTGAGTGTGTGGGTATAGTCCAGTGAGTGTGCATAGAGTCGGTGTAAGAGAGTCAGTGCAAAAAAGGGTCAATGCAATATTCCGGGTAGTCATTTGATTAACTGTTCAGCAGTCCTATGGCTTGGGGGTAGAAGACTTAGCATTCCAGTAACGCTTGCCGTGCGATAGCAGGGTAAACAGTCTATGGTTTGGGTGGCTGGGGTCTTTCACAATTTTCCCAGCCTTCCTCTGACACTGCCTGATATAGAGGTCCTGGATGGCAGGGAGCTCGGCCCCAGTGATGTACCGCACCACCCTCTGTAGCGCCTTGCGATCGTAATGCAGCCAGCATGGCAGATGTGTTGTTACCTACCCTCACCAACTGGGGGCGGCCTGTCAGAAAGTCCATGATCCAGTTGCAGAGGGAAGTGTTCAGTCCCAGGGTCCCGAGCTTGGTGATGAGCTTGGAGGGGACTATGGTGTTGAGTATGAGAATTGGAGTGGGTCCAGTGTGTCTGGGATGATGGTGTTGATGTGTGCCATGACCAGCCTTTCAAAGCATTTCATGGTTACAGATGTGAGTGCTACAGGTTGATAGTCGTTTAGGCAGATTACCTTTGAGTTCTTAGGAACAAGGACAGTGGTGGTCTCCTTGAATCATGTTGGGATTATAGACTGGGACAGAGAGATGTTGAAAATATCTGTGAAGACACTTGCCAGCTGGTCTGCGCATGCTCTGAGAACGCGGCCTGGTATTCCATCTGGCCCAGCGGCCTTGCGAGTGTTACCCTATTGAAAAGTCTTACTCACATCGGCCGAGACAGCAGGGGCTTTCATACCTGGCTCAGTGTTGTTTGCCTCGAAGCGAGCATAGTCTGAGAGGTCGTCTGGGAGGTTTGCATCACTGGGCAACTCACAGCTGGGTTTCCCTTTGTAATCCGTAATGGTCTGCAAACCCTGCCACATCCGACGAGCGTTGGACGGGTGTAGTAGGATTCTATCTTAGTCCTATATCGACCTTTTCCATGTTTGATGGCTCGTCGGAGGTCGTAGCGGGCTTTCTTGTAAGCGTTCATGTCTGTGTCCCGTTCCTTGAAATTGGTAGCTCTAGCCTTTAGCCCGGCGCGAATACTGCCTGCAATCCATGGCTTTTTGTTAGGTTACGTATGTACGGTCACTGTGGGGACGAAGTCGCCGATGCACTTATTGATGAAGCCCGTGACTGATGTGGTAAACACCTCAATGTTATCGGATGAATCCCTGAACATATTCCTGTCTGTGCTAGTGAAGCAGTCTTGTAGCTTAGCGTCCGCTTCATCAGACCACTTCGGTACTGAGCACATCACTGGTACTTCCTGTTTCAGTTTTTGCTTGTAAAGGATGGAGTCATGGTCTGATTTGCCGAAGGGAGGGCGAAGGAGGGCCTTGTATGCGTTTTTGTGGATAGAGTAAAAGTGGTCCAGAGTGATAGTGCCTCTTGTTGGTAAAAGTGGGGTTAAAAGCATTTCAGGTTTCCCGCGTTAAAGTCTCCGCCCACTATAAACACTGCTTCTGGGTGTGCATTTTCTTGTTTGTTTATGGCCCTGTACAGCTCGTTGAGTGTCTGCTTAGTGCCATTCTCGTTTTGTGGTGGGATGTAGACAGCAGTGATGATTATAGATGAAAACTCTCTTGGTAGATAAAAAGGTCTGCAATGTACCATGAGGTATTCTAGTTCAGGTGAGCAAAAGCTTGAGACTTCCTTCACACTTGAAGCAGTGCACCAGTTGTTGTTTACAAAGAGGCATATCCCTCCCTCTTTGGTTTTGCCCGAGTCCGCTGTCCGGTTGCGACAAAGCATGGAGAAACCTTAGAGTTTCATGTCCATATCGCCCGTCAGCAAGTTTCTGAAAAGCATAGAATATTACAGCTTTTCACGCCAAGTTGGTAGGAAACTGTCAAATGGAGCTCATCCATCTTGTTCTCCAGTGACTGGACATTTGCCAATAAAATGGAGTGCCGGACAATTTTCTACACCAAAAAGGCTTCTTCAGCTGTCCCCATAGGAGAACCCTTTGAAGAACCCTTTTGATTTCCATGTAGAACCTTTTACACAGAGGGTTCTACATGGAACCCAAAAGGGTTCTACCTGGAACCAAAAAGGGTTCTACCTGGAACCAAATAGGGTTCTCCTATGGGGACAGCCGAAGAACCCTTTTGGAAACCTTTTTTCTAAGAGTGTAACAAGGACTTCAGCCCTCCTCCCGCGACTTTGCTTGTGGCTGTTGGATAGCCCGAACAATGGAGTGGGGTCCGGTGTTAACAAGGGAACAGCTGAGTCGCAGTTGAAGTAGGAGCCGAAATCGAGGTCGAAGTCAAAGTTAGTAGCGGTCGATTCGTAGTTCAAAAGTACTTGGCGGTCACAGGTGATAATGGCGTGAGCTTTGTGACTGGCGTCTTCTGTGTCAAAAACATAAATTCAGAAAGCCAGATATTATTTCTTATTGGGGATCGATACAACATCACATTTAGCTCATTTTAATACATCAATTAGGATTGGGCAATGTCAACCTTTGTCCTATTGTGATTATGTAACCATAAAACATTGTGATATACGATGCTATCGCCCCCTATTGGCCAACCAAAATCATGACGAAAGATAATGTTGTTGAAAGCCTGGGCAGAGGCTAAGTGCCTGCAAATGTTTTCTAATATTCCTTTAGGGTGGAGGAGCTTCAGCATGGAGCACGTTTGTTTGTGTGTGTGTGTGTGTGTGTGTGTGTGGGTGTGTGTGCATGTGTGTGTGTGTGTGTGTGTGTGTGTGTGTGTGTGTGTGTGTGTGTGTCTGTCTGTATGGCGCGCTGTGATGGAGCAGTGACTGTCTGATGAGGAACGGGCTGTCTTACTGTAGTGATATCATGGGCTGGATAGAAGCAGTCTACCATCTTCAGAACTGGATAATAATTGCTTTAATTGCCTAAACCATCACGATGTTGTCACCATCGACGATGGCTGTGAATCATCATCGATAGACGATGCTATTGTAATACCACCCAACCCTAACACCAATGGTAATGTTTTATTATCTTACCTAATTTAAATAAGTACTTTACATAGCTAGTAATTTAAATACGTGTTTACATAGCTAGCTGGCTAGTCTACTGGTGCAAAGATTTGACTGCAGGGTGTTAACAAATATAATGATCGGTTTAACCTTTAATTTGTGTTGTTAGCGTATTACTGGCTAGCTAGGTCTTCAGCCAGCATGGAAAAAAGTGGGGGGAAATGTACATGACTCGTCATATCATTCTGTTCGGAATTCCGACTGCGTTGTCATGTCATCACATCGTCATTGCTGCTGCGAACCACAACAAAAGAGACATGTCAAATGGAAGATGTATACAAAATTGGCTAGTCATGGTTTCCTTTAGGATCTCTCGTAGTCGAGTATGATTTCCCTCCAGGTCTTGTCGCACTGGGGGCAGGGATGGTTCATCCTGTGGCCAGGGCTTGTTCTTACTGGCACAGGTGTCTGTGCTTTGCGGTGTGCTCTTTTCCCAGCTAGTAGTTCTCTCCTTTCGGCCTCAAAGTGTTGAGTTCGGTTGATGATTTTGGACCTCCATGATGATCTGTCAAGGGCATGGATTTCCCAGTTATTTGGAGTCATATAGCGTTTCTTGAGGTGTGCTTTGAGGTTGTCACAGAAATGCTTTTTCTGACCTCCAGGGGCATGGGATCCATCCCTGCGCTGGGAGTAGAAGATCTTTTTAAGAAGTGTTGAGTCGCTTATCCTCACGAGGTGACCTGCCCATCGGAGTTGATGTCCCATTACGATGGCTTCTATGCTGGAGGAGTTGGTTCGCTCCAGGATACTGATGTTGGTTTGTCTGTCTTCCCAGGTGATTTTGGTGGAATCTTTCAAGGGGGTTGATATGTTTTCATTATGCGGTCCAAGTTTCTGCACTGAATAGCAAGGTAGGGATAATCACGGCATTGTACAAGCCCACTTTGGTCCTGGTGGTAATGTTGTGATCCTCGAAGACCCTGTTTTTGTGTTGGCCAAAGGCAGCACTAGCTCAAGCAATCCAATGTTGGATTTGTGGAATTTCTTTCCTTCTTAATGTGTTTGAGCCAATAAGTTGTGTTGTGACAAGGTAGGGGTGGTATACAGAAGATGGTATTTTACCAAATAGGGCTAAGTACATATTATGGCAAGAATAGCTCAAATAAGCAAAGAGAAACGACAGTCCATCATTACTTTAAGACATGAAGGTCAGTCAATGTGGAAAACGTCAAGAATTTTGAGTTTCTTCAAGTGCAGTCGCAAAAACCATCAAGCATTATGATGAAACTGGCTCTCATGAGGACCGCCACAGGAAAGGAAGACCCAGAGTTACCTCTGCTGCAGAGGATAAGTTCATTAGAGTTACCAGCCTCAGAAATTGCAGCCCAAATAAATGCTTCACAGAGTTCAAGTAACAGACACATCTTAACATCAACTGTTCAGAGGAGACTGCATGAATCAGGCCTTCATGGTCGAATTGCTGCAAAGAAACCACTACTAAAGGAGACCAACAATAAGAAGAGACTTGCTTGGGCCAAGAAACACGAACAATGGACATTAGACCAGTGGAAATCTGTCCTTTGGTCTGATAAGTCCAAATTGGAGATTTTTGGTTCCAACCGCCGTGTCTTTGTGAGACGCAGAGTAGGTGAACAGATGATCTCTGCATGTGTGGTTCCCACCAAGAAGCATGGAGGAGGAGGTGTGATGGTGTAGGGGTGCTTTGCTGGTGACACTGTCAGTGATTTATTTAGAATTCAAGGCACACTTAACCAGCATGGCTACCACAGTTTTCTGCAGCGATACGCCATCCCATCTGGTTTGCGCTTAATGGGACTATCATTTGTTTTTCAACAGTACAATGACCCAACACACCTCCAGGCTGTGTTAGGGCTATTTTACCAAGAAGGAGAGTGATGGATTGCTGCATTAGATGACCTGGCCTCCATAATTACCCGACCTCAACCCAATTGAGATGGTTTGGGGTGAGTTGGACCGCAGAGTGAAGGAAAAGCAGCCAACAAGTGCTCAGCATATGTGAGAACTCCTTCAAGACTGTCGGAAAAGCATTCCAAGTGAAGCTGGTTGAGAGAATGCCAAGAGTGTGCAAAGCTGTCATTAAGGCAAAGGGTGGCTACTTTGAAGAATCTCAAATATAAAATATATTTTGATATGTTTAACACTTTTTTGGTTACTACATGATTCAAGATGTGTTATTTCATAGTTTTGATGTCTTCACTATTATTCTACAATGTAGAAAATAAAGAAAAACCCTAGAATGAGTAGGTGTGTCCAAGCTCTTGACTGGTACTGTATATCAGCAGGATTCTCCACAGGAACTCAAAGTTAACAGAGTCAAAGGCCTTATCAGATCAAAGAAGGCCATATAGTCTCTGCCCCTGGCACTTTTCTTGGAGTTAAAGGTTTGAGAAAATCATGTCTGAAGTTCCTCTGCCGGCTCGTAAGCCACTCTGGGATTCAGGGAGGAGTTTTTCAGCAATGGGTGAGAGTCTGTTTAGAAGGATTCTTGCAAGTATTTTGCCTGGAATGGAGAGAGATTCCCCTGTAGTTGCCACAGTCCGACTTGTCCCCTTTCTTGAAGATGGTGACAATGATGGCATCTTTCAGTTCATTGGGAAGGTCTTTATCATTCAAAATCCTGACCATAATTGAGTGCAGGTGTTCTACTAGACATTCTCCTTCGTGTTTGTAGATCTCAGCAGGTTTCTGGTCCGCTGGCTTTGTTCTCTTTTATCTGCTTGACAGCTTTGGCCACTTCAAGCACATTGACTATACATGGTCTGACAGTCAATAAGTGTAACTTATGAAGTGAACCCAGACCTCTTCCTGTCCAGTTTCAACTGAAATTGTCCAACGTGAACTGAGCTCTTGATAAAACAGTGCTGGCAATTTTATTTTGGCTAGCTCAATTGTAAAGCCAGCATTTTGTCTATATCGATGATATTACAATAACCAAATGGTTGGATAAACAAATAATGTGTGAAACCATGACGTATGACAGAATTGGATGTTCCACGCAATTTCAATCTGAATTGCTTCATATATCAGAGCATTTGCTTGAGATGATTTCATTGAAACATTCCGTCCAAGTTGCTTGACATAGGCATTTCAAAGAACTCTCAGTCAAGGTGAGCTTCCCGACCACTCAGCCTGGTCCTTCAGCCATACTGGACATTTATCATTTAGCTACCAAGAACCATTTAGCTATTTGATTTGGAATTTTACAACCCCTTGAAGTATTTAAATGTTTTGCCTTACTGCTATTAGCCCAAACAAACACATTGAATAACATATTCACTACATGGAACAGCAGATAGTCCCCCCCAAAAAAATCTAAAGGAAGTTTGTTCTGAAGTGTCTGTTCTATATCTGAGAGGTATAAGAAAGATCATGAAACATTTTTTTGTTTATGTACATGTATTTAACTGCTTATTTTTGGCACTAAACAGTCTCCATAGATACTTCCATTCCGTTTTTCAATTGGTACCGGAGGACCTTCATACGAGTCTTGAGCAAAACAACCAACATGTTAATGTTCGTGAGAGTCATATTAGTGTGTAGCCCAAACTGTTCGGACGTTACAGACAGAATTTGGCTGATTGTTTGTACCGACTTCAGACAAGTCCCAAGACGCTTGTGGGGGTCGTATAGCAAAATGAAGGAAAACCATTGTGTTCGTGAGAGTCTCATCTTTCCATAGAGGGGTATAATAGTTTGTAGGCCAAACCGTTCGGACACTACAGACGATTTTGTGAGAAGACCAATGTTCTGGATTTCTCATGGTCTGACAAACAACGCTCTAGATCTGTCAACTTTCACCGCAGATGTGGACGTGCGACATCGGCGGATGTGGTGGATTGAGACGATGCAAAAAAACAGATATCTCTAGCTTAAACTGACTAATATTGGGGGGATTTTTTATTATACTAATTTGTTTCCACGGGGGCACGGACATCAACTCTAATTAAAATATCATTTTGCCCAAATTATAAATTCACTATAAATGCCCAAGTGCACAACTCACACCCTCCCCCAGTGGGCAACATTTGGTATGTTCAATTTGTTGTAAACTGTTGTTTCTGGTTGAGAATATTACCATATAACCAGATCATAACTAACTAGTCTCTGTTTCAACAAGGTAGTGACTTCCTTTTTATGATGACATCAAGACGTCATGAGAAATACGTCATATTTCCGTTTTTATCTGGTCAGATAAAGAAGTATTTTTGGTTGTTAAAATGACATTTACAAAATGTCATAATGACGTCACTGAAACCAGTTTTGCCCATTGGGTCAGTTACGCAGTCCTACTTTTTTTTGTTTCCCCCTCGCACTTAATTGATCCAAAATGAATGTAACCCAGTTTCTATTTTTATCACTGAACTTTACTGAACCCTTCTTGAATGAAGAGGGGCCTGGCTTTGGGGACAATATTGGCAACATTGGGGGCACATTACAGTTACATTGCCACAAAATTATTGTAACGTTGTGTGGACATTGGAGACACGGTCTGGTAACGTTGTTGAAACGTGGGGATATTGTGGGGACGTTGTGGGAACGTTTCCTACCTCCAGCGCTCTACTCTGCTCCTGTGTCAGCTGTTCCAGCTCTTGGAGGGGCCGTAGGAGCTGCATGGCTCTGGGGAAGGCACTCAGGGTCTCTTCTGCCCCCTGAGGTAGTCCCAGTTCAGCCTTACAGCCCTCGATCTCCCCCACTGTCCTCCGCATAGACTGGATGTTGGCCAGGATTACCTAGACAGAACAGGAAGGGGGAGGTACATACAGTAAGCACATACACACGTTTTTAAATGCAAGTGTGTGCACGTGTGAATGAAATACATTTCTAAATCATATAATGACAAACATACATGCATGGATATGTACACATCCTCTTATACACACTTAACACACACTTATCACACACACACACACACTCTTGTCCCACCTGCCAGTTGTGGAGGTGTTCTTCAAGCGAGATGTCCAATGTATCAGCGGAGGATAAAATAGCTCTGATCTTGGTCACGTTTTTCTCCATCGTCTTCACCTCTGCTTCAATGGCATCCACTTCCTGAAAATGCCAACAATGCTGTGAATGTTCCAGAGAAAAGCAAAAGCTCGAAAGCAAAAACCAAACTCAAACATGAAAAGCACCACAAGTCAGTTTCATAAATGGAATAGAAAAGATAGAATAGAATACTGCTTTATGGTCCATTGTCTTTTGCTGTCTTATGTTATTCCAAACCTCCTGACACCACACATACCAGTCTGAAAGCTTCTGGTAATAACGTAGGATCACTATGTGATGATACTAAGACATTATAAGGGTACTGTATTTTGGGTTAAAAAAACAACTCCAGGCCACTGATGGACGGCTAAAATTAGATAGAAAGTATGTAGAAATTATAATGGACCAATACCTTTTGAAATAGCTGCCCTTTTTTCAGGACCTGCAAATTGCTTTTGACTAACTAATCAGTCAGAAAAAAAATCTGTGCGGTCCTCTGGTGAATTTTGATATCCCGATGTGGCCCTTGAGCCGTACCATACCCATACCATAATGTCTGATACCTGTTTTCACTTTACGTAGTAACTTCTATTCTAGGGATAGAACAGCACAGGGGTTTTCAACCTTTTTGGCTACTGTATCCCCAATCACTTTGCTCTGCTCAAAGTTCCCCCTCGTGCAACCAACCATAGGTCTATGTTCTTATACATTTTCCCAAAGCATTTGTATACGGTACCACTGTATTGAATTTAATGGCATTTAATTTACTTTTAAAGTGTTAGTTCACCCTAATTTCCTCCTTTAAAATATTTTTCTTACCATGGAAGTATTCTATAGGCCAGGAGTGACTGCAAATTACACTCAGTACATTTCAGTAACTCCTGGCCTAAACTACTTCTAAGGTAAGAAGAGGATTAAAAAAGTATGAAATTAGGGTGAACTGTTGCTTTAAAACAAAAAGAAGACAAAAGATAAAGGGGATGAAAAAAGGTATAAATTAAAATCCTAAATTATTCAAGACAAACCAAAGGAAAATACATGCCGTGAAGAGAGGTGGGCCAATGTTTTTTTCTTCTTTACTTTTCTCAATATTTTCTATACTATTTATTCATTTCTTTTGGCTTTTTATCAATAAAAATGCATTTATTAGCATCAAAGGTTTGTGTGTGAGTTGTTTTTCTGGGTCAGACCAAGACCAAATGTGTTCGATCAAATATAAGCCTAGACACGCAGTGAAGTGTTCCATTGAAACTCACTAGCATTAGCCACAGCTGTTATTATTTAAATGTCATACTGGGAGGAGACACAATGCATTCTGAGAGAGGGCAAAACTCCTCTATTGAGGCTGTTGATTGACAACCTTAGTCTCTTTCCACAAACACTCTAGCTTTAAGCACCATGCTCATGGTCACACTCCGCTCTCTCCCGCTTTACACAACCAAATGCCTTAAAACCCACGCACACACACATTCACACTTATACATGGCTGGCTTGCACTTTGCACTTGTGACCTCCTGTGGATAGGGCAAGTACCCCCAGGGGGACTGGTACTGGTGTAGGTTGAATTTGCCCCAAAGACAGTGATCTTGTCTACGTTTTGCATTTCTCCCGCTAATGGTTAAGGTTAGGACTGGGGCAGGGGAGGCTGATCCTAGATCTGTACCTAGAGGAAACTTGACCCCGGAGCTAGTAGTACACCCTATTGAGAACCACTGCAATAGAGGGTCTTACCGGAGTGATGTGCAGCAGCTGGTCCAATGGCCCCATGATGTTTTGCTGCATGGCGGTGACTTGGCATTCGGTCTGGACCAGCCTATCCTCCATAGCAGTGGTGTGACACACAACAGAGATCTCCCCCAACACCGTCCTGAAGCCCACCAGAGTGGCAAGGATACGCTCCGAGTCATCCAGCACCATCTATGGTATGGGGTTACAGAACATGGACACATGAGAGCACACCCGCATGCACACACACACACACATACACACACACACACACACACACACACACACACCCACACCCACACACACACACACACACACACACACACACACACACACACACACACACATTTATGCTACACACACATCCCAACTGCTGCTAAAAGACTCTTATTATGATTGCTAAATACTGCACAATTTAAACACTTGCCCCCCAATCACCCCTTCCCCAAAACACGTGTAAATATTGTACTATAAATTGTGCCTTCCTGTATAATACTTATGCTAAAAAATGTATTCTATTCTACTGAGCCATTTACTTTATGTTCGTATTCTTATCTTTTATTATTTCTTATCGTTGTTGCATTGTCGAGAAGGAACCTGCAAGTAAGCATTTAGTTGGACGGTGTATACCATCTCGTACATATAACTAATAAAACTTGTTACTTGGAACACACACTCGCACACGCACAGCTCTAGTATATATACATTCTGAACTACCAACACCGTTAGCAGTGTTCTACAATCCAGGGGATTGCGCCTATGTACATGTGAGGGTGTGTCTGTGTGTGTGTGCGTGCAGTGGACTGGCCTGCAGTGTGTTGGCCTGGCTCTGGAGGCTCCGGGCTGTGGTGTAGGTGCCAGGAGCGTCTAGCCAGGACTGGGATTCGTCTAGCCAGCAGCCAGCACTATGGATTATATCTTCATACTCCTGGAGGCAGGCAGGGATCTAACAGAGGGGGACAGTGAATATAGGACATAGAGCATAGGATAGGGTTCCTCTATTGGGCCCCCCAAGATATTGAAAAACGAAACAAATAACATATATATACAGTGCATTCGGAAAGTATTCAGACCCCTTCCCTTTCTTCACATTTTGTTAAGTTACAGCCTTATTCTAAAATGGATTAAATGAATTTTATCCCTCATCAATCTGCACACAATACCCCATAATGACAAAGCGAAAACAGGTTTGTAGAAATGTTCGCAAATGTATAAAAAATACAAAACAGAAATACCTTTTTTACATAAGTATTCAGACCCTTTGCTATGAGACTCGAAATTGAGCTCAGGTGCATCCTGTTTCCACTGATCATCCTTGAGATGTTTCTATAACTTGATTGGAGTCCACCTGTGGTAAATTCAAATGATTGGACATGATTTGGAAAGTCACACACCTGTCTATGTAAGGTCCCACAGTTGACAGTGCATGTCCGAATAAAAACCAAGCCATGAGGTCGAAGGAATTGTCCGTAGAGCTAAGAGACTGGATTGTGTTGAGGCACAGATCTGGGGAAGGGTACCAAAACATTTCTGCAGCATTGAAGGTCCCCAAGAACACAGTGGCCTCCATCATTTTTAAATGGAAGAGATTTGGAACCACCAAGACTCTTCCTAGAGCTGGCCGCCCGGCCAAACTGAACAATCGTGGAAGAAGGGCCTTGGTCACGGAGTTGCCCAGGAATCCAATTGTCACTCTGACAAAGCTCCAGAGTTCCTCTGTGGAGATGGGAGAACCTTCCAGAAGGACAACCATCTCTGCAGCACTCCACCAATCAGGCCTTTATGGTAGAGCGGCCAGAAGCCACTCCTCAGTAAAAGGCACATGACAGCCCGCTTGGAGTTTGCCAAAAGGCACCTAAAGGACTCAGACCATGAGAAACAAGATTCTCTGTTCTGATGAAACAAAGATTGAACTCTTTGGCCTGAATGCCAAGCGTCACGTCTGGAGGAAATCTGGCACCATCCCTACGGTGAAACATGGTGGTGGCAGCATCATCCTGTGGGGATGTTTTTCAGCGGCAGGAACTGGGAGACTAGTCAGGTTTGAGGGAAAGATGAACGGAGCAAAGTACAGAGATATCTTTGATGAAAACCTGCTCCAGAGCGCTTAGGACCTCAGACTGGGGTGACGGTTCAACTTCCAACAGGACGACGACCATAAGCCACAGCCAAGACAACGCAGGAGTGGCTTCGTGACAAGTCTCTGAATGTCCTTGAGTGGCTCAGCCAGAGCCCAGACTTGAACCCGATTTAACATCTCTGGAGTGACCTGAATATAGCTGTGCAGCGATGCTCCCCATCCAACCTGACAGAGCTTGAGAGGATCTGCAGAGAAGAATGGGAGAAACTCCCCAAATACAGGTGTGCAAGAAGAATCAAGGCTGTAATCGCTGCCAAAGGTGCTTCAACAAAGTACTGAGTAAAGGGTGTGAATACTTATGTAAATATAATATCAGTAGTTGTTTTTTTGTACATTTGCAAAAATTTCAAAAAATCTGTTTTTGCTTTGTCATTATGAGGTATTGTGTGATGAAAAAAAAACAATTTAATCCATTTTAGAATAAGGCTGTAATGTAACAAAATGTGGAAAAAGTCAAGGGATCTGAATACTTTTCGAATGCACTGTATATATATATATATATATATATATGTATATATATATATATATATATATATATATATATATATATATATGTAATAGATTTTATATTTTATATATATATATTCATATTATTAATTTTAAAAAATGTATATAATGTTCATTCATGGACATAAAATACTGTAAAACCACTAGGAAATGAGCTCAGTGATTTTAATTTAGGAAATCTGTTCCCAAGTATTCCCACAAATGAAAAGAATGTAATCAAGGTTTGAAATGATCCTGTTTTTGTCAAATACTATTATCTGTTTGGGATTCTTGCGGTCAATTTGCAGTGTACAAATGATTTATAACTATGTTCCAGCCCCCGACCATCCGCTCAAGGAAAAATCGTCCCACGGCTGAATGCAATTGGGGACCCCTGGCATATGCCAAAGGAACTGAAATAAATGGAGGGAAAAAAACAGTCAACTGAAATTGTGCTGTTTTGGAAGAACCAGTTGAGGAATGTTGTAATTATAAGATACAACCACTTGGTGTACATGGTGAATATGGTGAAAAGCCAACCAAGCCAATCAGAGGGTAAGGTTGAGCTACTCCTGTATTATCTCTCACTCACCTTGCTGAGGAAGGCAGTGCGCTGCTCAGCCTGCTGGGCCGTGTCCTGGTAGAGCTGAAGCGGCTGGGTGATCTGGTCCATGAGGAGGTGGGCCTGCTCCGGCTCCTCCTCGGCCGCCTCTTGCACCTCGCCCTCCAGGAGGGCCAGCCGGCCGTGCCACTGGTCCAGCTGGTCCCATACGAACTAGACAAAAATATTATGTCGTCATGATATCAATCAATGAATCAATCAATCCCATGTACTTCTCAGGCCTTTTTTTTTTACATCAACAGTTGTCACAAAGTGCTTTTCAGTGACTCGGCCAAGAGCCAGGTTAGGAGCAATCTTGCACGATTGATTGGGGTCAGGGAAGGACACACATACATACACACTAGGTTGATTGTTTCAGGGGAAGAACAAACGCATGAATGCAAACATGGAGACACACACACATACACACACACACACCTTTAGCACATGTTCAGCTTCGGACACAGAGGGGCTCCTCTGCTGCAGTAATGTCTGGACCTCTTCTAGCCCGACACGGATCTCCCCCATTCTGCTACTCAGCCTATTGAGTGGGTTGCTCTTTTCCAGGGCTTGGCCAACCTGGTAAATACACACACGCACATGCATGCGCACACAAACACACACACACACACACAATGAAATAACACTTAAAGTCACAACTAGCCCGGTTTTTACTCAGAAACCAGTGTTGGGCTCAATCCCATTTCCATACAGCAAACTTATCGGATGAAACTTGTCCGATGTTTTCTATGTGGACTTTTCGATTAATTTGCTGAATTTCAATTCCCTTCCACAATTGACTGAATTGAGATGGAATTGACCCCAAAACTGCTCTACCAACCATCCCACCAAGGAGTAGGGTGAAGTTGCCCCTAGATGCTGATTTTATGTCAGTTTTGCATTTTCTCCACTAATGGTTAAGGTTAGGATTGGGGGAGGGGACGCTGATCCTAGATCTGTTCCTATCGGTAACTTTATCCCCGTTACCTTCTCCTCCATGTCCTGCAGAGAGCCGGTGACTTCTTGCAGCTGTCTCTCCACCTCCGGAGGTATAACAGCGGCATACTTTGTCCCGACACACTCCATGATGCACTGTAACCTGGCCCTCAGGGAACCCAACTCCACCCTGACCTCCTGCAGAGAGAGAGAGAGAAAGAGAAAGGGGAGGGAGATAGAGGAAGACAGAGAGAGAAAGGGGGAGTGGGGAGAGAGGGAGGGTGGAAGGGTGGAAGGAAAGCGGGATGGAGAACGAGGGAGAGGGGGGAGGGGGAGAAAGGGAGAGAGAGAGAGAGATGGAGACAGAGGCAGAGAGGGGAGAGAAAGGGAGAGAGAGAGCGAGAGACAGAGACAGAGAGGGGAGAGAAAGGGAGAGAGAGAGCGAGAGACAGAGAGAGAGGGGAGAGAAAGGGAGAGAGAGAGAACAAGGATAAATAGAGAACGAGAGAGGGAGAGAAATAGATACCATGTGAATGTGCCTTAAACCCCCTAAGGTCGATGTCCGCGTCCCCACGGAAATCTAATTAGCGTAATAATTTTTTTTTGCATAAAAATCTGTCAGTTTAAGCTAGAGATATCTGTTTCTTTGCATTGGATGCATCTCAATTCCCACGTCTGCCTATTTCGCACTTCCACATCTGTGGTGAAAGATGACAGAGCTAAAGTGGTGTTTGTCAGACCATGAGACATCCCGAAAATGTGTCTTCTCACAAAATCGTCTGTAGCATCCGAACGGTTTGGCCTACAAACTATTATACCCCTCTATGGAAAGATGAAACTCTCACAAACATGATGGTGTTCTCCGTTTTGCGGTATGACCCCCACAAGCGTCTTGGGACTCGTCTGAAGTCAGTACAGCCAATCTGCCAACTTCTGTCTGTAGCGTCCGAACAGTTTGGGCTACACACTTATATGACCCCTCTGTGGGAAGGTGAGACTCTCACAAACATGTTTGTGTTGGTTGTTCTGCTCTAAGCTGCCCACAGGCCTCACAAGACTCATCTGAAGGTCCCCCGGTACCAGTTGAAAACATTTATGGAAGTACTATATATATGGACACTGGACACTGTTTTGTGCCAAAAATAAGGGGTTAGTTACATACATGTAAAAAATAAAAAAATAAAAAAGAATGATTCCTGATTTTTATTATATCCATCCGATATAGGACAGACACCTCAGAACAAACTTCCTTTAGATTTTTTTTTTGGGGGGGGATTATCTGTTGTAATGTAGTGAATCTGTTATTCAAAGCATTTGTATGGCTAATCGCACCTATGCCAAATACACATTTTAATCAAATAATTTTTTATATATATATTTTTATACTTCAAGAGGTCTTAAAATTCCAAATCAAATAGCAAAATTATCCTTGGTATGACCTTCTTAAAACAATTCCATCTATCTTAGTAGAACCCCCCCTCCCCCGGCTTAGACAGGGCTTAGTCTCTTATGGGTTCTAAACTGTCTCCAAAAACGGCCTTCTTAAGCGCAGCAAACTCTACTGAATCTAATGAGGCATTAAGGACCTGTTGTCTCCACTTAAAAGTTAGCAGGTAAAGTAACTGCAGAATTGACTGAGGAGAGTTCAAAAGATGCTCGGGTCAGCGGGAGGAGAAAGGAGAAAGGAAGCTCCAACCATAGAATCAGAATGACTAGTTCAATTCAACGGTTGGGATACACATAACAGGACTGTTTATAACTTATGAGTCATGAATTGACTGAGGAGAGTCATGATGTAGCCTATTTAAAGGGGAAGTTCAGTTTTTTAAAACTTAATGTTAACGATGGCTAAAGTTAGCTGAGGTTTGTAGTGGCTGTTTCAAGAAAAGTTTACCATGTTATAGTTTCTTCTGGCCCATACAATAAATTAATCTCTCTCTCTAGCCTCTAAATGGAGAACTCCTGTAGCTCAGTTGGTAGAGCATGGTGCTTGCAACACCAGGGTTGTGGGTTCGTTTCCCACGGGGGGCCAGTATGAAAAATGTATGCACTCACTAACTGTAAGTCACTCTGGATAAAAGCGTCTGCTAAATGACTAAAATGTAAATGTAAATAAAGAATACAGTGTATTTCCCATAGTAGCTCACCTTTAGTTGGCGTGTGCTGGGGTGGGACGCCAGAATGGAGAGCAGGGTAGCCACTTGCTGCGCCACCTCTCCGATCTGCTCCTGCAAGCGCTCCCTCTCCTGCTCCTCTGAAAGCGCCACGCTCTGGACCAGCATGCTCTGCTCTCTCAAACTGTGTGGGCACAATGTCACCCTCACAATGTTAAAGGTAGGCTCAGCAATATGACATAATCATACACTGTCATAGGGCAACTTCCCAGACTTTACACAGAGAGGAAGAGGCAAAGGCAGATGCTGGACTGCGCCTCTATTTCTGTCAGCGGGAAAATGGAAGTGGGGTTTATTTTGTATAGAGGGCAATGGGAGAGTGTTGATTTTGGTCAACATAAAAATGTATTGCTAATTTGCTACGTGAGGCCTATTTGATTGAATATAAGTTTTGTAATGCTTAGGTTGTTACAAATGTATTGATATAAGTGGATGCGCTTGACATCCCTCCAACCTGGAGAAAAAAATAATGTTATATCGGAGGTGTGCCTGTTGTTCACATGCGAAGCTGCCATTTAATTGACTAGAATGTTCCCGCTTGCTCCCGCCTCCTCCAGCCTGCCTTCCACCTTTACGGACACTGATTCACATAGAGTGGAGACTCCAATATCTTGTCAGTATATACAACAATTTTAGCTTTACAGACATTTCTTTCAGCATGGCCACATTGGGATGAGTTTTGGTAGATTTGAATTTTGTAGTTGTAGATTTCTATCAGCAGGAAGTCGCCCCACTGTGTAAGATGATCTCATTAGGCTCAGTCTACCTTTAATAACCTGACAGTCCTCGAAATCGGGCATTAGAATCACTTAAAAATATATATATGTTTACATTACTTATTGTATTGATAAATCAAGACCTTCCTAGGACCATTTAAGGGTCCTCTGTCGAATAAACGTGTATTTGCCTCCCTCTAGTGGTCGGCTGCATCATTACATCAATTTATATAACTTCACTGTGACGTCACGTCAAAGGGGCGGTCCTTACAAAAACATTTATCCAGCTCGACTGCTTCACAGCACAGACATGGCAAAGCAATCGCTGAATTTGTCTCGAGCAGGCAGATATAAATACTAAATACTTTCATAGCTCTAGGAAAAAGAATGTGACCTACACGCTTCCTTAAACCTAAAATAAATAAAGAAGTAATTTTGTGTGGAAGTCCAAAATATTCTTTTTTTATACGTATGCTCAAAACGACAAAATCGAGCCCTTTAAATAGCCCTTCACCCCTTGTCTATAGGAGGGATGCACACCGTTTAAATGGCCCAAATGTTGATTTAGACGTCCACAAATTTAACAGATTTTGACTATCACTAATGTCATGATACGTTTGGTAAAGCAATAAAGAAGGTGAAATATTTTGGGTAGATTTTCCTAAAACAGATTACAACAGATTACAATAGATTACAATAGGCATATTATAAAGTATGAAAAGGCTTGTTCATTCAGAATTCTTTTATTTTGATCATATCATCATATTTGTATATGTTTTATTATACTTTTATTGTGTACTGGATCTTTTGGGTTGAAAAGTGTTTTTTTCTCAGACATAAATAAACAAAGGTCATAGCTTTCTGGACACACACACACACACATACACACTACTACATTAATACAATATTGCCCTCTTGCTAGAGTGATGATTACAGCCATAGCGAAACAGTACAAAACAGCTGTCAGCTCAACTGTTTTTAATATCAATTTGCCATTCCCCCCAGAAATGTCCGGGAACTTGCAGGTGCCTTGGTGGAAGAGTGGGGTAACATCTCACAGCAATAACTGGCAAATCTGGTGCAGTCCATGAGGAGGAGATGCACTGCAGTACTTAATGCAGCTGGTGGCCACACCAGATACTGACTGTTACTTTTGATTTTGCCCCCCCCCCCCCCCCCCCCCCCTTTGTTCAGGGACACATTATAAAAAGTCTGTTAGTCACATGTCCGTGGAACTTGTTCAGTTTATGTCTCAGTTGTTGAATCTTGCTATGTTCATACAAATATTTACACATGTTAAGTTTGCTGAAAATAAACACAGTTGACAGTGAGAGGACGTTTCTTTGTTTGCTGAGTTTATGTACAGTGAGGGAAAAAAGTATTTGATCCCCTGCTGATTTTGTACGTTTGCCCACTGACAAAGAAATGATCAGTCTATAATTTTAATGGTAGGTTTATTTGAACAGTGAGAGACAGAATAACAACAAAAAAATCCAGAAAAACGCATGTCAAAAATGTTATACATTGATTTGCATTTTAATGAGGGAAATAAGTATTTGATCCCTCTGTAAAACATGACTTAGTACTTGGTGGCAAAACCCTTGTTGGTAATCACAGAAGTCAGACGTTTCTTGTAGTTGGCCACCAAGTTTGCACACATCTCAGGAGGGATTTTGTCCCACTCCTCTTTGCAGATCTTCTCCAAGTCATTAAGGTTTCGAGGCTGAAGTTTGGCAACTCGAACCTTCAGCTCCCTCCACATATTTTCTATGGGATTAAGGTCTGGAGACTGGCTAGGCCACTCCAGGACCTTAATGTGCTTCTTCTTGAGCCACTCCTTTGTTGCCTTGGCCGTGTGTTTTGGGTCATTGTCATGCTGGAATACCCATCCACGACCAATTTTCAATGCCCTGGCTGAGGGAAGGAGGTTCTCACCCAAGATTTGACTGTACATGGCCCTGTCCATCGTCCCTTTGATGCGGTGAAGTTGTCCTGTCCCCTTAGCAGAAAAACACCCCCAAAGCATTATGTTTCCACCTCCATGTTTGACGTGGGGATGGTGTTCTTGGGGTCATAGGCAGCATTCCTCCTCCTCCAAACACGGCGAGTTGAGTTGATGCCAAAGAGCTCCATTTTGGTCTCATCTGACCACAACACTTTCACCCAGTTCTCCTCTGAATCATTCAGATGTTCATTGGCAAACTTCAGACGGGCCTGTATATGTGCTTTCTTGAGCAGGGGGACCTTGCGGGCGTTGCAGGATTTCAGTCCTTCACAGCGTAGTGTGTTACCAATTATTTTCTTGGTGACTATGGTCCCAGCTGCCTTGAGATCATTGACAAGATCCTCCCGTGTAGTTCTGGGCTGATTCCTCACCGTTCTCATGATCATTGCAACTCCACGAGGTGAGATCTTGCATGGAGCCCCAGGCCGAGGGAGATTGACAGTTATTTTGTGTTTCTTCCATTTGTGAATAATCGCACCAACTGTTGACACCTTCTCACCAAGCTGCTTGGCGATGGTCTTGTAGCCCATTCCAGCCTTGTGTAGGTCTACAATCTTGTCCCTGACATCCTTGGAGAGCTCTTTGGTCTTGGCCATGGTGGAGAGTTTGGAATCTGATTGATTGATTGCTTCTGTGGACAGGTGTCTTTTATACAGGTAACAAGCTGAGATTAGGAGCACTCCCTTTAAGAGTGTGCTCCTAATCTCAGCTCGTTACCTGTATAAAAGACACCTGGGAGCCAGAAATCTTTCTGATTGAGAGGGGGTCAAATACTTATTCCCCTCATTAAAATGCAAATCAATTTATAACATTTATGACATGCATTTTTCTGGATTTTTTTGTTGTTATTCTGTCTCTCACTGTTCAAATAAACCTACCATTAAAATTATAGACTGATCATTTCTTTGTCAGTGGGCAAACGTACAAAATCAGCAGGGGATCAAATACTTTTTTCCCTCACTGTATATGTGCTTAAATGTTTCCTAGAATCATATTGACACTCATGGTGTGTAATAGTACACCTACTGTCAACATTTGTCAATAAACAGTGTTAATAAACAGTGTCAATATGATTGTCTGCACACCTATGGCAAAGGCTCCAGGGTTCTTGCGCTGACAACTAATGTTTATGTAAAAAGAAAAAGGAAAACATTTAAACCCACATACAGCTTTTTCTGCGTTGTGCTTTTCTATTCCTGAGGTGTGTGTATGTGTGTGTGTGTGTGTGTGTGTGTGTGTGTGTGTGTGTGTGTGTGTGTGTGTGTGTGCATGCGTGCGTGTGTGCCATGTGAATTGTGTGAGTGAGTTTCGAAAGACGGAGTATTTGTATTTCAAAGAGAGTACTGTATCATCCTTACCTCCTAAGGCGCTCCTGCATGTCCCTCAGCCTTTGGCAGACTGGGATGGGGCTAGCTGTCTCCTGAGGGCTGGACTCACCCAGGAGCTGGGAGAGCCGGAGCTCCAGGGAGGTCAGGATTCGCTGTTCCCGCTCTAGCCCAACCTGGTGCTGCTCTGTCTGCACTAGCAGAACCAGTGGGCCTCCCTGAGCGGAGCTCACTGTGGTGGGGTCCGGCAGCTCACCCTGCAGCTTGTCCAGAGCACTGCTGCATTGAGCCATCTGGGACACCCAAAGGACACACAACCACAAACACAGTGGGGAAAAAAAGTATTTAGTCAGCCACCAATTGTACAAGTTCTCCCACTTAAAAATATGAGAGAGGCCTGTAATTTTCATCATAGGTACACGTCAACTATGACAGACAAATTGAGAAAAAAAATCTAGAAAATCACATTGTAGGATTTTTTATGAATTTATTTGCAAATTATGGTGGAAAATAAGTATTTGGTCACCTACAAACAAGCAAGATTTCTGGCTCTCACAGACCTGTAAAAACTTCTTTAAGAGGCTCCTCTGTCCTCCACTCGTTACCTGTATTAATGGCACCTGTTTGAACTTGTTATCAGTATAAAAGACACCTGTCCACAACCTCAAACAGTCACACTCCAAACTCCACTATGGCCAAGACCAAAGAGCTGTCAAAGGACACCAGAAACAAAATTGTAGACCTGCACCAGGCTGGGAAGACTGAATCTGCAATAGGTAAGCAGCTTGGTTTGAAGAAATCAACTGTGGGAGCAATTATTAGGAAATGGAAGACATACAAGACCACTGATAATCTCCCTCGATCTGGGGCTCCACGCAAGATCTCACCCCGTGGGGTCAAAATGATCACAAGAACGGTGAACAAAAAATACCAGCAACAGTGTGTGAAAACCTTGTGAAGACTTACAGAAAACGTTTGACCTGTGTCATTGCCAACAAAGGGTATATAACAAAGTATTGAGAAACTTTTGTTATTGACCAAATACTTACTTTCCACCATAATTTGCAAATACATTCATAAAAAATCCTACAATGTGATTTTCTGGATTTTTTTTCTCATTTTGTCTGTAATAGTTGACGTGTACCTATGATGAAAATTACAGGCCTCTCTCATCTTTTTAAGTGGGAGAACTTGCACAATTGGTGGCTGACTAAATACTTTTTTCCCCCACTCTATTTACACATAGGCGTACAATACTACTACACACACTTTTGTACAAAAACAAACAAGGTATTTCCAAAGCCCTACTCTTTGTGGATCAACTATGTGTAAAGTATTATGAATATATACATAAAAAATACGTTATGAGCCATGTGCTGTTGTGAAGGTAAGAATAATCACCTTTATAATACATGTATGTATATTTATCATGTGCCGGGCCTACTAAAGGCTTCTATTTAATGGAGTGCTCATCCGGGGTGAAGTCATGTAGTCCAACAAAGAAAAGTAATTCTTTTTTGGACTACATGCATTTATTCATATGTAATATACTTATTATATACCATATACTATATTACATTATGACCATTAAAGGACCAGTTCACTGAAGATAGTTCGGTCACGTGACTCACGCTCTTGGTGACGTCCCTCCACTCCACCCCTCTCTGCTCTAAGCGTGCCTGGAGGAGGCTGACGCCGCGCCGCAGTGCCGCCCAGCGCCTCCAGAGGGCACCCAGTGCCCCCTCGGTGCCCACACAGCACCCCCGCAGTGGGCACACCGCCCTCAGCTCCTCCAGCTTCCCAGCTATAGACAGCACCTCCTCCGACAGTGTCTTCACATTAAGAGATTAATCAATCAGTCAAATGTATTGTATACAGAATATATCCCTTTCTTTTACAACATGTGTCACAAAGTGCTTTATAGTGCGGCAGAACTGTGGTGTGGCAGAGCTGTGGTGTAGTGGCAACACACATGTAACTCACTGATGGATACTGGGGTTCAAGCCCTGTGTCCTCCCCTGTACCTTTTTCCCCCCTCTCCACCTCTGTATCCCCTTGATATCTAATCAGTCTAAATAAAGCTTGAAGAAATGCTTTTTAAAAACAAGTGCTTGACAGTAAACGGGACCATACCCCCGAAAAGTAAGCAGGAGAACAGTGGCAAGGAAAAACTCCCTAGAAGGAATAAACTCTGAGAAGAACCACTGATGCATAGCACTTCACACACCTTGGCTCTATCCTGTTGGTCAGCACAGTTGGTGTATGATGTCACTTCCTGGGCAGCACACTCAGAGAGCCTTGATTCGTTGTTCTTCATGATCTGCCATACCTCCTCATGACACTTCCTGTGGAGGCTTTGTCTGTCCGCACACCTATGGAATAGATACAAAACAAATATGTTGACTGAAAATCGTCCGGTTTTAATGTCTGGTTTTAATGTTGTTTACATTTTCATGTTTTTTAAGTCATTGTGAAGCTAAAAGCTCATTTGTACTCTGGGTGGAAAATTAGGATTTGGTTTGATCTACTGTACTCTTTTACATGCACATAAATCAACATGTCTGTTTTTACATCAATGTAAATGTACCAGTGTTAGAAGCTAATTTACATCCAAAGTTCCCAGATCCGTAGCTTTCTACTCTAATCTTATTTGATTCAATGCAACATAAAATACATAGACATGAGCTGCATCCTCATCCAGGCTTTCATTTAGTTATCATCAAACGAGGGTGAACAGAGGGAAAAGTAACAAGGCACTAAAATTTCATTTATTAGACTGCTGAACCTATTTGTCTCAATTACACCAACATTTTTGGAGCAATTCCATTTCAGCAGAGACTAGAGACATGGGTCTCGGAGTGCTAAACTGTGGTCAACATGAAGTGTACGAAATATAATTATTATGTTCCCATCCGCTCAGCACCCGCTCAGCAACCTGCCTAATTTAGTTGATTACCCCTGATATAAGTGGTCCTATTGCTGTTCAATGTGTAAATTGTTGTTTTCTAAACTGTAGTGCTTTGTGTTTTATGTTGTAAATGTGTCTGCAACTTTGTGTGCTGCTATTTTAGCCAGGTCTCTCTTGTAAAAGATTATTAATCTCAATGAGACTAACCTGGTAAAATAAATAAACACATAAAAATACATAGGGGTGCCTTGCCACATCATAGTGGCATGCGGCATGTCACATTCCCCCCAAAATGTAATAGCTTAGAAAGGTTGACAATGCATGCCTATTTGGTGACCAATGTTCAGCATCTAATGTTCATCAAGCTTCTTTGTACGATAACTTTTAGAGTGTGACTGTGTTTAAATGTGACCAAAACAGCAAGGACCAAAGGCCATGTGTAACCTTTGATGAGTGAGTATGTAACCTTTGGCCTACCTCTGAAAGGCCTCCATCCTGAGCTCAACCTTGGCCTCGAGTGCGGCCCTCTCCACCAAAATGTGGCTCAGGACCCGGATGTGGAGCTGCTCGCTCTTGGGGAAAGAGAGGCAGGCCTGCTGTGGTGACAGCTCCAGGAGATGGCTGATTTGCACCTGGAGACTCTCCCCCAGGGAGGCTAGGGGCTCTTGGGTGTATCGTTTCTCCTCTGTGCAGTCCACAAATCCACCTGGAGGTGCCAGGAACATGGCCTCGGCTTCGTGGAGGAATGTTACCACTCCTTGGGCAGCCCAGTGGTAATCATTCATGGCTTCCCGAGCATGGGACAAACTCTCCTACAGGACATATTCAAGATTATTAAAAAATATTATTAAGCATTCAGGCAAGGATGTCATTTGAAGTATATCACAATACAATACAAGCTGCGTGGTGGAATGTTATTACACATACAACATTAAAGTCAGTTCCAATAGAAGTTAAGGAAAATGTTTGAGGGATAAATTGTTGTAATACGCCATTTCAGAGATAGTGTGTATTACATTGCATAAAATATGCAAGATTTTAGTTGGTTGACATATCTCCTTAATCAATAAGGCACAAGAGGCAGTGCTATATAATGAATACAGTCACAGGTAAATGGCGTTGTTCTCATTTACCTGTGGCTGTATTCATTATATAGCACTGACTCGTGTGCCGTATTGCTTTTATAAAACATTACCAACATACATATTAAAATAACAATGAAACATTATTTTGATAAGTAAATTATTTCACTAGAATACTGTATATGGTCTGGCCAAAAATCTGGTCAATAGTTATTTTGGTAATGTTTCTGCCAGTTGCTACCAGTCGTTAATTATTTTGGCAAAGTTGCTATGCAAAAGAACTGGTCGTCCGTTCTAACAAAAATGGTTGCTATGCAGGTTGACTAACATTTTTATCACTTGCTGGCTAGCTAGCCAACACAGTTACATCAAACATTGCACCTGGAATGACAGTAAACTAGCCACATTTTCATTTGTGCGTGATTCTGCCTGGCTCAGGAAAAGTTCATGTCTTGTCTGGGCACTGTTCCCTCTCTATGGTACAGGGGAGATCGTTTTTCAAAAGTGAAACATTGTTTCCATGGTCGGACAGGCAGACAGCAAGGCTTATAATAAACCCCACTGTTACAAACCAAATAGTATCCTAGAAGCAAGGGGAAATAATGTGTGAGTTGAGATAAATTCAAGAGATGATTCGGACAGCAACATGAACATGAGGATATTCTTATAGAGGCGCAGTGATAATTCAGATGGAACTGTTAGCAGGCATAGGTGTGCATGTGTCGGCGAATACAGTACGGCTTGGAACACTGCTCGTCCAATAAGCATCTAGGATCCAAATTATTATTATTATGTCAACCAACTCAAATTTCATGCATATTTTATGAAATGTAATGCACACTGTTGCTGAAATTGTGAATTACAACAATTGTAATGTAATGAGCCCACTGAATTTACCATGAATGCGTGGCACTTCTGCACAATGTCATTCCTCAGGGTGTACAGCTCCCCACACTGGCTCATCTCCACTTGCTCTCTCTGCCCCAAAGCTTCCAACACCCGCATGACAGACTCTACGTTCCTCCAGATCACCCAGCACCTCTGTAGTGCTATATTGATGGCCCTCACATCTGGCTCCACCGGGTCAGACTCTGTCAGCTCCTGCCTGACCTGTTGAAGAAGGTCCATCATGGCAGGAAGCTCGGTGCAGAATCTGAGACCCTCCAGAAGCTTTCCCTCTAGGTTTTTGACGTCATCCGTGATGGCAAGCTCCCAGGATTCTAGGTTTTCAACAGTTCGCCGGATCCTCTGCCTCTCCGACAGGAGCAACGTTCTCTCCGATAGATGCAAGTCTTGGGCGATGGCCTCGAGCTGGTCGGAAGCATCCTGGCACTGGGTCTTCACCAGCGGAAGTTCCACCAGGAGAGCCTGGCAAAGCCTGAACCTCTCCCCCATGCTGACTCTCTTGTCTTTGGAGCACTGAGCTCGCTCCTTTGCCACCTCCCTGGAGTCTTCCATGCGCTGCCGGTAGGTCAGGTACTTCTCGTGTTCCAGGGCATGATGGTGGAGCGTTTTCACCCTCTCCTGCAGTTCGCCGATGGTACGCAAGAGGGCGCTTTTCTGGGCCTCTTGGCAGTACTGGAGTTCCTGGATCTGACATTGGTGCTCCAGGAGCATGTGTGTCAAGGGCTCTATGGCAGATAGGGAGTCCTTTGTCACTGGGAACCTCTGCCTCTCCAGGTCGGCCCATATCTGTTGCACGCTCTTCTGGACAGCCGCCAGTTCCTCGGCCGAAGAAGTCCGGGCGTGAAGCAGTTCCTCCAGCTCCCAGTGGGCTGCTTTCACGTGGGCCACCATTCCGTCCACCTCGGTCCGGAGGCCTGTGAGCCTGTTGACCAGAAAGTAGCTCTCTGCTGGACTCAACCCCAAAGAGACCTCCATGCAGGTCTCCAAAAGGGCGTCCATGACAGCCAGCTGTCTTTCTGCTTCCTTGATGGCACCCATGTGAAACTGCAGCTTGCTTTCCAGATCTGAGGTGGTGTCTTTGGACACATTCTCTACATCTGCGGTGACCTCTCTCTCATGGTGTGCCACTGCTAGCCAGGTGTTCACTTTAGAGATCTGGTCCAGTATCTTCTCTCTTTCCTCCAAAACGGCCTCCATTTCCTTCAGAGTACGAGCAGAGTTGTCTGAGACTGTTTCGTAGAGATCCTCCAGGGTCTTCAGTGATGACAGCACTTTGTCAATTTCCCCCTCATCCGAAATCAGTTCTTTCAGGTCCTCAACTTTGGAGTTCACCCTGAAATGCCTTGCCAAAATCTCGGATTGCAGTTTCCTCATGCTGGAAATTTGGAGACGGGCCTCTTCAGGGAAGAGGGCTACCCTTTCAACTGCTGCGATGTGGTTGTCCACCTGCTTGGCCCAGATAATCAAGCCCTGCATTTGCTTGGTGATTTTAGCCAAGGAGGGGTTTGCAATAGAGAATGACTGAGCAGAGAGCAACCTATGAGTGGAGTCAAGTAAGGAGCTCAAGCTCTGAAGAGTACACTCCACATCCTTCTTCTCCTTCTGCCCAAGAGAGAATTGGGTAAAAGCCTCTGATTGCCCCAGCAGTTGTAGGTACTGCTGGTTGAAGGCTTTCAAGTCAGCAGTCATAAAGGTCAGCTCTAAAGCTCTGTGAGTGTCATGCTGCAATTGAGAGGACTGTAAGAGGGTGATGGACTTTTGAAGAGCCTCAAGCTTGCCATGCAGCTGCTCAGCCTTTTGTAGAAGGATAGAGGACTGAGAAGAACCAATTGAGGCATGCCTCAGGGCTCTATTCCCGGCCCCCTCCAAAAGCCTCCACTCCTCCTGCAGATCCCCTAGCTGAGCGAGGAGTGCCCCTGACCCCTCGGCTTCACTCAGGTGGACAGACACCTGGCAACACACCTGGAGCAGCTCCCCCATCATGCCCTTCTGCTGTTCCATGTTACATAACAGAGTATGTCGTTTTTCAGCCTGAAGCGCACTGCTTCGAGTGTCCCTGTTACATCCCAGGAATAGACAGAGAGCGAATAACTGTTAGTGCATATCTTGGTCAAATTCAAACTTCCCATCAATGATATTCTAAATCAACTGTACAATTTAAAGGTCCACAGAGGGCTAAAGATGCATAAATACAAAAATATGCACAAGAATAGTAGCCCGGACTATGCAAGTTCATGGACTCACAATTGTAGCTCATCCATCTCGCTTGCCCATCTCTCCAGAATGCTCCGGATGGCCTGTGTCTGCCTGTGGTACTGTGTGACCAGGTGGAGCTGAGCCTCTTTGACCTGCACTGTGGCTGAGGCATCCAACAGGGCTGCACTCCATCGCCCCTCCAGATTCGTTGCGACCTCTGGTTCACCGACCACATGGTTTATCGCAGCCACCTGCTCAAGCACGTAGCATCTGCAGTCCTATAAAAAAGGGCATCACAGGGACACACTCAGTCTGGGATCCAGTGAGCTTGGACCCATAACAAATCTCATCCGTAATTTAAAAAAAGCGTATTTTTTTTACAGTATTGAAATCACAGAGGGGAGACAGGCAGGTGTAAGAAACAGTATGAAGGGTTGGAACGGGGATTGAACCCTGATCATCAGTAGGGAGAGCATATGTGTCTGGAACTGGGAGGGTTTCCACTAGACCATGGGCTCAGCACATCTCATCTGTATTTATCAAACACTCTACACTTACAAGAAAGCCAAGAAGGGTGATAATGTACTTCAAAAGTTAGACATAGCAAATCAAAGTTAGAAATAGCTTCCTCTCCTTGTCTCATTATACATTATCGTTGACATTGATATGAAAGAACTGGAAAGGTTAAATAGATTAGAGGACTGTTGAGATATCATTATAATGTGCCAGTTGGCTAGAGTGACTAAAAAACCAATGCATGTGCATACAGGGCAGAAAAAGGAATGTCTTCAGTGGAATCCCAAATAAAGCTTTCCTTATGGAAAAGCATTTAACACAGTGATATCAGTTTGTGGTGTGTAGCCCATTAAATGACAGTTTTGTTTTGTTTATGTTTTGTACTCTGTCTTTTTGTTTCATGGCTGATTGTTTTTATGTAAGATGGTCAGTCTGACACTTGAAAGTGTTTATTTTCAAATGTCTATTATGTTCTTGAAAGGGAAAATTATCCATTAAAAAAGGACAGGCTCCCACCTCAGCCTCCGTCAGTTGCCAGGCCATGGTGGCAGGGTTGAGCTGGGCTGGCTGGTAGCGGCATCCTAGAACCCTGAGGACAGTGCGCCTTATTTGGATCTCTGGATTTCTGGCCGAAGGCTGCAGGTACCAATCCGCCTCCATCCACTGGCCTCCCTTCAACATAACAGCACAGATTAAATACAGTAATGGGACATGTTCATGGACCAAACAGAAGAAAACAGACTAAAACAATCTTGATTTGTTTAATAAGAAACACACATTTTCCATTGCAAAACTTTTGAAAGGATTTTCTGTTGCATGCCCTAATGAACACAACCCTGGTATGTACAACCAGACCTGGGTTGGATGTCAAATACTTGAGCTATACTCAATTCAGTTTGCCTGGTACAATGGAAACAATGGAATCATCCCAAAAGTGCAAACACCAAGCTCCAAGTAATCTTTTACTAATTCTTAAGCAAGATGTGCCGTCACTGAGAAAACTCCATGGCTACACAGGAAATATAATTGGCTCATATGGCTCCTTCCTGTAAAGCTTCCTGCCACAGGCATCTTGGGAATGGAGTACCATGAAGTTCCCCCTAGATGCTGATCTTGGGTCAGTTTAGAATTGTTATGGTTAAGATTAGGATTAGGATAACTTCACCCCAAAGCCTTGGGAATGCAGCATCATCAAGGCCCATGCCACATCAGAGTCTGTTTGTTTATCCATGTCTTATCTGTTCACTGATCCATGCAGTTGACTGAACTGCAAATATTTTGTGGACGGAGCCACATATTTGGGAGCAACAACTTATCTTATTTGGGGTAGAGAAAATGTTGAAATATAATTTAAGCCATTTTTATGTCTCATATAGATATTGATACACACATTAGATACTAACTGAAATGTAAATGTTTTTAATCTTTGTTTTTTAAAGAGGTTTTCTCAGGTTCTTATTTTGAATGTCATTATCCTCTTGAACAACAAGTTGGGTTTCTTGGAACAAATCAACAGTAAACCATATCCCATGTTGACGCCACCTTACCTTCCCTGAGATCTAATAGCCAACTGTCACTCACAGAGTGACAAGTTAGCTCTGTTCACACACCGTTGGCTTGGCTGAGTATTGCTGTTGAGTATTACCGATTGTGGTCGGGTGAGTATTATTGTTATGAATGCGAGTTTGAATCTCATGGTCGGCCGTACAGAGAGAAACTCCCTTACACACTCACCTTGATGATGGCCTTCCTCTCCAACACCCCTTGGACCTCAGAGAGGATGCCTTGCATGGTGGACCTGTATCGTGGGATCTCCGGGCGCACCGCTCCCCCAACTCTCTCCTCCTTCACCACGCCTTCTGATAGCAACCCCCCAGTCTGGACCGAGGTACTTGTCTTGACTTCACTCCCCTCCTGCAGCTGTGGGAACATGGCAGCAATGGGACGGTGTTGACATTTTGGGTCTCTCTCGCTCTCACGGCCCAGGTAATAACAGGGATTCTCCTGCTCTCCTGTCTGCTTTTTCTGACAACAACTTCGTTCCACTCTGCCCCAGCGAGTCAGTGCAGCTATTAGAGCAGGAATGTGACTAAGGAGCTGGGCCTTGCCCCGAGGGAAACCAGGGCTCTGTTCCAATAGTTTAGCAGTGCGTCCCTCTTTCCTTCCTTCCTTGAAGGAATCACTTATCTGACACAACACAATTGGTGAAAACTATGTGGTGTAGTCTCCAGCTAATCCTGTTAGATCAGTGTCATTGGGTTTAGCACGGGGGAACATGGTACAGCAGGAACTAGTCAGGGAGTATGGTCGAGATATCGCGAGCTACAAGTGACAGGGTTAACATGAGGTGAAGTCATCACAGAGTGGTGCAAATAATCTATTCCTCACATAGTGAAGTGCTAGGCTATTCTTAAAGGGAGTGGTCAACCCGACAGGTGACGAGTTAAGCTGATACTTGCATAAAAATCTCTCTCTTTCTCTCTCTCTGTCAACATTTCAAAACAACAGTAGAGCAGGTACGCTATTAAGCAGTAATCCACAGGAGGATGTGCTTTATATTGCAGGTTATAGGTCCTAAGGCTATCCCACCCAGGGTCCGTATTCATAAAGCGACCAAGTAGGAGTGCAGGGGCCACATTCCTCAGATTAGGAGTGCTTATCTAGGACCACTTTAGCCTTTTAGATCAAAATAAATACGATTATATCGACAGGAGGGACCTGATGTTAGATCAGCACTCCTACTTTATGAATACAAGCCCAGGGCTCCAGGTGAAGCTGCCAATGATGTATCACCACTATACTGCCCTACACTCTGAGTCAACAGGGCTCTTGACTTGGATATACATTAAAGGCCCAATCTGTGATATTTGCTATGGAGGACTAAAAGTGCCACAATTAAATAAATAAATACACCATTAAATAATTACTTAAATGTGTCATTAATTAATTCAAATTAGAATTAAATACATAAATGTGTAATTAAATGTATCATTAATTAATTCAAATACCGATTCATTTTATGTAAAATACATATATAATAATTTCACTATTTACATTTACATTTCATGGTCCTGCGTTGGAGTGCTTCCTGAATTACTTAAAACTGTCAAACTGACCCATCAAAAGTTGGTAGGCGGAACCTAACGCCTGATTGGTTACCCTCTGCATCAAGCCAAGACAAATCAATTCCGGATAATGTCAGCAGGTCCTGCTTCTACATCCTCTGCTAAGTTTAAAATGTCTCTAACCAACTCCCTGGAAAGTTCACGGAGATCCTCCATTGTCTCTATCCAGGTTGGCCTACTCTACTTCAGACCAAAGCAATGGATCAGACTAGATTCGCGTTAGCCCCGCCCACTGACTTTGATGGGTCAGTTTGACAGTTTTAAGTAATTCATGAATCACTGCAATGCAGGATCATGAAATGTAAATGTAAATAGTGAAATAATTATATATGTATTTTACATAAAATGAATCGGTATTTGAATTAATTAATGATACATTTAATTACACATTTATGTATTTAATTCTAATTTGAATTAATTAATGACACATTTAAGTAATTATTTAATGGTGTATTTATTTATTTAATTGTGGCACTTTTAGTCCTCCATAATTTGCAGCCATTTCTGATCATTTAAATTAATGATATACACTACCGGTCAAAAGTTTTAGAACACCTACTCATTCAAGGGTTTTTCTTTATTTTTACTATTTTCTACGTTGTAGAATAATAGTGAAGACATCAAACTATGAAATAACACATATGGAATCATGTAGTAACCAAAAAAGTGTTAAACAAATCAAAATATATTTTATATTTGAGATTCTTCAAATAGCCACCCTTTGCCTTGATGACAGCTTTGCACACTCTTGGCATTCTCTTTAACCAGCTTCATGAGGTAGTCACCTGGAATGCTTTTCAATGAACAGGTGTGCCTTCCTATGCCGTAAGATCCCTCCTGGACTCCCAACGTTGTGGGGGTCGGCTCCGGTACCTGGTGGACTGGGAGTGGTACGGTCCAGAGGGGCGGTGTTGGGTTCCGGTGAACGACATTCTAGATCCCAACATCACCTTCACCGTCCGGACCAGCCCACTCCTTGCCCGTCGGGAGGGGGGGGTTGCTACTGTCACGTCTACTCCCGCTCTGGCGCTCGACGTCGCCGGTCTACTAACCACCGTCCTGGCAACCCACATTGCGCACACCTGGCAACCATCATTGCGCGCACCTGCTCCCCATCGTTAAGCACACCTGGACTTTAACACCCTGATTACTCTCCCTTCATATAGCCCTCAGTAAGCCTCAGTCATCAGGCAGTATTGGTTTTGGTTACGTTCAGCACGCTTCTCCTGTTTTTTATTATCTTCATGATTATTATTAAACTCACCTTCTGCACCAGTTTCCTGACTCATATATACGTTACATTTATGCATTAACACATAATTTACTGTAAACACAAAAAGTCAAATAGTAAGATAAAAAGTTAAATAACAGCATAACTATAATAGCATTACTTCCTCACCTCTTATAAATGTTTTATGTTTACTTGTTAGGGTCAATTTCATCTGAACTCCAGTTAATTCAGAAATTGTATTGCATTCATGTGGAGAAATACCATATCCTAAACTGACAGGTTGAACTGGAATTGACCTCAACTCTGGTGTCTGTAACATTAACTGCAGATGCTTGTATTTGTGTAAAGTCAAGAGAAAATATGTAAACAGAATTCAAACAGAAATGGCCACCCCTCTGAGTCTGGTTCCTCTCTAAGTTTTCTTCCTAGGTTGCTGCATTCTAAGGACTTTTTTCTGGCCACTATGCTTCTGCATTTCTTGCTTTGGGGTTTTAGGCTGGGTAGGCTGACAGGTGAGAAGCTACTTCTCTCGTGTAGCACAAAGAGAAAGAAAAAGGACTTCCCTGCGTCTGAAAAAGAACAAGATGTTCAAAATAATCATTTTAAAGCTAAATTCGGAGTCAAATCAAATCAAATTTTATTTGTCACATGCGCCGAATACAACAATACAACCTTACCGTGAAATGCTTACTTTCAAGCCTTTAACCAACAATTCAGAGTTAAGAAAATATTTACTCAATAAACTAAAGTAATACTCCTCAATGCCATTGGATGAATCAAGGAACATATTCCAGTCTGTGCTAGCAAAACAGTCCTATAGCATAGCATCCGCGTCATCTGACCAATTCCGTATTGAGCGAGTCACTGGTACTTCCTGCTTTAGTTTTTGCATGTAAACAGATTTGCCAAATGGAGGGCAAGGGAGAGCTTTGTATGCGTCTCTGTATGTGGAGTAAAGGTGGTCTAGAGTTTTTTTTTCCTCTGGTTGCAAATGCGACATGCTGGTAGAAATGAGGTAAAACGGATTAAAGTTTGCCTGCATTAAAGTCCCCGGCCACTAGGAGCCCCGCTTCTAGATGAGCATTTCCTTGTTTGCTTATGGCCTTATACAGCTCGTTGAGTGCGGTCTTAGTGACAGCATTGGTTTGTGGTGGTAAATAGACGGCTACGAATAATATAGATGAGAACTCTATTGGTAGATAGTGTGGTCTACAGTTTATCATGAGGTACTCTACCTCAGGAGAGCAATACCTTGAGACTTCTTTAATATTAGACATCGCGCACCAGCAGTTATTGACAAATAGACACACACCCCCACCCCTCGTCTTATCAGACGTAGCTGCTCTGTCCTGCCGATGCACGGAAAACCCAGCCAGCTCTATATTATCCGTGTCGTCGTTTAGCCACGACTCTGTGAAACATAAGATATTACAGTTTTTAATGTCCCGTTGGTAGTCTCGACCGTAGATCATCGAGTTTGTTTTCCAGTGATTGCACGTTGGCCAATAGAACCAATGGTAGTGGCGATTTACTCACTCGCCTCCGAATCCTCACAAGGCACCCCAACCTTCTCCCTCTGTATCTCCGCTTTTCTTCACGCAAATGATGGGGATTTGGGCCTGGTCTCCAGAAAGCAGTATATCCTTCGCGTCGGACTCATTAAATAAAAAATCTTCGTCCAGTTCGTGGTGAGTAATCGCTGTTCTGATGTCCAGAAGCTCTTTTAGGTCATAAGAGACAGCAGCAACTTTATGTACAAAATACAAATACAAACAAAGCGAAAAAACTAACAAAATAGCACAGTTGGTTAGGAGCCCGTAAAACGGCAGCCATCCCCGCCGGCGCCATTATCCACAGCCGCATAGCTGCAATAGTCCGATGGCCCATTATTACGAAGCTAATTTAATTGACCGTTATAGAGTCGCAGATATGTGACAGTAGACTGCTCTGCGGATTTGCAGCTTTGAACTCTATAGGACACTTTAAGAGGCCTGTGCTTAGTTTGTAAATCATCCCTCGAAGAATAGACAATTGTATATAGGGGAGTAAATTCCTAGACTGGAAGTGGAGGGGCCACTGTATGACGAGTCAAATTCCTCCAATTTTACTTTGAGCCAAGGTGCGACCTTTAAATGCCACACAAACAGGCTACTCCTGGCCTGACCATTCCAATTCATTCATAATAACATCACTTAACATTGTTGGATCTTGGGCTAAATAAAGAGCCTTGAAATGTCAAGTCCTTTCAGGGAAAGACTGCATTAACTTCCAGAGTTTGACTTGAGTGTACAACCCCCTCTCAAAACCTAAATCGGCAGGCTTAAAGTTTCTTAAAGTTTTTTTGTGTGTGTGTGTATGTGTGTGTGTGTGTGTGTGAATGTGTGTGTGTGTGTGAGAGTGTGTGAGAGAGAGAGAGAGAGAGAGAGAGAGAGAGAGAGAGAGAGAGAGAGAGAGAGAAAGTGATAGCGCTAGCAAGAGCGAGATGAGAGTGTGTGACAAACCCTCCAGTGAATTCAAAAAAGCGAATTGCCCTTACCTGTTCCTGTGGAGCTGTCCCTTCTGTCCCCTCTCTGGGCTCGATCTCTGTGCCTGCAGACGCTGGTGAATGGACGTGTGACAACTGTGTATTGTCTCTCGTGGCATCTGTCTGACTGACATCTGTCTGTGTGAGGTCATTCACCTGTAGCATGTCAGTAGCATCTATCTTTCCAGTGTTTTTGCTCACAGTCTGTCTGTTATCTTTGCTGTCTGTAGTGCAGGTGATGTATGTAGTCTCCTTAATTCTGTCAGAGGCTCCTGAGTTTATAGTTATTTGGCTGTCTGTCATTTGTGTCTGTCTGGCATCTTTAGCGACTGTGTTTACATCATCAACACTTCCTGGTTCAGTGTTGTCAGAGTTATCAGTGTGTCTCTGTGACTCGGATTCGGTGTGTGCCGATTTAGCGGACTTAGACTCTGCGAGCCCTGATTCGGAGCATTTTGATTCCGGACCTTTTGTTTTGGGGCCCTGCAATTGCTCCCACTCTGATTCTGTGTGTGATTCTGAGGGGCCTTTGGAACTCTTCACTTTGTGGCCCTTGGACGTTGAGCTCATAAAATCAGCCTCCCTCCATCCCCTGTGCTTTGACTTGACGTGCCGCCCGCCGTCTGTGTTCTTGGCGCTCCCAGTGATAGAACTATCAGTCATTTTTGAAGCAAAGTCACCAGAGCTAAACGTGTCTGAGCCATTACCACAAGGAGGCTCCCTGGTTTGAATGTCCTTGGACTGAGACCGAGGTAGCTCCATGTCCAAAACAATTGTAAACACTTTCTTTGTCTCAGAGCAGTCTCTAGACTCTTCCTCTGTGCATTGTGTTTTGTTATCTGACTGTGATTTGTCTGTGGGTCTTGCGTGCATCTCTGGCTGCTCTCTTTCTGGATGCGGCATGAGATGTTTTACAGGGTCCGACTGTGGATCTGTCCGTAGCCCCACACTACTTTTAATGCCTAATTCCGTTTTGGTCAAGGAAGTGACGTCACGATGTAGAGTCTCGGCTTCCTGAACAATACATTTCCCAGCACGTGCAACACCTGCGTTCAAGAAGATGGTGGCCACTTTTTGGGGAGGCTCAGTCAAATCTTGTTTTGTCTGGTCACTCTGGTTGACAACAGAAAAAGTGTAAGTGAGTTGCGCACCTTTATCTGGTACTGAAGACTCTTGACCTCCTCTGACTGATGTTCCAGTGCATACAACCACAGGGTTTGCATGGTCACTGTCGCCATGTCGAGCTGACTCTGTATGTACAATATCGTCGTTGCCATGGTAACCTGGTCTGCTTTGGAAAGTGTTGGCTGTAGACATGTCATCAAGGTGTTGTCGTTCGAGGTCTGTGTCCAGAATGATGGTGAACACTTTGTGCGGAGTCGGAGATGAGGTTCCCTCTCTATCGATTGGTTCTGTATGGTGAGGTGTTATCTCTGTTACAGTATGCCCACACTGGCTAGTGCCCGGGGTCTCTGGCACCACCACAGTGGCTGAGATATCAGCGCTGGGAGTTTGGGTTAAGGTTTCTCCCATGGGAATTTGTATTTGACTCTCCCCATCCTCCATGTCTGTGACTACTCTCTCTACCGGCTGGATGTTCCAGCCCTTCAATGAGTCTTTGCCGTATTCTTTGTCCACTGCTCTTTTTTCAGTGTCGCTCATCACTTTCTTGGTAGGTTTTTTAACAGCAACCATTGTTCTTCTGGTATGGGCTCTTTTGCTTTGCACTCTGCTTTCAGCTTGCTCTTTTTCCGGATCTTTTGTTGAGTCAGTATTAGCCTGAAGAGGTTTGATCCCGCCTGAGGTCACTTTCTCGACGGGTTGTGACAAAAGGTATGCCTCGCTGCAAGATGGCACTTTGTCACATGTGTTGCTTGGTTTCTTATTGTCTGCATCCACCTCTGTGCTGACTAGGGACGCCTAAAGATGCATACATTCATTAGAAATGGTATGAAGCTACATATAAGATTCCTTAAAGGGATCATATTAACGTTAAGGGATGTTCCAATCAAAATATAATGTAACACTTTTTTTTTTTACACTTGGTTGAAATGCCCCAGTTTCACCTACTGAGGCATTTGATAGTCATATTTTGTTTTAATCAGTATCATCATAGGGCTCCATACATTCTGGAAAGTAGGCCTAAAACACCTTTCAACAAGCCAACTCATATTGCAAAAGAAAAATGTGTGCATTTGATTATTAAAAAAAAAAGTTATTTTGTTTTAGTTCAATCTACTTTGGAGTTTTGTTGTTTGATTATGCATTGATTATATGATGATTAGATAATAGCTCACCTGGGAATGGGCTAGGGCTGTGAGGAGAGCTGCACTGTTGCTGAGGGCCTGTCCAGCCCTTCTCTCGAACTGCTCCACGCGCTCCCTTCCGACACAGTCCAATAGGAGGTCTAGCTGTGATAGCGCCTCCTTTAGAGTCCCTTGGAGTTGTTTCCCATTGTTCAGTGTAGCCTGTGAGGGATTAAAGGGTTAGTTAATCTAATCTTGATGTTTGGGTCTAATTCATCTTACCTTGATTTGTCTATGTAGGACAGTATAGACAGCATCCACATTATTGTATTATTTACTTTTGCTACATGAAGTAGCTAGCATGATTTAGCATTGTCCCTGGAATTTCCCATTTGTTAACATTTCCCTGTTAGCAAAACTGCATGTAACCCCCTGGTTGCTTTTAGCTTTTTCTAGCACGGACTGATTTAGTTACTGTGTTGCATGTGGGACATATTTTGGAGACGCACTGTTGTTAGGGACCAGCCCGACACGTGAGAGAGTGAGGAGAGGGCAACAATGCAAACTACGTGAGCTAGCAAGACGGCTATTTAATTATTTTATTGTTTTTAAAAGTTAGTTTAACTCAGTCTGAGTAAACCACATTGATTAACTGTTAGTCCCTCATCCCCGACCACAGTGAGGACGGCGTTGGATTTGTTCTGGTCCTGCTTGGAGGCTCGACCATTAGAGATGCTGTGAGAGACTGAGCTCTGGGTGATGTGAGTAGCCACTGGATGTGATCTGAGAGAGATAATCTGTATATACAGTGCCTTCAGAAAGTATTCATACCACTTTAATTATTCCATATTTTGTTGTGTTACAGCCTGAATTCAAAATGGATTAAAATTTAAAAAATTCACCCACCTACACACAATACCCCAAAACATGTTTTTAGAAATGTTTAGAAATGTACTGAAAATGGAATACAGAAATATCAGAAGTATTCACACCCCTGAGTCAATACTTTGTAGAAGCACCTGTGGCGGCGATTACAGCTGTGAGTCTTTTTAGGTAAGTCTCCAAGAGCTTTGCACACCTGGATTGTACAATATTAGCCCATTTTTTATTTTTTTATTCTTCAGGCACTGCCTAGTTGGTTGTTCATCATTGCTAGACAGCCATTTTCAAGTATTGCCATAGATTTACAAGCCAATTTAAGTCGAAACTGTATCTTGGCACTCAGGAACATTCAATGTAGGCTTAGTAAGCAACTCCAGTGTCTATTTGGCCTTGTGTTTTAGGTTATTGTCCTGCTGAAAGGCAAATTTGTCTCCCAGTGTCTGTTGGAAAGCAGAGTGAATCAGGTTTTCCTCTAGGATTTTGCCTGTACTTAGCTCTATTTCATTTATTTTTATCCAAAAAAACTCCCTATTCCTTGCTGATGACAAGCACACCCATAACATGATGCAGCCACCACCATGCTTGAAAATATGAAGAGTGGTACTCAGTGATGTGTTGTGTTGGATTTGCCCCAAACATAACGTTTTGTATTCAGGACATAAAGTTAATTTCTTTGCACATTTTGTTTTGCAGTATTACTTTAGTGCCTTATTGCAAACAGGATGCATGTTTTGGAATATTTATATTCCGTACAGGCTTCCTTTATTTCGCTCTGTCATTTAGGTTAGTATTGTGGAGTAACTACAATGTTCTTGATCCATCCTCAGTTTTCTGCTATCACAGACATTAAATTATGTAACTGTTTTAAAGTAACCATTGACCTCATGGTGAAATCCCTGAGCAGTTTCAAGTTTCAAGTTTTAATGTCGCATGCACAAATAGTGTGAAATGCCTGTCTTGCAAACTCAAAACCCAACAATGCAAGAATCAATAACAATGTATTACTAGAACAAATATGAAATACACATTAAAGTAGGTAAGTAAGTATACTATATACAGGACATATTTAAAAAGTCAGTTCCAATACCATATTTACATTTGCAGGGATACTGGAGTGATGGAGGTAGATATGCATAGGGGTAAGGGGACTAGGCAACAGGATATAAGATAAACAGAGTAGCAGCAGCTTGCATGTCAGTTGGTGTGCGGGTGTGTAGAGTCAGTATAAATGTATGTGCATATTAAGTGTGAGTGAGCAAATGATGGAGTGGGTGTTTGTGTGTGAGTGTGTAGGGCCCTGTGAGTGTGCATAGAAACTTTTGAAATAAAAGGTAAATAAAGATACAAGGTAAACTGAGTCCATGTAGCTATCTTGTTAGCTATTTATCAGTCATATTGCTTGGGGATAAAAACTGTTGCAAGAGCCTGTTGGTGTCAGACTTGATGCACCGGTACCTCTTGCCGTGCAGCAGCAGAGAAAATAGTCTATGGCTTGGGGTCTTTGATGATTTTCTAGGCCTTCCTTTCACACCTCCTGATATAGAGGTACTGGGCTGTCCACACACAACTCTCTATAGCACCATGCGATCGAGGGAAGTGCTATTGCACCACTCCTTGTGGTGTGCCGGTTGCATACACGCTGACTTCGGTCGCCAGCTGTATGGTGTTTCCTCCGACACGGGTTGAGCGAGCAGTGTGGCTTGGTGGGGTTGTGTTTCAGTGGACGCATGGCTCTCGACCATTGCAGCGATGGGACAAGACTGTAACTACCAATTGGGGTAAAAACCACCAAAACATCATAGAGTAGAATTAAAACAAAAAAAACTGTTTTTTTTTTCCAAACTTGCAACAAGTTTCTAGCCACGGGGGGAGCATTTTCCTGCTCACCGCGTCACCGTGAATCTCATAAGGTTTGAAAATCCCTGTTTTTAAAATATCTTTACTCTTGATGACAGTCATCATCAAACTTTTTAACTAGAAATGTGTCGTTTTCACATATGTAGACACTGGTATGGTGCTGCTTCCTGCATGATGAAAGCAGACTCAATACTGGTTTAGTAAATGTTTTGGCTATATACTAATACATCTCCAAAGTAGCCTCTAAGCCTATGTGTCACACTAACAGCCATGCCTGATCAGAAATGGCTTTGGACACTGAATTCAATCCTTTGAAAACTGCTAGTCTACCCAAGTTGATTACAATGAGAATGTCCTTAATGTTAGGGAAAGGGAGATACCTAGTCAGTCACACAACTGAATGCATTCACCGAAATGTGTCTTCTTCATTTAACCGAACTCCTCTGAATCAGAGACTGATGGCTGTGCTTTGCCTTTTCAAAAATAACCCCTCTGAGAAATGCCTCATCTAGAATCGGCAATATGCGTAGTATTTTTCAATGGGGGAGCCGGATGACAAACCCTCTATTTTTCCATTGAGGCAGAGCAGGTCCAAAGATAATGGCCCTGGTTTTAGAGCAAAGGGGAAGCTCTATTAGAGAAAACTAGCTAAGGGGTTCCTATCCCTACATGTGTTGTTGCTATGGCTGGCATATGGAGTATAAGTAGCGCTAAGTGCCCTTTGCTAATATTACACATCCATCCACGTTCGTGGAAAAACATCTCAAAAACAACTAGGGATTTCTGAACAACCTCAGTAAACTCTGTGCTGCGTTCAACATGCGAAATGCGTTTGTGGGAAAAGGTTTTTGAAAAACAGTGATTTCAGAACATTTTAAATGGATGGGAGTGCAGCATAAAATCTTAAACGGTCATTCCTAAATCTTTTTAATGAACGAGACAACAAAAGCTATCATATAGATATTGCTTTTTTACTCTCCATGTGGCTGGTCCAGTAAAAACAGCAGTGACTTTCTGATTGACTATTCTTGTTCTTGTAAGATGAAAAGTTAAACAATAGAACAATATTCTACGTCCCTGTAAAACTCTTGCTCTTTTAGGGTTTAGGTCAGCTTCCTGGTAAGTACTTTAATTGTGACAAATGTATCTGTAAAAGGTTCTACACAAATAAAATGTGATGGATGGATGGATGTGGGTGGGTGGAGAGGTACTACAGTACCTGTATAGACTTTCGGGGATTTGACTGTGCTGCCTGGTTCCACTGCTGCAGTTCACATATTGCCCCAGACATTCTATGGGCCATGCCGCCTGAAAAAACCTGCATTCGTTCATGTAGAGAGAAACACAGGCTACGGAGACAGAGAGGATAGGTTGAGAGAGAGAAATAAAAATAAAGAAGAGAGAGAGGGATAGAGTAGGAGAGAGAGAGAGGGATGAAGAGAGGAGAGAGAGAGGAGAGAGAAAATGAGAATGATAGAGAAATACAAAGAATACAGTACTCACATGTACCAAAACATTTTTGTCTAAAAATGCAATCCAAATGCTTTGATATGCAGGGGGCAAGGAGCTACAGAACATATATTAATTGGTACCTGTCTAAGTCTTTGGCCACTGTATCCACAGCCAAAGTCACATCGGTTTGAAATTCTCCATATGTGTCCTCTGACCCTACTTCTTTCTCCAGGTGATGAAGCCGTGCCACAAGCTCCCTCAGGCTCTGGTCACAGTCCTGAACAAGATGTGATATAGTAAGTGTGTTTGATGTGTTTGTCTAAGTATGTGATGGACGGGAGAACAGTGTAGAACAAAAAGCTGGACAATTAAGTTAGCCAGCTTATACCTTGTCAATTTTAAGTCTATATTTTCCAAAGGATGATGTTATTTCAATCTATTTTAGACAACTAGCTGGCTAGCTTTTTGATACAGCTTTCTGGAACAGCCTCAAGAAAGACGGTGAGATAGAGATAAGTCTGTTTAAAGGCACAAGATATGGTAAGATGTAATTATAACTACACTGAACAAAAATATAAATGCAACATGTAAAGTGTTGGTCCTTAGCTGAAGCATGAGCTGAAATAAAAAATCCCCAACATTTTCCATACGCACTAAAAGCTTATTTCTCTCAAATTTTGGGCACAAATTTGTTTACATCCCTGTGAGTGAGCCTTTCTCCTTTGCCAAGATAATCCATCCACCTGACAGGTGTGGCATATCAAGAAGCTGATTAAACAGCATGATCATTACACAGGTGCACCTTGTACTTGGGACAATAAAAGGCCACTTTAAAATGTGCAGTTTTGTCACACAACACAATACCACAGATGTCTCAAGTTTTGAGGGAGTGTGCAATTGGCCTGCTGACTGCACGAATGTCCACCAGAGCTGATGCCAGAGAATGAAATGTTCATTTCTCTACCATAAGCTGCCTCCAACGTCGTTTTAGAGAATTTGGCAGTACGTCCAACTGGCCTCACAACCACAGACCACGTGTAACCACGCCAGTCCAGGACCTCCACATCTGGCTTCTTCACCTGCAGGTGCTGAGGATTATTTCTGTCTGTAAAAAGCCCTTTTGTGGGGAAAAACTAATTCTGATTGGCTGGGCCTGGCTCCCCAGTGGGTGGGCCTGGCTGCCAAGTGGGTGGGCCAAAGCCCTCCAAGGCCCACCCATGGCTGCACCCCTGTCCAGTCATGTGAAATCCATAGATTAGGGCCTAATGAATTCATTTCAATTGACTGATTTCCTTTTATGAACTGTAATTCAGTAAAATCTTTTAAATTGTTGGATGTTGCATTTATATTTGTGTTCAGTATAGTTATACACCACTCATAGGAAACCATTCAATCAATCCAAAGATGGCTTTGCCCATTCATTATTTTTCTATCAATGGTTCTACCATGAGAGCGCTAAAAGTAGGGTGAAGCTGCTGATCCTGGGTCAGTTAAACATTTTCCCCACTAAAGGTTAAGATTAGGATTGGGGGAGGGTAAGCTGATCTTCATCCCGGAGCATATAGCTAGCTACCTGTAGGATGCGCCAGCGCTGCTGGAGCTGCCTGACATCAGTGAATACTTCGGTCGTTTCCGGGTCGTCCCCCAAACGCTCAGCCGAGCCTTGTAGGGCCCTCTGAAGGTTGTCAACCTCCTCCCTGATTCGCTGGTCTCGTCGGGCTACCTGCTCCTCTGCCTGTAGTTGAGCCAGCCAGCTGACGCCCCTCTCTAACTCCTCCTTCTGGTCCTGGAGATCTTTGACTTCTTGAGACAGAGCGGCCTGACCCTTGGTGGTGCAGCTGGCAAGCAGAATGTCCTTAAGAGACTCGAGCTCCACAAAATCTTTCTCCATGTGGCCCACGGCCTCCTGCAAAGCCTACTGGGACAGACAGATTTTTGTTGTTGTTGTTTCTTCAGAATATCTCTTACAGTTGAAAATGCAATTAAAACATATTTCTGAAAGGATGAGTTTATATAAGGATGTGTGTGAGTGTGTGTGTGTGTGTGTGTGTGTGTGTGTGTGTAGTGTGGTGTGGTGTGTGCACACTAATACATCTCACCTCCACAGCCCCTGTATCAGTCTCCAGGACACTAGGGTCTCTGGGCTGGGACTCAATACCCAGCATCCGTTCCTGCAGTGAGTTCAAGGTGTGCCGGCAGTCCTGCAACAGCTGGCCACAGCGATCCTCATTACGGACGCCTCCCTCAAGACTCACACACATTCCCTAAAAATTATGATCATTCAAAAAAGCAAGAAACTTCATACAGTTTTTGTAATTGTAATTGTTGAATTACATCTCAGTGTTATTCATCTCAGTGGCTCAGATACTGTAGGAATTCTACCATGAATCAACAGGAAAACATTTTTAATCCAACCAGTAATTCCCCCTTTGACTTCAGAAATCTTGTTTATTATAATATTTTTTAACATAGCCTACTCACATGGAGCTTTTTGACCAAGGCAGGTTGGCAATCCTCTAGTGTAGCCCAGGAAGGGTCCTCCCAATTGGGGTCCTTGGTGCGCTGGGCTAGCTCCTTCCTCTGGGCCCCCAAGGCAGAGAAGGCCGGCCCCAAGGCTGTGGCCTGGTCCAGTAGTGCCCGGGCCTGTTGGGCAGCCTTCCTGTGTTGAGCCAGGCCGGGCCAGGGAAAGAACATGGAGAGCTGGGTAGTCTGGTGCTGGAGCTGGTCTACTCTGGACCGGGCCTGCTGCCTCTGGACCAGAAGAGAGGAGGAGAGCTCGGGCTCACCCTGCAGGAGACTGAGAGTGAAAAAAGACAGAGACAAATAGAGATGCCTTTCATGGACACTAACAAATCCACATCAAAAAGGCTGTATGTATTTTACATTTTAGTCATTTAGCAGACGCTCTTATCCAGAGCGACTTACAGTTAGTGAGTGCATACATTTTCATACTGGCCCACCGTGGGAAACGAACCCACAACCCTGGCGTTGCAAGCGCCATGCTCTACCAACTGAGCTACAGGGGACTGTATCAACTTCATCTCTATGTTGATAATTGTGCTTGAGTGCAGAAGCTTTTTTAACAACCAAATCTTGAGAGCTGTGTGCGTAAAAAAATATTGCATCGATGTCAATAGGAAATGTGTCTAAGCTTGCTAGCTGGGAACTATGGCACCTACAAATTACCTACTTTATTCCACCTTGTTGTAATGCTTTGTGTCTTTATCTAAATTTGTACTAAGTAAGTCAACTTTGGACAAGTAAGCCTTGTCCGAGCCAGAACAGCCCATAGGTGCAGGAGCATGAGGCAGCTTGAAGTAGAAGTACACCCACTGGACAGGAAACTAATCTGTAACAGGACCTTAGTCCGAAAAAGCATGTTTAGCTTTAAACAACAGATCAAAAATATATTGTATCACAGCGCCTCTCTTCTTTCAAGATCAAATTTAACTGTACTGTATACAACAATATGAATCTATATAAATAGTGTATAAATAGTATTTTTGTTGTCTTTCCTATATATAACTCTTATTTGTTTTATTTAACGTAACCTTCTTGTCTATAACTGTTCTGTACTTTGTATGTGGACCCCAGGAAGAGTTGCAGCTGCATGTGCAGTAGCTAATGGGGATCATAATAAACTAAACTCCTCAATCCATGTCCTTAATGTTGAGTGCCAAGCTGAGAGGCATCTGTTTCCATTTTTAGTCTTTGGTATGATTCGACAGGGGATCAAACCCCCAACCTTCCAATCTTAGGGCAGACAATCTAACCATAAGGTCAGAGTTGGTATCTAACTTTGACTATAACATTATTGTGGAACAATATTGTCAGCAAAATTGTACGTAGAGTTTCAGTTATTTGAAGGGAAAGATGTGTATATTGTTTTGTGTTTCATTGTCGCAATAAAAATATCAAATTTGTCTTGAAATGAGAAAGCATCCAATAGATGCATTGACACTGCCATCTAGTGTTACATAATGCCACACACCATACAATATTCCACAACATTCTAAACTTCAAAGATGAGCAGAAAAGGTTTGTGTTGTTTTTGATAATTATTTACTGTGTAATTCTGTAATTTAATTCAGGTCAGATTGCTTGGAAAGACAGCACTCTGCAGTAAGGATGATGTCACAGTGATATTGTGATGTCACCGGTAGGTTCTTAGAACTTTTGTCAAAGATCATCACATACTTGTTGGTCATTATAAAAGCTTGCCTGCTTGGTAAGACTTAAAACGAAAACAAAATGGATATACTCAACTGCTGAGAATTCTTCACAAGAATGATTCCTGTCATACATTTGCATAAAGTGGATTGCCCAGGTAAGGTTATTTTCATATTTTCAATTGAGTAGAATCTTGTTAACTTAAAATTTAACTATGACTGGATTTTAATCTAGAAAAGTGGAAGTGACTACCTGTGAGGGGGAGTCTACCAGGGAGTAGTGGTGGCCTAGCAGTAGTAGGCTAGTAGCAGTAATAGTTAGTAGTAGTAATAGTTAGTAGTAGTAGTAGTAGTAGTAGTAGCGGCAGCAGCAATAGTAATAGTACTAGTAGTAGTTCGATAGTAGTAGTAGTAGTAGTGTTGGCCTAGTAGTAGTAGTAGTAGTAGTAGTAGTAGTAACAGCAGCAGCAGCAGTAGTAGTAGCAATAGTGGTGGCCTAGTAGTAGTAGTAGTAGTAGGCTTTTACAGTACCCCAAACCATTCTGTGATTCACGTAAACTATTGTGTTAAACTAAAAGCAAGAAGAGTATGGTCTTTATTTGATAAAAGTGTTGAAGGATGATCTCTTTGTATAGGTCTTGTTGTTTTTAGCTTTGTCTTAAAATGTTTCGCTTTGCTTTGTAACCTTCACGTATTCAACACAATTTGTAATTGTAGATACAGTTTTTCTAGGCCTATAATTATGCTCTCCTCATTCGTAGTTTTCATGGGTGATGTCATAAACAGTGAGAGGAGACTCTTACTATGCCAGTATTAAATATGTGTCTAATTTTTTAAAGTATAATGTAAAAAAATAAATAAAGGTTGTAACATATCAGTAGCCTTCTTCTGCTACATGCAATCTAATCCATCAGTTGATAATATTATGTTGTCTTTCATTTGCCGCCATGTTATCGAAGCTTTTCAAATCTTTCACTATAAACCAGCATCATTTTACATCAGGTTGACTGTCCTAGTACGAACATACTAGTTTCTTTGTTAAATATTGCATATATTCACAACATTGTGCATTTTTGTAAGCAAAAACTAGCTTTGGCCAATACATTTATCCTAACTATAGTTAATTCTGTTCTATGTTTGCAGGATGCAGGCCTGATCTAACATGGCTTCAAAAAGTTACATCACAGAACCTTGGTTCAGCTCCATTCTGTGATCAGTATACTAGAAAACATGGCCCTTGCTGCAATCATTCTACTGGACCTTTATTGAGCAAGCCAGGGTGCAGTGCATCAATTGACCTAACACCACAGGGGCAGCCAATGAGTGATGCCCCTGTGATGAGAACACTTCCAGGGCTTGCGGCCGGAGCTACTGGGCTGACCTACACCAAAAACCAGCCCACTACTGATCCCTGGTATTTCGAGGGCCATGAAGAAGAGGACAGTCTCTCTCCTGCTTCAGTGTACATGGACTGCCTTGAGGACCTTAGCCCATCTCCCTCAGCAGGATCCCCTCAAGCCGACTCTCCCCCAGACTCTCCTGCTTTATTTATCATAGAAAGTGATGAGGGGGAGCAGTTCTCGGAACTCAGTCTCTCTCCATTTCCAGTGTTCCTTGAGTGTGAGCAGTGCAACGACTATAGCTGTTCTCTTTTAGGAGAAAGGATTGAGACATCTCCAGAACCTGGGGGCAAAATTAAATCATCTTCTGAAAAATGGCAAGAGATCGAGAAAGTTCCAGAGTGCATGGAAAAGATTGAGCTGTCTCCAAACTCTGGGCAAATATCTGATGTTTCCCCTGAGCCAGAACCACAAATCGAATTGTCCAGTGAGCATGAGACCTTAAAAGGGCCATCTAACCTCTGGCAGGAGATTGAGTCAGCTTGTGAACCATTGCAAATGATTGAGCAGTCTCCTGAGCACAAACAAGAAGTTGAGTTGTTTGAGGAGCCCCTGCAATGGAATGAGCAAAGCAAAGAGCCTCAGGAAGTGCTCCAGTTGACTCTGCCACCAAAACAAACAGTTGAGCAGTGCCTTCAAGACATTGAGCTGCCTCATAAATCCATGCTTGGGAATTATCCATATCCAAATTCTGGTCAAGAGTTGGAAGTGTCAACTGAGCCCGAACAACAGATTGAGTTTTTTTCAAAACCCCACCAAAGAACTGAAATGTCATCTGGACCTATGATTGGCTTATCTCCTGAGCACAAATCAGCGGTTGAACCACCACTTGAGCATAGAATATCTTCCACTGAAACACAGCAGATTGATATGCCCAATGATCTCCAGCAAATAACTGTGCCATCCCCAGAACCTGACACAGTGTCCAAGGCTCCTACTGAGCCCTGGCCAGAGACTGAATCATCCTTTGGTCCATGGCAAGACATTGAACCATTTGCTGAGTGCAAACAAGGGACTGAGGTGTCACCAAACTCCTGGCAAATATTGAAAGTATCTGAAGTACCTCAGCCCAAACAACTGACTGAATTATCCACAAAGAAACAAAGAGAGTTTAAGCTTCCTTCTGAACCCATGGAAAGGAATGAGGTGTGTACAGAGCAGAGGCTAGGGCCATCAATGGAGACTCAGGGAGTGTTTAAGGTACCTATGCCACCAAGACAAAGGGCTAAGTGGTCGTCTGGTTGCATGCAACTGATCCAACTGTCTGTAGAGCCCATGGAAGGTATTGATCTTCCTCCAAACAATGTGCAAGTGTTTGAAGCTTTTTCTGGGCCCAAACAAAACATTGAGGTTTCTTCTAAAACACACCAAGGGACTGAGTTGTCCCACGGACACAGGCAAGGGATTTACTTATCTCCTGAGCACGAGCATGGTATTGAGCCAGGACAAGATCCTCAAAGAGTGTTCAGGCTACCTCCTGAACCCATGCGAAGAAATGAGTTGTGCCAAGAAGCTGAATCGAATACAGACTCCTGGCAAGTGTTTACAGTGTCCAGTGAGTCCAATCAAGAGATTGAGACAGCCAAAGACCTTCAAGAAGTGTTCAAGCGACTTACCACACCCGAGCAAAGAACTGAGCAGCCATATGGATGCATGCAAGGGTTCGAACTGTCCTCTGAATCCACACACACGATCGACCCATTACCTAACTCTGGGCAATTGTTTGAAAAGTCCACAGAGGACGAAGACATTGACATTTCTTCTAAACTTCACCAAGGGAATGAGTTGTCCCGAAAATACAGGCAAGGAATTGAGTCATCTCCTGAACATGAGCAAGGCATTGAGACATCTTTTGGGACTAAGCTTTCTATTGAATCTCAAGAATGGACGGAACAATCTCCAAATTCCTGGCAAATAAATGCAATGTCAGACGAATCCCAACAAACCAAACTGTCCAAAGAGGAAGAGTCTACGCTGCTTCCTGAACTAAAGCAAATTAATGAAAAGTGTCCTAAGCTCAAGCAAGAAGTAGAATTGACCCCTGACTCCTTGCAGGTATTTGAGGTGTCCAATGAACCCATGAAACAGACTGAATCAACCACTGAGTCTCATGGGGTGTTCAAGGTTCCTCTACCACCAAAACGATGGGTTAGGAGGTTTCCAGGGTACATTCAAGGGAGTGAGCTGTCTCATGAGTCCATGCAAAGAATTGATTCCTTTGCAAACTCTGGGCAAATATGGAATATGTCCACTGAACCCAAACAACAAATTCAAGTGTCTACTAGACTCAACCAAGGGACTGAGAGCTCCACTGAGCCACATGAATGGATTGAGCGTTCTCCTATCTGCTGCCAAATATTTGAAATGTCCAATGAATGTCAACAAATGACTAAATCCTCCACAGAGACTGAGGAAAAGTTTAAGCTGCCTCCTGAACTCAAGCAAAACACGGAGCTGTCTTCTAAGCACAAGCAAGGATATGAATTGACACCTGACTCTTGGCAAGTGTTTCAGGTTTTCAATGAGTCCCAGGAACGGCTTGAGCCAGCCAAAGAGTCTCAAGGAGTGTTCAAGATACCTCTGCCACCAAGGAAAAGGGTTGAGCGATCTCAAAAGTGCATGCAAGGAATTGATCCCTCTGGCCAAGTGTTTAAGGGCTCTGCTGAGCCCCAACAGCAGATTGAGGTGTCTTCTCAACCCCACCAAGGGACCAAGTTGTCCCCTAAACCCAGGCAAGAGACTGAGCATGAGGAAATGATTGAGCAATCTCTTGAGTCCAGGCACAGGACTGAGATTTCTATTGAGCCTCAAACATGGAACTTCCTAGAAAAGCTTGATGTGTCCACCGAGCCACAACAACTGACTCTGGGAGAGTTTAAGCTGCTATCCACACTCAGGAAAAAGACTGGGAGGTCTTCTGTGTGCATGAAAAGGTTTGAAGTGACTTCTGATTCTAAGCAAGATACTGAGCTTTTTGAAACCCAGCAACAGATTGAGATAGGTCTTGAGCTACAGAAAATAACTGAAATGTACCATAGTTTAAAGTGTCAAGCAGAGCCATCTCCGGAATCCTCGCTACAGACCAAGCCATCTCCAATGTCTGGGCAAGTGTTGGAGGTGTTCCCTGAGCACTCTACCGAACCCACTTCTGAATCCCTGCAGGGAAATGAATTATCATGTGACAGCATTCAAGGAATTGATCCAGCCAATGAGCCCATGAAAGGAATAGGGTTCTCTCTTGAGTTCCAACAAATGAGTGACAACACTGTCTCAGAGCAACCCCTCCACGCCCCACCCCCTTCTTTTGACTTTTCGTCCTCTCCTCCACCACCTATGTTCTTCTGTGATGTAAAATCAAATAACAATTTAAGACCCATGCCATCCAGCCCTCCGCAGGATGATGATTTTGATGAGGCAGAATCTTATGGCACCTCATGGAGTCCAGAGTTTATGGCAAGTGAACAACCTGAGCTGGCAGAAGAAGATTCCCATATCTCCTTACAGAGTCATGAGCCAATGCAAAGGGTCAAGAGATTGACCCCATACCCATACACTAGACCAATACCCATTGAGGACCATGAGAATGAGGATAGAGACAGTATTCTAAATAATGTCAACCCGGCAGACATACCTGACACATCTGGAGGAAGTAGAAACCTGCCTGAGATTTTAGAGTTAGAAGCTGAAGATGCAGATGATGAGTCTGATAACAAGGACAAGGAAGAGGGCTTCTGCTGTAATGGCAGAACCCAAAGCCCCCAACTAGCAAGTCCATTGGCTGGCACATCTGGGAATGCAGGATCACCCAGGCACCAGGCACCAGGTCTTCAACATGCAAAAACAAGTAAGTCAAAGCAAGTTTCTTTCGGAAATGTCAAAATTCACGGCAAGCTTGTCAAGTCAACCACCCAGACCTCTTATGAGCACAAGCCTAAGGTTGTTCAAGGTAGAAAGCGTTCCAGAAAATCAAGCCGTGAGGAGATCGGTGACGAGATAGAAATGTCTCTCAGAAGGAGCACTGTGGCCCGCCGCACCAGTACGATTTTTTCCCACTCTCAGACACCTAAGCCTTGTAGCATTGTGTCAAGACGCCAAAGCGATTATGGTGAAGAGGATGAGAACTGCTGTAGCCGGAGTTCTAAGAGCCAAAGGCTTGACAACCCCTCTCTAATGATTCTATATTCAGGTGAGGGTGTACCTTCTTATTTGCTAGATTTCCTTCCAACCCCTGGCAGACTAAGTCCTACTCTTGAGGGTAGTGCTAGGATGAGCTCTTCCAGCCATGCCCTGGGCCAACAGGGTCCCTCACTCACAAGGAACAGAAGTGGAATGACGATGAGGGCAACACTGAACCCCCCAGCAGAGTCAGAGACCGACAGAACAGAAGAAGAGAAAGTCAAACAGGACAACCGCCCCGGAGGACAATGACTGATGCATAGCATCCTCCTCAACCCACCCCCCATCTTATCTTCTATTCTTGCTTTTACTCACTATTCTTGAACAATAAACAAATTCAGCATCATAATTGAGCCTATATTGTAGTCATTTTACAGTGCTATTGTGGAAGACAATATGACAATTTGTGGCATGGATCTGGAGTGTGTTTGTGCTTAATAGAGTAAGAGAGAGTGAGAGTGAGAGAAGAAAACTGCATGTACAAGTCAACTTTAAATAACTCAGAGGTAGTTAGTTACATTTGCCAAGACCCACCCTCAGTTTACAGTTTACACTGTTGGTGGAAACAGAGACTGAGGAGTACACCTTTAACTATTCACAATCATTCCATCGATACTTTCCTACTATCAACTAATTACACAGAGGTCATGCCTTTCTGACAGAAACCTCAAAAATCATAGAAATTGATTAGTGTCTCGAGTCTCATTCGTTCACCCACCTGTGGTGTTGGTCTGCAGACTGCAGTATGGCTCCCCACTGCACCTCTGTGTAACTGACGGTCTGCATGACGTCCAGTTTCAGACTCTCACCCAGGCCCGGCCTGTGGGCCAGCCTTTGGCCTGCTTCCTTCAGCTCCTCCATACGAGACTCTCCCTCTGCCTTGGCACTCAACACGCTCTGCCAGACACAACAGAGGTAGCAAGAGACAAAGGTTTCATGTTTAAAGGTAAAATCTGTGACTTTAATTTCAGGTAATTTCCTTTTTTTGTGATTGGCTCTTGGTAAATGTATTGTTTTATGTGCTATTAGAGGATATCTGCACCACCACCAAATATCCCCCAGGCGGAGTTTGGAGTAAACCCGTAGACAGGTTCTTACCTGTGCAGCCTGTAGTCTCTGCTCAGCCTGGCTGTGTGTGCATGGGGCTCCAGTGGCCAGAGAGTCAGCCTGCTGTTGCAAGACTCTAACCCAGGCTTGGGTGTCCTGGGCCAGAGTCTGGAAGGCCTGGGTGTGGCTGGTCAGAGAGCTCTGGTTCTCCTTGGAGGAAAGCAGATGGGTGCGGAGGCTGTGGTAGCGCTCTAGAAGTTTCTCACTCTCTTTTAGTAGGGGGGAATGCTTTAGGGTGCTCCCATGCAAGGATGTTATGCGTCTACTGAGGGCCTCTGTGTGCTTACTACATTTGGGGGAGGAGAGACAGATGAGTTAAAACCATCACTACCATCACCATGACCTTTATGTCCATCATAATCATTTTTGCAAATGTCATCATTGTAGTTAATGCAATTTTAGATTATGTGACCTGTGTTCGACTACATCCTCCTGCAAGCGGCTAAGCTCCTCCCCTTTCTCCACCTTCAGCACTGCAGCTTGCAACCACTCTTGCAGATGGGCACACTCCTCCTGCAGACTACCACACAGACACACACACGTTAGTAAAAACACTACTGCAAGTAAATCATAACTAATGTTATTTGCATACCATAAAATAAAGTGCAACCAAAACCACACTAAAAATCACAGATGATGGATTTTGGAGTACATGTGGGGGAACATGGAATCTGATAGTATGCCACACATTATACACCCAAGATGGACTAATATCTGAATAGATATACTTGTAACTATCAATAGGTATGCTTGTGACAGCCAGTACCTGTGCAGGGCCTTGATATCCCTCTGGGCCTGCACCCTCATTTCACTGAGGCGCTGACGGGCTGCGCAGACGAGCTCATGCAGCCGGACACCATCTGCAGCTAGGCTCTGCAAGCTCTGTGGGCTGGCCACAGAGGTCATGAGGTGCAGCTCCTCCAGGAGGCCCTCCGCCTGCTTTCCCCATGTCTGAAGCTGTGCAGACAGCTCCTGCACATGAAAGCAGGTTTTTGAGCAATGAGTACCAAGGCTAGTGGCAGGAGGAGAATAATGTTATGGAAAGCAATGTTTTTTAACACTGGGAACAAATTTTGCATCCATTTAGGATTATTTTAGACACTAATAAGAACATATGATAGGTTCAAGGGAACCTACTGATCATTATAATCAATTTTTGTTTCATTATATTCAATCAATCAGTGACTCAATCAATCAATGATGCTCAGGAGCATAGTTCTTAATCATGCCTCACCTGAACCAAAGAAACTAAGGGTACCCTCTGAAATGGGGATATGGGTCAAACATAAGAGATACCATATGGGAAAATATTGACCCTCACCTGAATCTGTGTGAGGAGCTTTGGGCCATCGGCAGCACTGAGCGTGTCCAGTGAGTCCTGGATGCCCTGAAGAGAGGAGTGACACTCTGCCATCTTGGCTGCCACTTGTCCCTTGGCCACCACCAGGTGCCTGTAGACGTCCCCGAGGTCGGAGAAGAGCTCCTTCACCTGCTCCATCTTCTTCCTCATCTGGGTCTCGATCACCTGGGTGAGGAAGAGGAAGTGGAAGAGTCGGTCACTGCTGAGCATCATTTGGAAAATTTAACAAAATACATTTCATTAAATTGTTCTCTAAATTGTGTCTCTGAGAGAGAATTACTTTCTACTTTGTAAACGAGCACTCATTCTAAAGTATTGATAAAGAATTTCATTGAAGTATTGAACAAGGATACATTTTGGAGAAACGCAAAGACCTGTGCAGGCCAACCCAGTGCCATATAGACTTATTCAGACCAACTCAGGCTATCTCAGGCCCATTCAGGCTATCTCAGGCCCATTCAGGCTATCCCAGAACAACAGAGGCTATACCACTCCCAGGCTTTACCACTCACACAGGCTATACCACTCACACAGGCTGTCTTAGACTCACACAGGCTATCCCAGACCCATCCAGGCCCATTTAGGCCTTTGCAGGCCCCTAGGATCACCCAGACCTACCCTGGCCCACACAAACCTGTTTATCCAATATGGAGTTAGTGCCAAGAGAAATAATTTAGCATTTGTATCCAGAAATTTAATCACTCATATTTGGTGACTCATATCACTCCATATTTTCAGATCCACTCAAGTCCCACTCCCAGCAGGCCTACCTCTCAGGCCCACTCACCTGCAGCTCCAGTGGGGGCTCCTTGCTCTGCAACAAGACCTGGATCTCAGAGGCCCTCCTGTGAAAGCGCCCCATACTCTCCTCCTGGACCTGGATCTCGTCCTACAGTAAGAACACAACATGGGTCCATGATCAAGTTTGGGGCCCAATCCATTTCAATTTCAATATATTCAGGGAATTAGTTGAAATCCCAATTAAAAAACTGGAGAGAAAAAAGTAATCATTGAGATTAGGAAATACATAGCACTCTTGGAATCTTTAACTGGAATCAACAGGCAGACAGACAGACCATCACGATTCCCCTTTCAGAGCGAAAGGACTTGAGTTGCCAGAGGGCTTTATGTTACCTGCATGGCTGTGACCTCTTGCTCGCTGTGGAAGGGGTGTGACTGCACCAAGCAGGCCATTTTGTGGCCGGTCCAGCTCTCCACCTCCCCGCCCAGCTGCAGCAGCCCATCCCACAGGTCCAGCCCCATGCGCAGGTTGTCCAGGTGAGTGTCCGTCCTCTCTGTCACCTGGGAATATCACAGCTCTCAGGCTTGACGTTCTAGGCAATAATCCATTCAGGGTACACATTTATCTGAGTACCTACCCTATGAGACTTGGCTTGTGTTCGGTAGACCAGAGCAAACATTTTGACCCAAAGGGTTAGTACATTTCACATTTTAGTCATTTAGCAGACGCTCTTATCCAGAGCAACTTACAGTTAGTGAGTGCATACATTATTTTTATTTTTTTCACACTGTCCCCCCGTGGGAATCGAACCCACAACCCTGGCGTTGGAAATGCCATGCTCTACCAACTGAGCTACATCCCTGCCGGCCATTCCCTCCCCTACCCTGGGCCAATTGCACGCCGCCCCATGGGTCTCCTGGTCGCGGCCGGCTACGACAGAGCCTGGATTCAAACCAGGATTCGAACCAGGATCTCTAGTGGCACAGCTAGCACTGCAATGCAGTGCCTTAGACCTCTGCGCCACTCGGGAGACACAGTACTAGTGCATTTGGGTAAAACAATTTATTACACTACCCTAAAGTGACAAAGTAGGAGAGCCAAAGTCCTGTGAAAAATTTGACACAAATTGAAAACATGTCTTTCTGCTGAGGCATTATAGGGCCCCCTGTGGTGTAACTACTTGTACTTGTATTGGTCTCTGGCAGGGGGGTGAGAACTCACATCTAGCCAGTTGTCCATCAGGGTGTCAGCCTCGCTCTCAAACGGAGTGTCAGGGCAGTCAGGGATCTGGCGCAGCTGAGACTGCAGCTGCTTGCAGATGCCGCGCATCTCCTCCACTTCCTCCCCGAGACCACTCAACTCTGCCTTGGTGCTGTGGACCTGGTAAATATACACGCACATGCACACACAAACACATATAAATACAAACAAAGGCACACAAAAAAATAAAAGTATGAAAAATAAATACACAAAAAAACATTACCAGGTGAAGAGATACAGTATTCTGTATGTATGAAAGCACATTTGAGGGAAAATGTTATGATCTTATGCTGCCATCGTGTGGTGGGAAAAAAAGAGATCATTATGGTTGTGGTTGTGTTATCTGTTGCATTGTTCTTGTGGTTGTGGCTGTTGTTGTTGTTGTTGCTGTTATTGTTATTGTTGTCATTACTATAAGTTCTAGATCTTTACCTTAATAAGGAGCCTCTGTAGGTTGTCTTTGCCCATGTACGAGGCCTGTTCACTGATGGTGCGCTCGGCCCTCTGTAAGGTGCTGCTTAGACGACCGCGTACCATTTGGGACCTCTTCAGTAATTCTGTTAGACCTCCACAATGACCCAGCCTGTGCAATGCACACACAAGGAGTGATCACAAACAGCACAGTCACACACAGCAGTGTTACACACAGCACTGTCACAAAAAGAATGATCACACACATAACATAGTCATACAAAGGATGATCACACACAGCGCGGTCACACACACACAGCAGTCACACGTAGAGATTCATACATGTTCAAATTCAACTGTTAACTGATATCGACTCAGCACAATCACACACTCGGTCACATCCACAGTGTGGTCACACACATAGAGCACTTGACCTCCATTTTAACCTCACTCTGTCTTTTCCCTCCTCTCTTCTCCATTTGTCTCTTATTTTTTGCTCCTCTCCCTCATCTCTCCTCTACTCCTCTTTTCTTACCTCAGTAATGCCTCTGTTGGTCTGCTCCTCCTCCTCTCCCCTCCTTCTTTGGGCCTTAAGCCCTTCCCCCTGTTCCTGTACCTTCTTTCTTCTTTTTCCCCTCTATGGTGTCCCCTCTTTTTTGGGGCAGTATCCTCCTCCGCAATGAACCTGTCACTCCACCTCTCCTTCACCTCTCCTCTTCCTCTCTTACCCCTCAGTAATGGTGTCATGAGCCTCTCACTCCACCGGGTTACCACCTTAATTTTCTTCCACTCTGCTCACCACTCTCTCTACTCAGCCTAACTAGCTCCACCTGTCCCTGCTCTGCTCTGCTCTAATTACTCTGCCAGCTGCGCTGCATTACCCACTACCTCTCCCAGTATTTAAAGCCCTGTCTTTCAGCTCTCCTTTGTCAGATCGTCTGCAAAGCTCACACCCGGAACCTGTTTGCTCGCGCTTCTGGCTCACCCTGGTTTTGTGTTCCCGGACCTGCCTGATGTTTGGATACTCTTCTGCCCCAGGAGATCCAGACCTGCTTTTTGCCATAACGACTCCTGACTACTCTTCGATCCCGGACTTCTGGACCACCCACCACCGGCTTCATAGGACGCATCGCTGCCACTGGGGGGGGGCACAGACCCAGCACATTGGACGGGATCCCTGTTACCCCTGGAGCCTTCACTCACTCCCTACTTCCCTTTTCCCTTAAGTTTTAATAAACTTTCTGGTGTGACGCAATTGTGGTCCTCTGGTCGTCTGTCTGAACCGTGACAGTACGATCTGACCATTATGGACTCAGCGCACACTTCCCCCGACATGGAAACCGACGAGCATGAGCAGCAGTTCCAGCAGCAGCAACAACAACTCGCCATGATCATTCAACTCCTCACCAACCTTACCCCAGCCAGTCTGCCCACCAGCCCTGCCCCCGAGTTACCTGCCCCGGTCATTGCAGCCGCTGCTCCGGAACCCAAGATTGGAAACCCCGAGCGGTTCAACGGCGATTCAACCCAGGTCCGGCCATTCCTGACTAGCTGCCGACTTCAGTTCTCCTTGCAGCCAAGGACCTTCGCCACGGAGGGGGCTAAAGTTGGGTATGCCATCACTCACCTGACGGGCCGAGCTCGACTCTGGGGAACAGCAGAGTTCGAACGTCAAACCCCCGCATGTGCAACCTTCGACCTGTTTGCTGAGGAGATGCTGAAGGTGTTTGACCTGGATTCACCAACCGCAGAGGCGTCTCGTGAACTGTTCAGTATTCGACAAGGCAGACGTACAGTCGCAGACCATTCCATCGACTTCCGAACCCTGGCTAGACGAAGTTCTTGGAACACACCATCGTTGGTGGACGCGTTCTTCCATAGTTTGGCTGACTATATCAAGGACGAGTTGGTCTCCCATGAACTGCCTTCCACTCTTGATGAAGCCATCGCACTGACTGTCAGGATCGACAGAAGGATACAGACCCGTCGTCGTGAGAGGGGGCGCCAAGGTCCACCTACTACCGGCATTCGGAGAGATCCGACTGGGCTCCTGTCATCTACTGCCACTCACCCAGGTCAGCTTGATCAGTCTGAGCCTATGGAGATTGGGCGAGCCTCTCTCACTCCTGCAGAGCGCCAGCGCCGCTTCACCTCAAACCTCTGCCTCTATTGTGGAGGTGAGGGACATCGTGTGGTAACCTGCCCTTTAAAGGGCCGAAGCTCACCGGGCATAGGGGGAGTCCGGTTGAGTTCAATGACCATCCAGTCCTCCGACCGCAAACCCCTGCTGCAAGTTCACCTCCGCCTCTCTGACTCAACTCACACCCTGGCTGCTCTGGTGGATTCTGGCGCCGAAGCCAACATAATGGACATCAAGCTGGCACGCCAACTGGGACTGGAGAACCTCCGTTTGACACCTCCTATTCCTGCCCGGGCACTGGACGGACACTTACTCGGATCGGTCACTCATGTCACGGCCCCGGTCTCGATGGGTCTGTCCGGAAACCATCAAGAAACTATCCAGTTTCACCTGCTCCCCTCTCCAGGCCAACCCCTCATCCTGGGTTACCCATGGCTCCGCCGGCACAACCCTCAGCTCGACTGGGTGACCGGGGTGATCAGGGAGTGGGGAGAGGACTGCCACCGAACCTGCCTGCTTGCTGCCGCACTACCCCCTCGGCCAGTACCTACTAACTCCGCTCCTGACCTCTCCAATGTCCCAGAATGCTACCATGGTCTCAGAGAAGTGTTTAACAAAGCAAGAGCCACATCTCTGCCCCCTCACCGACCGTACGACTGTGCCATCGACCTCCTCCCTGGAACAGCCCCTCCAAAGGGCCATCTTTATTCGTTGTCTGCTCCTGAAAGAAAGTCCATGGAGGACTACATCAATGGCTCTCTGTCCGCAGGATTAATCCGTTCATCTTCATCTCCTGCTGGTGCTGGCTTCTTCTTTGTGGGGAAGAAGGACGGATCTCTTCGCCCCTGCATCGACTACAGGGGACTCAACGACATCACAGTGAAAAACCGTTACCCTCTGCCTCTGCTCACCTCTGCTTTTGAGTTGCTCCAGGGAGCCACTGTTTTTACCAAGTTGGATCTCAGAAACGCTTACCACCTAGTGCGGATCCGGGAGGGAGATGAATGGAAAACCGCATTCAATACACCAACAGGCCACTACGAGTATCTGGTTATGCCTTTTGGCCTCACCAATGCTCCTGCTGTGTTCCAGGCTCTAGTGAATGATGTACTGCGGGACATGTTAAACAAGTTTGTCTTCGTTTACCTGGATGACATCTTAATCTACTCCAGAAACCTGTCTGAACACACCCGCCATGTCCAGCAAGTCCTTCACCGTCTTCTGGAGAATTCCCTCTACGCCAAGGCAGAGAAATGTGAGTTTCACGTCAAGACAGTGGCCTTCCTGGGGTACATAGTGGCAGAGGGAAGTATCCAAATGGATCCTGCCAAAGTATCAGCAGTCACTTCATGGCCAGTTCCGGAGAACAGAAAGAAGCTGCAACAGTTTCTGGGGTTTGCTAACTTCTATAGAAAGTTTATCCGGAACTACAGTACCGTTGCTGCCCCTCTCACTGCTCTAACCAGCACCAAGCAACCCTTCACCTGGACCCCAGCAGCCGACAAAGCCTTCAGTACCCTCAAGGTGAGGTTCACCTCCGCTCCCATCCTCCAGATGCCTGATGTGGACCGGCAATTCATTGTGGAGGTGGACGCCTCGGATGTGGGAGTTGGTGCTGTGATTTCTCAGTGGGCTGCGGAGGATAGGAAGCTCCATCCCTGTGCCTTTTTCTCACGTCGGTTGTCCCCCTCTGAGTGCAATTACGACATAGGGAACCGTGAGCTGCTGGCTGTGAAGCTTGCCTTGGAGGAGTGGCGTCACTGGCTGGAGGGGTCCACCATTCCATTTCTCGTTTGGACCGATCATAAGAACTTGGAGTACATCCGCACGGCCAAACGGTTGAACTCCAGGCAGTCCCGCTGGGCCCTGTTCTTCACCAGGTTTAATTTCACTCTGTCATACCGGCCTGGATCACGCAACACCAAGCCAGACGCCCTCTCCCGTCAATTCCAGAAGGATGACACCCCCTCCAAGGACCCTGTGTCGATTCTGCCAAGTCCCTGCATCGTAGCAGCTCTGACCTGGGCTGTTGAGGAACAGGTGCTGGAAGCTCTCCGTAACCAGCCAGGTCCCAGCACTTGCCCAGCTGACCGCCTTTTTGTCCCCGAAAACCTGAGGTCCCAGGTCGTTCAGTGGGGACATGACTCCCGCCTAGCTTGTCACCCTGGCTCCACCCGCACTTACAACCTGCTCGCCCAGAGGTTCTGGTGGCCCTCTCTGAGAAAGGATGTACGGGAATTCGTCCAAGCCTGCCCCATCTGCAACCAACACAAGTCGTCCTGCCAGCCCCCAGCCGGATTGCTGCAGCCCCTGCCTGTGCCCAGACGTCCCTGGTCTCACATCGCCCTTGACTTTGTCACGGGGCTGCCCCCTTCAAGTGGCATGACCGTCATTCTCACCATAGTTGACCGATTCAGCAAGATGGCACACTTCATTCCCCTCCCCAAGCTCCCAACCGCCAAGGAGACCGCCCAGGTGGTCCTGGAACACGTCTTCCGGATCCACGGACTGCCAAAGGATGTAGTTTCTGACCGTGGTCCACAATTCTCCTCCGCTTTTTGGAAGGAGTTCTGTCACCTGCTGGGAGCCACAGTCAGTCTGACTTCCGGATTCCATCCCCAATCCAATGGGCAGTCAGAGCGGGCAAATCAGGAGCTCGAGAAGGCACTGCGATGCATGACTTCACGCAACCCCCACTCCTGGTCGCAGCAATTGACATGGGTGGAGTACGCACACAATTCTCTGACCTGCTCTGCCATCGGTATGTCCCCTTTCCAATGTGTTTATGGATACCAGCCTCCTCTATTTGCCAGCCAGGAAGAGGAGGTTACTTGCCCATCTGCACTTGCTTTTGCCCGTCGATGTCGCCGCACCTGGTCACAAGCCCGAGCCACACTCCTCAGATCCGTTGCCAGCTACACTACCGGGGCCAACCGTCGGAGAATTCCTGCTCCCACCTACCATGTTGGTCAAAGGGTGTGGTTGTCATCGAAGAACCTGCCACTCAGGGTGGAGTCGCAGAAGCTGGCACCTCGGTTCATTGGCCCATTCCCTATCATAAGAGTGATTAGCCCAACTGCTGTCCGGCTCCAACTGCCTAATTCCCTGAGGGTGCACCCCACTTTCCATGTGTCTAAGATTAAGCCCATTCATGAGAGTCCGCTGGTCCCTGCTGCGCCTTGTCCTCCTCCTCCACGGCTCGTCGATGGTGGTCTGGTTTACACCGTCCGCCGCCTGCTTCGGTCCAGACGGAGGGGTAGGGGTCTCCAGTACCTCATTGACTGGGAGGGCTATGGACCTGAGGAAAGGACCTGGGTGCCAGCTAGTCGGATTGTGGATAGGACTCTCATCACCGCCTTCCACCAACGGCATCCTGATCAACCTGCAATCCGTAGGGGCCGCCCCAGAGGGGTCCCTAACCGTCCTGCCCGCTCGGCTTCCTGTCCTGTGCCTGATCCTGTCTCGGGACCTGTCCCATCTCCCGACCACGGCCCTCCGGCTTCCTCCGAGGATGAGGACGTTCACTCGGACCGTTCGGAGGAGTTCTAGCCCTCCTCCGGCTCCCCTCCTCCCGCCCGGCGTGGTGTTGCTCTTGGGACTTCTGGGGCCGTCCCTTGGGGGGGGGGTTCTGTCATGAGCCTCTCACTCCACCGGGTTACCACCTTAATTTTCTTCCACTCTGCTCACCACTCTCTCTACTCAGCCTAACTAGCTCCACCTGTCCCTGCTCTGCTCTGCTCTAATTACTCTGCCAGCTGCGCTGCATTACCCACTACCTCTCCCAGTATTTAAAGCCCTGTCTTTCAGCTCTCCTTTGTCAGATCGTCTGCAAAGCTCACACCCGGAACCTGTTTGCTCGCGCTTCTGGCTCACCCTGGTTTTGTGTTCCCCGGACCTGCCTGATGTTTGGATACTCTTCTGCCCCAGGAGATCCAGACCTGCTTTTTGCCATAACGACTCCTGACTACTCTTCGATCCCGGACTTCTGGACCACCCACCACCGGCTTCATAGGACGCATCGCTGCCACTGGGGGGGGGCACAGACCCAGCACATTGGACGGGATCCCTGTTACCCCTGGAGCCTTCACTCACTCCCTACTTCCCTTTTCCCTTAAGTTTTAATAAACTTTCTGGTGTGACGCAATTGTGGTCCTCTGGTCGTCTGTCTGAACCGTGACAAATGGTTCTGTTGGACACCTCCCTCCTATCTTTTCACTCCTCCACTCCTTTATTTCAACTCTCCTCTCTTCTTCCTGTCTTACCTCTCTGTAATGGCTCTATGGGTCTCCTCCCACAATGTCTCCAGCTCCTGTGTGGCTCTGCCGCTTTTGGGGCTGGGGGTCGTCTGCGCAGCCAAGCAGTCTGCAGTCTCTAGACTCTGCAGCTCAGAGCGCAGCGCAGCCAGACGCCCCTCCAGGTCTGCCAATGCACGCATCCTGAGGAGGAGGAGGAGGAAGACAGGGAGAAAGAGCGTGTTTGCTCATCCACAAGTGCTACAGAGAGGGTGTGTATGTGTGTGTGTGTGTGTGTGTGTGTGTGTGAGCATGTTTGTCACACACCTGTGCTGCACTGCAGTGAGTGTCGGCTCCTTCAGTCCCTGCTGCTCCACTGCCCTCTGAATCTCCCTCAGGACCGCCAGTAGGGCCATCCTCCTCTGGCCTGGACTCCTCTTCTCCTCCCCCTCTTTCCCTTCCACCTGGCCCTTCCTCCTATGGCCCGATGATTCTTCCTCTTCCCTCCTTCTTTGGGCCTTCTGCATGTCAGGCCCCTCCCCTTTAAGGCTTAGCTCCTCCTCCTCCTCCTGCTTCTGTCCGCTCCCAATTCCTCTTCCGGCCAACTCGAGGTCTGCCTTATCCAGTCGCTGTGACAATGCTGCCACTGTGTCACGACAAGTCGCAGCAGCTCCTTCCATCGTCAACGCCATTCCGGCCACCTCCAGTAGACCATCCACGCTCCCGGCTTCTTCCCCAGCCTTCCTCACACTCTGCCGGATAGACAGCAGCCCGGAATGCCTGCCTCGGGCCCGGGTCGTACCATCTCCATTTTGCCAGTGGTCCAAGGGAACAAGCGCAGCCTGTATCCCAGCGTTGGCCTCTCGTATCTTGGCTAGAAAGCGATCGAGGGCCCCGGCGGCCGAGCTTACCCTCTTCAGTGTCTGTCTGAGTTGGTGGAGGCGGTGGCTGCAGCCCAGGAGGGCGTGGCAGAGGGGCGGGGGCATAGAGGGGTCTAGGGCCTCCCCCTCGGAGGTCTGCCCTGACACGCACATCAGCTCTGCATGGAGCCGCTGGTCCATTTCCTGGGGGATAAGAAGACAGTAGACACTTAAATGCCCAGTCTTTGATCTTGATTAAATTACCCATTGATTCTTGAAGAATATCACTTATTAACGGCTCATGAGCTTAGTGTGTGTGTGTGTTGAACAAAATACATACAACTCATCAACTGCTGTGTGTCAAGTCAAGTGATGTGTGGACACTGACGGGTACAGTATACCTTAAAGTCCGCCACAGTCCAGGGATCAGTCAGGGCATAGGCTGAGATGGCTATGGGCTGCCTGGTGATGCGGTCGAGCTGGTCTGAGATCAGTGATATCTGAGAGTCTGCTGATTCCATCAGCTCCACAGTGGTGTCCAGAGAAGCCATTCTGAGAGAGAAACACAAGCCATTTCATTTCACACACGCACACATACATGTATGCATACACAAACACAAACACATGCACACACACACACACACACAAATGCAGGAGTAACTACCAAGTATTTAATAGGAAATTATGTGGTAACAATGGGTAATTTGCACTAAAGGAAATTCAACACAATTGGTCCCTATGTGTGTTCGCATCTTTTGAAATTCGGAAGGGAAGGGGACATTTTGCCCATGCTTTGGCTGAGAGTTCCTGTATAGGGGGGTGAAGACTTCGCTAGTCTCGTTAATATATTTTATCATACGTCTCCCCCAAATGTACTTTTTCAAATAAATCAAATGAACTTGAAAGTGAAACTGGACCTTGTCTGCAGGCAGATCTGCTGGCCTCTCCACTGCTGAACGAGCTCGGACCCTTCACTGTCCCCCTCCAGTCCACCTCCCTCTGCACTCTGCTGCTGGGACACCTGGGAGGACTGCAGCTCAAACTCAAACCAGAGCACCTCAGTCTCCTGCTTAAGAGCCTGCCGACACATACACACACACACACACATTTTTGAAACGCACACACGCACATTTTTAAAACACACACACATTTTTAAACTGACTGAAATGGGGAGGTACTACTTGAACGTGTGCAATAAGATATTCACATTTTCCAATTCCGCTGCAATTTTTGTTTTAAACAGTGTGTCCTACTGAACACAACTGTGGCGGGAAGGCAGCTGAGACCATATAAATGATCTGTGTCACCCATGAGTGTTCTAGTCCAATTGGTATGAGCCTGGGCTTTGTCCCTTCTAGTAGTTCTATTTCTATTTAATGTATTTTTTTTTATCTTGTGTAAGCTGCAAAGCTATTCAATGTTCCTGCATAGTAAACTGCCAAAGTGCATCATTGTGGCGCGTGTATTTATATACGTGTGAATAAACCATTCTATGGCTGAGACTGACCTGTAGCTCCTTGAGGTGGCTGTGCAGGGCAGAGGTGGTGACTGGCTCGGGCTGAAACTCTCTCTCCAGACTCTGTCTGTTTCTCTGGAGCTGGGAATTGAAGGCTGAATGGGAAGCTCTGTACCTGAATAGGCAAGGTTCAACTTTTTTATTAGTTACATTTTTTAAACAAACATGAAATTTGTTTCCACAGTGCAAAGAAATTTAAGACAGGAATTATACACGTAAAAAGAACCAGCAAAAATATATCAAATATAAAAAGTTGTTCAATTGATTCAGTGCAGTCATTTAATAACAACACATTTGATCTATGAGCATCTTTCAAAACAACCACTGAACATGAAAACTGGAGGTGAGAATAAAGCATCACTCACATTAGCAACTTTCTCCTGCATTAAACAAAACTATCAAAACTATCAACAAGTGCGACAAGTTTTCAAATGGAGCGTTGGTTGAAACGGTTTGGTATTGTGGTCGATTGGCCATGGCAACTTGTTATTGCTGTGGTTAGCACAGTGTCTATAAACAGTTTATAGCTTTCTTATAGCATTCTATATCTATATATGAAAGTGTATATTTAACTAAACATTTTACAGTCATTCCAATCTGTTTTATGTATCCATAACTCAGCATCAACCCATGATCCAACCGTTTTTCTTTTCAGATCATCCTATCCAGACTTACAGACTGTGTAGGCTAATGCAAAGATTTGAGCTCGCCTTGAACAAATTGAAAAGAGGCTTTAATGGAAGAGAGTTATCAGCATGCGTCTAGACTGTCTTTAAAAAAAACATTTGTTCACACTAGCCAACAAATTGTAGAGATGGCACCCTTACCTCTCCACCACTTCCTGCATCAACGACCCCTCTTCCTGTGGGGGGGTGGTGGCGGCGGCCGGGATGACTGTCCTTTCAGGTGCCTGCTGCTCGGTCTCCACGCTGTCGCCCCTGACGATCACCTAGGAGACAGGAGAGCAGGCGTATGGTAACAGCGGGGTCAGGGGAGGCAGTAAAGACGGACAGTGGCTCTAGCACACTCTAGGATGAAGTTTCTCCCTAGGTACAGATATAGGATCAGCTTCCCCTCCCTTAATCCTTTTCTTAACCATTAGGGCGGAAAATGCAATACTGACCCAGGATCAGCGTCTAGGGGCAACTTCACCCTACACCCTCAAGCACGACCTTATCCAATTACTGGGGATTAACTCCTACAGCTGTCGCTGTCTGAAGAGGTGCCAGGAGCAGCCAACCAAGACTGCCTCTAGGTATGAGGTTCTTAGGAAGGTGTTTTAACACTTTTAAGGTGTTTTAACACTTTATTCAGACTGTAAGTAATTGAGATGAGGTGAAACAATGGGAAGGGGGAATGCAGGTGCTAAACCCCAGTCTCCGGTGGGGAGTTGTAAAGATGACACGTGCCAGGGACTGTTACCACTACACTATGGCTCTGCACAATGGCCAGCTAGCTAGCTAGTAGGCCTAGTTCTTGAAATGTCAACTGCCATTAAAATGTAACCAGAGCCATCTGAGAAGGCTAGATATATATACAGTTGAAGTCGGAAGTTTACATACACCTTAGCCAAATACATTTAAACTCAGTTTTTCACAATTCCTGACATTTAATCCTAGTAAAAATGCCCTGTTTTAGGTCAGTTAGGATCACCACTTTATTTTAAGAATGTGAAATGTCAGAATAATAGTAGAGAGAATGATTTATTTCAGCTTTTATTTCTTTCATCGCATTCCCAGTGGGTCAGAAGTTAACATACACTCAATTAGTATTTGGTAGCATTGCCTTTAAATTGTTTAACTTGGGTCAAACGTTTCAGGTAGCCATCCACAAGCTTCCCACAATCAGTTGGGTGAATTTTGGCCCATTCCTCCTGACAGAGCTGGTGTAACTGAGTCAGGTTTGTAGGCCTCCTTGCTCGCACATGCTTTTTCAGTTCTGCCCACATATTTTCTATAGGATTGAGGTCAGGGCTTTGTGATGGCCACTCCAATACCTTGACTTTGTTGTCCTTAAGCCATTTTGCCACAACTTTGGAAGTATGCTTGGGGTCATTGTCCATTTGGAAGACCCATTTGCGACCAAGCTTTAATTTCCTGACTGATGTCTTGAGATGTTGCTTCAATATATCCACATCATTTTCCTTTGTCATGATGCCATCTATTTTGTGAAGTGCACCAGTCCCTCCTGCAGCAAAGCACCCCCACAGCATGATGCTGCCACCCCCGTGCTTCACGGTTGGGATCGTGTTCTTCGGCTTGCAAGCGATCCCTTTTTTCCTCCAAACATAGCAATGGTCTTTATGGCCAAACAGTTCTATTTTTGTTTCATCAGACCAGAGGACATTTCTCCAAAAAGTAAGATCTTTGTCCCCATGTGCAGTTGCAAACCGTAGTCTGGCTTTTTTATGGCAGTTTTGGAGCAGTGGCTTCTTCCTTGCTGAGCGGCCTTTCAGGTTATGTCGATATATAGGACTCGTTTTACTGCGGCTATAGATACTTTTGTACCTGTTTCTTCCAGCATCTTCACAAGGTCCTTTGCTGTTGTTCTGGGATTGATTTTCACTTTTCGCACCAAAGTACGTTCATCTCTAGGAGACAGAACGCATCTCCTTCCTGAGCGGTATGACAGCTGCGCGGTCCCATGGTGTTTATATTTGCCTTCTATTGTTTGTCCAGATGAACGTGGTACCTTCAGGCATTTGGAAATTGCTCCCAAGGATGAAGCAGACTTGTGGAGTTCAAAAAAAAAATTTCTGAGGTCTTGGCTGATTTCTTTTGATTTTCCCATGATGTCAAGCAAAGAGGCACTGAGTTTGATGGTAGGCCTTGAGATACATCCACAGGTACACCTCCAATTGACTCAAATGATTTCAATTAGCCTATCAGAAGCTTTAAAGCCATGACATCATTTTCTGGAATTTTCCAAGCTGTTTAAAGGCACAGTGAACTTAGTGTATGTAAACTTCTGACCCACTGGAATTGTGATACAGTGAATTGTAAGTGAAATAATCTGTCTGTAAACAATTCTTGGAAAAATTACTTGTGTCATGCACAAAGTAGATGTCCTAACCGACTTGCCAAAACTATAGTTTGTTAACAAGAAATGTGTGGAGTGGTTGAAAAACTAGTTTTATTGACTCCAACCTAAGTTTATGTAAACCTCAACTGTATATATTGAACAAGCATGGGATCTGTGAAGTTATTTTATTTTTTATCTTTGAAAGACAGGGTCCTGAAAAAGGGACATTTCTTTTTTTGCTGAGTTTATATATATATATATAATTTATATATAGCTATCCACACCCTTCATTGAGCCCAAGCCCACTCTCTGAGAAGACACTTTTCCAACTATTATTAAGAGCGAAACACCAGATTCAGCATACCCGAGACTAGCATCCTACCATCCTACCACTTCCAGTACCTGAGTGTGATTTGGGCCTTGTTGGTGGCTTTTCTGGACATGCATTAAATGACCCCCCTGGACTTGAAGTAGGCGGCCCTGGACATGCAATGGGCGGTCTTGGACTGGGAGTGGTTTTTCCGGGGCCTGCAGTGGGAGGCCCTTGTCTTGCGGTGGGCGGATCTTTCTCAGTTGGGTTTGGTTCTGGTCTTGCAGAGCCTGAGAATGGTGTCCAGCTTGCTTTTGTGGGAGTTCCTGGCTTTGCTTTTGTGGGCCAGCCTGCTGGCCAGTCTCGCTCAGCAGGGTGTGATCTCCAGGCTCACGCCCCCTGCTAAAGTGACACAAGAACAACAACAGGGGGTAAACCCAGGACCATCACTTAGCTAATCAAATTGCCTGGCCTCAGGAAATATAAATACATATAATTAACAGTTTGAGGTTTTACAGACAAAACAAGTAGCTAATGGTTAACTAGCCCATCAATAGTTTAACTTTATAGCTTCAAACAATGATCTAAATGAATTTAATTATTTTATCACTACTAAGATATTAAAGACATTACGGGTTATTTGCAAGTAGAATTGTTGCATAGATCGCCAGGGGCAGACCAGAAATTGGCCCGGCCATTTCTAGTACACCAGCCCATTTTTTCCCTTGAGGTCCAAATTACTAGCCAAATAATGATCATTTTGCACAAAACCCTACATTTATACCAGACCACTGGGCTAAAGATGGACCAGCCCATTTGGCATTTGCCCAAACTTCCCAATGGCCTGTCTGTTTCTGTAGAGCACCATTGAAAACTGTACTTTGTAACTGTAGCGCTATGTTTCACCTGTCCTGCGGGGGCATTGTGGCACCGTGCTGCGGTTGCGGCAGCATGCTCCCCTGCCCTCCCCCTGACTCCCTTCGCTGGACTGCAGCTCTGCTGGGTGCGCTTTCCGGGGCCAGGGTCTCACACAGGTCCCTGAGGGCCTCCACGCGCTCTGCACCTCTTAGGGACGCACCGCCCTCTGTGGGTAGACATGTCTAGAACAATAGAAATAGAATAGAATGAATCCTACAGGTACACAGGTATGTACACGGGTATGCACATGTGGGTACGCAGACCCACGAGCAACTGCGGCCCCTCATGATGAGTTCATATTTTTTGGTGGCCCCCACCCCCATCAAAGTTGTCCATCCCTGATGTAGACCAAGCTCCAGAGCCACGTTTGGAGTACAGTGAAATACAGTGAAGTACAGTGAAGTACAGTAGTTTGGAGAATGAGAACCCCGTTAGACTAAATGAGACTGATGTACAATCAGGGTCAACCTGTAAAAAAACAGATAGATCTCCTCCCAACCCTTCTGCTTCAAAGGTGGCCGGTGAGGGGTGGCTGGTGAGGGGAGGACAGCTCATAATAATGGCTTGAATGTAGTGAACAGAGTGGTATCAAACACATTGAAACCATGTGATCATTGATATCATTGCATTTATTCCACCAGCCACCACTAATGGAAACTAGGCCTAATTTCATGCTATCATGTTACCGTGCAACAATGCTGTGAAATATTGATTCAAAAGATGTTGCAGTACCTGTTGTCTGTACACAGGTTCAGGGTCAGTGGCATCTTGCTCAGTGTTAGTAGTGCTTATGTCACATCTCATAACAGTGGGGTTAAGGGACCGCACCCGGCTGATCTCAGACCACAAGAGTGGCAAAAAGGCAGCCATCTCTGAATGCACAGCCTGGGCGTCACAAGACACAAAACCACTGTTAGTAAGCCTAGGCATTAAATCAAATTAAATGAGCACAGAATGATAAGTAGCTCATGCAATGCATTGGTACGGTGTCCATATTAGGACTCCTTGTGACTGGCACAACTACAGCTGATGTGTGCTATCCTAATATGAACAGCATACATTTGACTTGATTATCTCCCTGCAATTGGATTTTGATAGGTTGACTAAAAATGTATCCACTGATCTGCCCATAACCTATACATTGCCCAATGGAGCTCAAAGCCCTGTTAGGTATGAGTTCAATCATCAGCTTGCTGCCAACCCTAACCAATATGCTTTATTAAAAGGTTATTTATTGTGGCCTGGGCCTGGGGTGGTCTAGCGTTCTAGGCTGCTGCCTCTAGAATACATGTACCGCTACCAGCATGGGTTTGAATCCAGCCAATTGCTCTTTCAGCCACAACTCTCTTATTTTTCCTCTCTACCTCTTTCTGTCATATCCAATAAATAATAAAATACGTAAGGAGTGAGACTGCCCCACTCCTTTAAAAATAATTACAATTTATTTATCAGAAGCAGCAAACAGTGAACAAACATTTTCTATAGTGGCCGTTCTTGTAAGTCTCTCTGGATAAGGCCATCTTCTAAATGACTGAAATATAATATTTTATGTAAATGTAATGTCTTCTTTGAACCAGCTCCTTTTCCCATTCTTACCTCCCACTGTTTCCTGACTGAAAGAGACAGTAGCTTCACGGCTTGGAGCTGGGCCCCAGAGCAGAGGGCCCCCAAACCCTCAGCGGCCCCCAGGAACTCCTCCAGGACGGCGGGCCACAACGCACCCAGGACCCTCTGGAGGATGAGAGATCATGCAGACAAAAATCATGACCCCCACACCATGGACAACATGACCACATACTGACCATTGACCAACACTCCAAAAAGACATTGAATTCCATACATGTTTTAGGTGTTGCGCCTTTGCCATACTCTGGGATTACAAATGACAACTTCTGACAAAGGAAAACGTTTACTATATTGCACAAAATTTAACAGAGATTAAATAAAGAGACACTTTATTCAGACATTAAAAAGTTATACACATGATAATCATGGAGATGCAAATGGCAACGTTTGACAAGAAAAAAAAACTAAAACTTTAGATGAAATACTATTTGATTTCTACCTCTTTTCTCTTGGCTTGCCAGTCAGACATCTCTCGGTCACTGAAGAGTACGATGGCTTCCTGGATGTTCTCTTTCAGGCGAAACTTGGCCTTCTCCAGCCTGCTCCTAGCCATCGCCTTGGCTTTCGAGTAGATCTCGCTACTGACCATGAACGGTAGGCATGGAGAGGCTTGGTCGCTAACCTGTTGAGGAGGGTTCTGGGTCTTCAGTTGGCCTTTAACTCTGAATTTGGGGGTGTGGGTCTGTTTTTGAGTTGCTTCAGACTGGGTTTGGGGCACTGTGGGAACATGGGACAAAGCTTGACCCACAGGCTGCTGCTCTCGCTCTTCGTGACTTTGGTTCAAAGGTTGAGTTTCACTGGGTTTGGCATATGTTTGAACTTGGGCCAGAAGCTGAACTCGAGGTTCAATGGGAGTTTGAGTTTGCTGCGTTTGAGGTTTGTTTTGAGTCTGAACCTGAGATTGAGTGAGGCCTACCGGCTGAGGCTGTGTTGGGGTCTGGGTGTGAGGTTGACTTTCTGGTAGGGCCTTGGTGGTGGCTGTCTGCTGGCTCATGGCCTGGTGTAGACTGTCCCCTTGCAGTGGGCTATGGGGTTCTGTGTGCCGCCCATGTGGGGGTGTCTGAGTTGCAGGCTTGGCGTGGGATGGCAGGTCACCCTTACTCTTGGCTGTGGCCGCAGCAACTGAACCCCTCTGGGTCTCTGGCAGTGAGTACCAACGGACTACCACCTTGGGTGGTGGTTCGTCCCCCGCCGGAGCCCGAGCTCGCCTTGACCCCAGGGAGCTAAGCATCTCCACAATTTCCTGTAAAAGGAAAGACACACAAACCAAACATACACACATTTAGCAAACACCTCTGAAACTGAGACAGACAAACTTCAAAGAGCACTCCTCAACTTCTATATCTGCCTACAGCGAGGTCTTAACATGTTCATAAACTAAGGGTTGGGTCTTTGCGAATGTAACTGCCAGCAACTGGATTTATTAATAATCTGTTAGTTTAATGGTCGATCATGACGACCCACACTGTTTTCCAAAGACTGAAATGGAGCACTTCCGTTTCCTACCCAGCTAGCCTGAAATGTCAGATAATCATAGCTGCGGTGTGAATCCGTTGTCCATTACTGTAAGTACCTGAGCCTGAGCAACCGCTTCTGTGACTCTGTCCTCCAAAGCAGCTGCATTGAGGTGTTGAATAGGGGAGTTTGTCTGTGCTTTCTCCACCAGGACTTGCAGGTCCTGCCCCTCTGTCACCACCTGGCCCTCAAGCTGCAGGCCACGAGAAATCAGTGCCTGTGCGGAACACGAGAAACAAACAACGTTTTTGGAATGTTATGAAGTAATGTGTCGTTGAAATTCTACACATGTCGTGGAAATTACCACCACGGACACCTGAAGTCAATCTTAAATGAATCATTGTTTATTAACAGTTAACTGATGCCAAATTGTCGTGGAAATTCTACACGTCGTCGAAATTACCACCAGGGACACCTGAAGTTAATCTTAAATGAATCATTGTTTATTAAGTTAACTGGAGAGGTTCAAACAAACTTGATGCACCATAGTGAACGTCTGTCAGGAGCTCAAATGGGGCAGTCCCGTTAGTTCTCTTATGTAGTTACACAGACAAGTAATATTTGCATGATTTAGCTTATTCATTATTCATAATTAATTTATTATCAATGTTTGGCTCATGTCATGACTTCCTCCGAAGCTGCCTCCTCTCCTTGTTCGGGCAGGCTTCGGCGTTCATCGTCACCGGCCTTCTAGCCACTGCCCCTCCATATCTCATCATTCCATTTGTTTTGTCTTGTCTATTACACACACCAGGTTCATATCCCCTCATTAGTACGTGTATAAGTGTTCCCTCTGCCCCCTTGTCGTTGTGGGTGATTGTGTATTGTGAGGAGATAGTAGCTTGGTTGAGCTCAGTGTATTTTGTATTGCCGGGGTATTTTCCCCGTGTGCCTGTTTGATCCAGTGTGCCTGTTTTGCGCACTGGATTGGTTAACGCTGTATTACGGAATAAACTCTACATACTGTGATTTACCCTCCTGCACCTGACTCCTTCAAATCACGAATCACAGAATCACCCACCCGCTATGGAGTCAGCGGGAGAGGAGCGCATGCCTGGAGTCGTGGCACGGGTCCAGGAGCATTCAACAATGCTAGCCAGCTTGGGAGAAGCGATGGATCGGGTTCTCCAGGTCGTGCAACGCCTGGAGATGAGAGAACCCGATCTGTCGAGACCAGCTGGGCAACCGGATCCAGCCACCCACACCCCAGCACCCAGAGGGATCCACTTATCCCGACCACGGGATTTTGATGGCACAGCTGCTCTTTGCCAGGGATTCCTCCTCCAACTGGAGCTCTACTTTTCCAGCATCAGCCCGACCCCATCGGAGCGGGAGATGGTGTCCGCCCTCGTCTCCTACCTCTCGGGGAAAGCCCTAGAGTGGGCCAACGTGGTCTGGAATGAAGGAGGAGCCGCGTTGGACAACTACGGGGATTTCGCTCGCCTCTTTCGGGCTGTCTTCGATCACACGCCCGAGGGTCAAGAGGAGGTCGAGCGGCTGGTCCACCTGAGGCAGGGGACGAGGTGTAAGGCGCTAGTCGATTCAGGCGCAGCTGGGAACTTTATGGACAGGTCATTCTCACACAGTCTAGGCATTTCCTTGGTTCCCCTATCCATTCCACTCCCCATCAGAGCACTTGACAGTCGACCATTAGGGTCCGGGTTTGTTAGGGAAGTTACAACACCAGTCACTATGATTACCCACAAGACTCATCGCGAGCAGGTCACTTTTTCTATTATTGAGTCTCCTGCTTTCTCTCACTGTTCAAATAAACCTACCATTAAAATTATAGACTGATCATCTCTTTGTCAGTGGGCAAACGTACAAAATAAGCAGGGGATCAAATACTTTTTTCCCTCACTGTATGTCAAGGCAGAAAAGTGTATAATTTTCCAGCAGTCCGTCTCCTTCCTCGGATACCGCATTACCACCTCAGGCGTGGAGATGGAGGGAGATTGCATTTCAGCCATGCGTAATTGGCCTACTCCAACCACGGTTAAGGAGGTACAGCGCTTTATTGGCTTTGCCAACTACTATCGGAGGTTTATCCGGGGCTTTGGCAAGGTCGGAGCTCCCATTACATCTCTGTTGAAGGGTGGGCCGTCCCGGCTACGCTTGTCTGCTGAGACTGACAGGGCCTTCAGTAACCTTAGGGGTCTGTTCACCTCAGCCCCGGTACTGGCCCACTCCAATCCATCACTACTGTTCGTAGTGGAGGTGGATGCGTCCAAAGTAGGGATAGGCGCTGTCCTATCTCAATGCTCGGGCACGCAACCCAAGCTCCGCACCTGTGCCTTCTTCTCCAAGAAGCTCAGCCCGGTGGAGCAGAACTACGACATTGGTGATCGGGAGCTGTTGGCTGTTGTCCGAGCCCTGACCGTATGGAGGCATTGGCTCGAAGGGGCGAAACACCCTTTCCTCATCTGGACGGACCACCGTAACCTGGAGTACATCCGGGCAGCGAGGAGGCTGAATCCTTGCCAGGCCAGGTGGGCCCTATTCTTCACCCGGTTTGATTTCACACTATCATACATTCGGGGTACGAAGAATGTGAAGGTAGACGCATTGTCAAGGCTGTATGACACAGAGGAGAGGCCCAAAGACAACACCCCCATACTCCCGGCCTCCTGCATTGTGGCGACGGTAGTATGGGTGATGGACGCAGATATAGAGCAGGCGTTATGCACAGAGCCATCTCCAACTCAGTGTCCAGCTGGGCTGCAGTATGTGCCTGCTCTTTTCCGTGACCATCTGATCTACTGGGCACACACGTCACCCTCCTCTGGTCACCCAGGTATCGGTCGTACAGTGCGCGTGTATGTCTCCTCCTGCTCGGTGTGCGCCCAGAGTAAGGCACCTAGGCACCTAGGCACCTCCCAGCTGGAAAGTTACAGCCTTTACCAGTTCCACAATGACCATGGTCTCACCTGAGTATTGATTTCCTTACCGATCTTCCCCTCTCTCAAGGTAACACCACCATCCTGGTCATTGGGGACCGCTTTTCCAAGGCCTACCGCCTCCTTCCTCTGCCCGGTCTCCCCACGGCCCTGCAAACTGCGGAGGCCCTGTTTACACACGTCTTCCGGCACTACGGGGTACCAGAGGATATAGTGTCCCCAGTTCACATCCAAGTTCTGGAAGGCGTTCATGGAACGTCTGGGGGTCTCAGTCAGCCTGACCTCTGGTTTCCACCCAGAGTCTAATGGGCAGGTGGAACGGGTATATCAGGATGTGGGTAGGTTCCTGCAGTCCTACTGCCAGGACCGACCGGGGGAGTGGTCGGTGTTCTTGCCATGGGCCAAATATGCCCAGAACTCTCTCCGTCACTCCTCCACTAACCTAACGCCATTCCAATGTGTTTTAGGTTACCAACCGGTTCTGGCACTGTGGCACCAGAGCCAGACCGAGGCTCCTGCGGTGGATGACTGGTTTCTGCGCGCGGAGGAGACGTGGGGTGCTGCTCATGTCCACCTCCAACGTGCCGTGCGTCATCAGAAGGCGGACACTGACCGCTACCGCAGTGAGGCCCCGGTCTTCGTACCTGGTGATCAGGTCTGGCTCTCGACCAAGAATCTGCCCCTCTGTCTGCCCTGCCGTAAGCTGAGGCTGCGGTTTGTGGGGCCGTTCAAAGTCCTGAGGAGAATCAACGAGGTTACCTATAGGTTATTACTCCCCCATGATTATCGTATTAACCCCTCATTTCATGTGTCTCTCCTCAGGCTAGTGGTGGCTGGTCCGCTCCAGGAGCCTGAGGTGCGGGAGGTCCCTCTGCTTCCTCTGGACATCGAGGGGGCCCCGGCGTACTCCGTCTATCCCATCCTGGATTCGAGGCGTCGGGTGGGGGCCTTCAGTACCTCGTGGAGTGGGAGGGGTACGGTCCGGAGGAACGGTGCTGGGTCCCGGTGAGTGATATCCTCGATCCTTCCCTGTTGCGGGATTTCCACTGTCGCCATCTGGCTCGCCCTGCTCCGCATCCTCCTGGCCGTCCCCGAGGCCGGTGTCGGCGCGCTGCTGGAACTGCGCATCGGGGGGGGGGGGGGGGGGGGGGGGGGTGGGGGGGGGGGGGGGTACTGTCACGACTTCCTCCGTTCGTCATCACCGGCCTTCTAGCCACTGCTGCTCCATATCTCATCATTCCATTTGTTTTGTGTTGTCTATTACATACACCTGGTTCATATCCCCTCATTAGTACGTGTATAAGTGTTCCCTCTACCCCCTTGTCCTTGTGGGTGATTATTTATTTTGAGGAGATAGTAGTTCGGTTGAGCTCAGTGTATTTTGTATTGCCGGGATATTTTCCCTGTGTGCCTGTTTGTTCTAGTGTGCCTGTTTTGCGCACTGGACTGGTTAATGCTGTATTACGGAATAAACTCTATATACTGTGATTTACCCTCCTGCGCTTCACTCCTTCAAATCACGCATTACAGCTCATTCATGTGACCGACCAATACTGGTTCATGCATGTCACAGACCAATACCTCACAAGGCTTCTTCTCTCCAAGCTGAGACCTTGAAACTGAGATATCATTCTCAAAACAAGGTTCTGAGCTTACTGCCAAATTGCAGATACTGATAGTGAGGATTCGTTCAGTCAGTCACTTGCATGAACACAGAAATTGGTTATTAGAAAAGCACAAACATAAAATGTTCCATCACAAATGTTAGATCAAAGTCTTATTAGAACGTAATGGCAATGATAGCTAATGTCCTAGGAATGTTTTTGGTTTGCTGGTAGGGCTAAAGTCAATACCTGTAGCCTATACGATCTGCCACTACTAGAATACATGATCTGCCAGTACTAGAATACTGCAAAAGGACATTGATACTGTAAATAGTTATACATGTCCACACACGCAGCGACATGTAAAAACAAGAAGTGTATCGGCACAGAGTAGTGTATGCTAAAGATAATAGTAGTGAGGAGATTGTGGGTGCTCACTTTGGCCTCTCTTCCAGGTTTCCTCTCTTTCAGGTGCTGGTGAACCTCCAGGGCTTCGGTCCCCCAGTGGCTCAGCTCGGCCAAACGGCCCTCTAACATGGACGCTGCCCTCTGTAGATCACTGCATGTCCTTTCCGCTCTGGCCAGCGCCTGCCAAACCTGCACACACACGCACGTGCAAACCAGGGTTGGGGTTAGAGTTGGTCTCAATCTGAATTGAAGTCAGTCAATTTAAAATGATATAGATTTCAGTTCACTTCCTGAATTGACTGATTCAATTTGAATTTACCCCAAGCCTAGTTCACAAATTATATCTACTTGTATCAAAACATAATGCTGTTTCTAATCTTGTATAATATTTGTATAGTCACATTCTTGTCATAACACCTGCCAGCACACTAGAAAAACACTTAAAACCGCTAGTCTAAAATCGTTCACATCCACAGTACTGTCCCAGTGTTTGAAAGGCCAGCAGAAAGGCACTGTGGTTGTTGTGAGGGGCTACCTCTGGGAGTGTATGCCTGAGTTTCTCCACTTTGTCCACAGGAAAGTCTGGGGATGGGCTGAGAGAACCCAAATCCACCTCCATTATCTTCTTACTCAAAAGCTGCGGGGACAAAAAGAGTAAAGAAAATTAGGGAGTGAAAGACAGTGCTTTGCACCAGGTGCAAACCAGGGTTGTAGTGCTGCCGGAGCGCAGGGGAGTGGTGCCCCCTGACCTTTTTTCAATTTGAGAATACATGAAGCTGGTAAAACTATTTCTGGAAAATTAATTCTGATAAATTCTATTTAAATACCACTAAAGTTCCATGAAAAACATTAGAATGACAAACCAAATAAATCTGTATAGCAGCCTAGAGGTAGGTAAATGGTGGTTTCATCCCTGTCTTCTCTCTGGTGGTGGTGAGAATGATGAAGAACTATAGGCTACGTGTGTGCACTGTGAAGGCCCGTCGGAGGCTTGACCACTTTGGCCAATCAGAACTTTGATTTAAAAAATCTGCTGTTGAGCCACATGAACCTTATCATCACACCAACGAGCTTAAGGATCCAAATTCACTGTGTGTCTGCCTTGATGTTCATAAAACTCCATGGACCCCCACTTGCACTGCGCAGTGGATACCCAAACCAGAGTGGTCACCTCAAAGCCCAAAGAGCCTGACCCTCTCTGGAAGTTGCTGTAGCTCTGCTTGGGATATTTAGCCAATATTGGCTACTGGTTGAGATGCACTCTTAGAAAAAAGGGTTCCAAAAGGGTTCTTCGGTTGTCCTCATAAGAGAACCCTTTTTGGGACCAGGTCGAACCCTTTTTGGTTCCAGGTAGAACTCTTTTGTATTCCATGTAGAACCCTCTGTGGAAACGGTTTTACATGGAACCTAACAGGGCTCTTCAAAGGGTTCTGCTATGGGGACAGCAAAAAAAACATTTTAGGTTCTAGATAGCACCTTTTTTTCTAAGAGTGTACTTGGCCAATTGATTTGATATCATGTTTAATCTATGTAAATCAATTATATGAATTGATAGTTCACCTCTGTTTTCTTTTATTCTGTGATAGGGTAGGCCTATATTGTAACCATGTGTTCAAGATAATCAAATCAAAGTTATTTATGATACAGCATAGTGTAAGCTGCACAATACAATGAAATGCCTGCTCGCAACTAAAGCTCTCCTTGCAAACAATGCAATGATTTTAAGCTACAGTATATGTATACTACGGATGAAAAGTTTTAGAACACCTACTCATTCAAGGGTTTTTCTTTATTTGTACTATTTTCTACATTGTAGAATAATAGTGAAGACATCAAAACTATGAAATAACACATATGGAATAATCTAGTAACCAAAAGTGTTAAACAAATCAAAATATATTTTATATTTGAGATTCTTCAAATAGCCACCCTTTGCCTTGATGACAGCTTCCTCCACCCCCTCCCCCTCCCTTCTCCCTCTCTGCGGACGACTTTGTCAACCACTTTGAAAACCATTCACTCAGCCTATTGAGTCCACTGGTCTCACTCACACAGAACTACCCTATGCCTTGATCTCTTTCTCCCCTCTCTCACCAGATGACATCCTGCAACTAGTGAGGTCTGGCTGCCCGACAACCTGCCCGCTCTACCCCATCCCCTCCTCCCTTCTCCAGACCATCTCTGGAGACCTTCTCCCATTCCTCACTTCCCTCATCAACTCATCCCTGACCACTGGCTGCATCCCCTCTGACTTCAAAATGTCCCAAGTCGCTCCCCTCCTCAAGAAACCAACACTCGACTGATCTGCCGTCAAAAACTATAGACCTGTATCCCTTCTTTCTTTTCTTTCCAAAACACTTGACCATGCTGTCTCTGATCAACTTTCTTGTTATCTCTCTCAGAACTATCTTCTTGACCCTAACCAGTAAGGCTTCAAAACAGGTCACTCAACCGAGACTGCTCTTCTCTGTGTCAAGGAGGATCTCCGAATTGCCAATGCTGACTCTCTCTCCGCTGTTCTCATCCTTCTAGATCTATCCACTGCCTTCGACACAGTGAACCATCAGATCCTCCTCTGCACCCTCTCAGGGCTGGGCGTCTCAGGCTCTGCACACTCTTGGATTGCATCCTACCTGGCAGGACGCTCCTACCAGGTGATGTGGAGAGGCTCGCCTCCACTACAAGACCATGGTGCTTGCCTACGGAGCAGCAAGAGGAACTGCCCCTTCCTACCTTCAGGCTATGCTCAAACCCTATACCCCAACCCGAGAACTCCGTTCTGTCACCTCAGGTCTCTTGCCCCTCCCACCCCTGCAGGAGGCCAGCTGTCACTCAGCCCAGTCCAAGCTCTTCTCTGTCCTGGCACCCTAATGGTGGAACCAGCTTCCCTCTGAAGCTAGGACAGCAGAGTCCCTGCCCATCTACCGAAAACATCTGAAACCCTTCAAACAGTATCTTAAATAATCCTCCTCCTCACCTCGACACCCTCCAATAAAAAAATGCACTTGCACTTGACCCCCCCAAGTCTAGCTCTGACTCTACTGACTCTGATTCTACTTTATTGCAGAAAAATGTACTTTATTTGTGATATGTGGTTGTCCCACCTCTGGATAAGAGCATCTGCTAAATGACTAAAATGTAAATGTAAAATGTTGCATACCGGTGTAGGGTGAAGTTGCCCTTTGATGCTGATCTTGAGTCAGTTTAGCATTTCCCCCACTAATGGTTAAGGTTAGGATTGGGGGAAGGGAAACTGATCCTAGATCTGTATCTAGGGGAAATTTCACCCAGGAGAGTAGTGTACCTGCACCCTCTTCTTGTAGGCCTTCAGTGGGACAGACTCCACCTCTAGGCGCTCCCTCAGCAGCCAGCCTGCCTCTTGGGCCAGAGCCTGCACCGCCTGGATGGTCAGAGGACCAGCACTGGGCTGGCTTGATACCTCCTAGTTAACACAAGAGGATTCAGACCACACACAACTTTAGATCACAAGACTGTGTTAGCTCGCTGAGCTAAAGCCTGGCCATTAATTCAGGGAGCTAGTCCTCAGGGTCATATTCATTAGGCCTGAAGAAAACAAACTGAAACAGGGAGGGACTACCCTGGACTTGACCAATAGAAAATTCTTATTTTCGTGTTCCATTGCAAAACCTTTTAAAACCTTGTATGTTGTCTGCCCTAATGAACACAACCCAGGTCTCAGGCAAGGTTACACTGAACCAGTTCCACTTACATACACAAATAACAACCAACAAATGGATGGTGAAAAGATCAGAAAGGTTCGTATAGGGGACAATAGCACTCACAAACATAGTCCTCTTCATGTAGTCGGCCCACTGCATGTTCAGCTTACTAAGTTCGGCTACCAGGGCTTTGCTGGTAGATGGGTCTGTGACCTCGATGAGGAAGTTACCGACCTCGTTCAGGTAGGCCTGCAGGGTGCTCCACTGGGACACCTGCTGGGAAGTCCCCTAAAGGGTCGAAGAGACAGTAGGGTCAAGCTTTCCTACAGAAAATTTCACACAAGATTAATATGTTTTATTTGCCATATGAAATTATTATATTTTCAATATAGGCTACTTGCAATAAACTTGCAAACTGAAAATACATTGCAAATTTGTTTGTTGAAGTACAGACCTGGTGAAATGTGTTTGAATCACATTGCAACACACAATTAACACTGTATAATAAAGGCATTTTCAACACATTTGGATACTTTCATCATCTAAATTAAATTCTACATTAAATACTGATCAAACAAGATTTTAGTCCCCGTAGGATAGCGCTCAAGGCTTTTGTTCTATCCCAGTACTAACACACCTGATTCAACTCATCAACTAATCATCAGCCCCATGATTAGTGTGAATTCGGCCTGTGACCAGTAGACAAGGGGAACAAAGTAACACGGGGCACAAAGTAACAACTACATAACTGAAATTATAAATAACTTAGAAAGCTGTTATTCAATGTGCTAATGTTTGGTTAGTGTATTTACATGCCAAGGAAGTTTTGCTTAAATCCATAAATTATTTTGTTTTATTGTTTTATTAATTCTAAATTTTCTTGCCGTCTCTCTTTCTTAATTATTGACCTGCAGAACATTCTCCATGTATCTAATCATATATCATTTTTATCAGTAAGAAGAGGTATTTTGATTGGTATAGTTGATGACAATAATTATTGTTGTATTTTCTCACAAAACTCAGATTAGATTCAGATTTAGCATTCAAAAGTGCGAATTTGACATCTTAAAATGTTGGCAAACTTGATGTATAGAAGTGACATTTTATATAATTATGTGTCTAAATGCCATATAAAATAGCATTGAATTTTACGTATGTGGTTAAACGTTACAATTAACCTTATTACAAAAGTAGCTTATATAAGATATATTAATTTTGGCTACTCCGTTTTTGGTCAATATGGCATGCCTAAAACATAAACTTTAAATATTTTTTGTCAATTTAGTGTATTTTCATCAAAATATCAGTTTCAAATCAGACTTTTTTGAAATTACCCTTCATTATTACCATTGAAGACAGTGTTACAGTTAACCCCGCAGCCTGTAACTTTTAACTCCCTGAGAGATACAAGAGGGACATTTCACTTCCACCACTTTCGGTTGAATTGTAAACAACTGGAATGTCCTAGAAACTTTGTTACAGTGTGTAATGGCAGCTAAGAAAAGTTTAAATTTTTTTATGTTTTTATGTTTTTTTTAGGGGGGTAAATCAGCTTTAATATTGCAGATAGATTGTAACTTCCATCAATGTAATTGTCTGCATGACTTCCAATCCTATGTTTTTTTTTCTTTCTCGCAAATATATATATATACACACAGTTGAAGTTGGAAATGTACATACACTTAGGTTGGAGTAATTAAAACTCGTTTTTCAACCACTCCACAAATTTATTGTTAACAAACTATAGTTTTGGCAAGTCGGTTAGGACGTCTACTTTGTGCAAGACACAAGTAATTTTTCCAACAATTGTTGACAGACAGATTGTTTCACTTATAATTCACTGTATCACAATTCCAGTGGGTCAGAAGTTTACATACACTAAGTTGACTGTGCCTTTAAACAGCTTGGAAAATTCCAGAAAATGATGTCATGGCTTTAGAAGCTTCTGATAGGCTAATTGACATCATTTGAGTCAATTGGAAGCGTACCTGAGGATGTATTTCAAGGCCTACCTTCAAACTCAATGTCTCTTTGCTTGACATCATGGGAAAATCAAAATAAATCAGCCAAGACCTCAGAAAAAGAATTGTAGACCTCTACATGTCTGGTTCATCCTTGGGAGTAATTTCCAAACGCCTGAAGGTACCATGTTCATCTGTACAAACAATAGTACGGAAGTATAAACACCATGGGACCACGCTGCCATCATACCGCTCAGGAAGGAGACGCGTTCTGTCTCCTAGAGATGAACGTACTTTAGTGCGAAAAGTGCAAATCAATCCCAGAACAACAGCAAAGGACCTTGTGAAGATGCTGGAGGAAACAGGTACAAAAGTATCGATATCCACAGTAAAACGAGTCCTATATCGACGTAACCTGAAAGGCCGCTCAGCAAGGAAGAAGCCACTGCTCCAAAACCGCCATAAAAAAGCCAGACTACGGTTTGCAACTGCACATGGGGACAAAGATCGTACCTTTTGGAGAAATGTCCTCTGGTCTGATTAAACAAAAATAGAACTGTTTGGCCATCGTTATGTTTGGAGGAAAAAAAGGGGATTGCTTGCAAGCCGAAGAACACCATCCCAACCATGAAGCACGGGTGTGGCAGCATCATGCTGTGGGGGAGCTTTGTTGCAGGAGGAACTGGTGCACTTCACAAAATAGATGGCATCATGAGGAAGGAAAATTATGTGGATATATTGAAGCAACATCACAAGACATCAGTCAGGAAGTTAAAGCTTGGTCGCAAATGGGTCTTCCAAATGGACAATGACCCCAAGCATACTTCCAAAGTTGTGGCAAAATGGTTTAAGGACAACAAAGTCAAGGTATTGGAGTGGCCATCACAAACCCCTGACCTCAATCCTATAGAAAATGTGTGGGCAGAACTGAAAAAGTGTGTGCGTGCAAGGAGGCCTACAAACCTGACTCAGTTACACCAGCTCTGTCAGGAGGAATGGGCCAAAATGATTGTGGGAAGCTTGTGGAAGGCTACCCGAAACGTTAGACCGAAGTTAAACAATTTAAAGGCAATGCTACCAAATACTATTTGAGTGTATGTAAACTTCTGACCCACTGGGAATGTGATGAAAGTGTCACGCCCTGGCCTATAGAACTCTAGCTAGTTTGGTCAGGGTGTGAATATTCTAGGTTTGTATTTCTATGTTTGGCCGGGTGTGGTTCCCAATCAGAGGCAGCTGTCGCTCGTTGTCTCTGATTTGGGATCATACTTAGGAAGCCAGTTTTCCTGCCTGTGTTGTGGGATCTTGTTGTGTTCCTGTTTAGGCTTGTGTGTTAGCCCTTTGGACCGTCACGGTTAAGTTTGTTATTTTGGTTACTGTGTCGTGTGTTTATTAGTTAAATAAACATGTACATCTTTCACGCTGCACCTTGGTCCGACCCTTCTCTTAACGTACGTGATAGAAGATCCCACCACCAATGGACCAAGCAGCGTGCCGAGGAGGAGCAGAGAGTATGGACTTGGCGGGAGATAAGAGAGGATCTGGCAAGGCAGATGGAGGCCCTGAAAGGGATCAGGGTGGAGAAGGAGAGACAGCCCCAATAAAAAATTTTGGGGGGGCTAAAAGGGTGGTCAGGGAGCGATAGAGAGGAGCCCCGACCACTGCACTTATGGGGTCTCAAGGAGGAGTCCTCACTGGAGGAGGACGGGGCGCGGAGTGTAAAGGACGGAGACAGTCATAGACCTCCAGCGCCGGTTCCCAGTCTGGTACGCCCCGTATCTGCTCCCCGCACCAAGCCAGTGGTGCGTGTTCCCAGTCCGGTCCGGACTGTTCCTGCTCCTCGCACCAAGTCAGTGGTGCGTGTTCCCAGTCTGGCTCGGCTTGTTCCTGCTCCTCGCACCAAGCCAGTGGTGCGTGTTCCCAGTCCGGCCCGGCCTGTTCCTGCTCCTCGCACCAAGCCAGTGGTGCGCGTCGCCAGTCCGGCCCAACCTGTTCCTGCTCCTCCAGTGGTGCACATCGCCAGTCCGGCCCGGCCTGTTCCTGCTCCTCGCACTAAGCCAGTGGTGCGCGTCGCCAGTCCGGCACGGCCCGTTCCACCGGCGCCTGGTCCGGCACCGGTCAGCGGCTCCACTCCGGAGCCAGAGGAGTCCGCTTCACCGGTGCCTGATCCAGCTCCGGTCAGCGGCTCCACTCTGGAGCCAGAGCAGTCCGCTCCACCGGTGCCTGATCCAGCTCCGGTCGGTTGCTCCACTCCGGAGCCAGAGCAGTCTGCTCCACCGGTGCCCAGTCCAGCTCCGGTCAGCAGCTCCACTCCGGAGCCAGAGCTGTCAGCCCCACCGGTGCCCAAGCAAGCTCCGGTCAGCGGCTCCACTCCGGAGCCGGAGCTGCCACCGAGGCTGGAAGCCCACCCGGACCCTCCCCTATTCAGTCAGGTTTGTGCGGCGGGAGTCCGCACCTTATTAGTTATCTTGTTGTTATTAGTTGTTGTTAGTTGTTATTAGTCCCATCCTACAACTCCATTCAACACCACCCATCTATCTCTTAACACCATCCATATTGGATTTCTATTTGCCATATATTTTTCAACTGTACTGTGATGTTTTACAAAAGTTCTGAACCTTTCTATTCTCATTGTTTCTACAGATTGTAAATTGAAAATATGTATGTTGTTTGTATAAAATATTATGAATCTACCTCAAATATTTTTTTCATACTAAGCAAAAGCCTAAAACTGTTACTTTGTTCCCGGTCTGCCCTAGAACTTGCCCAATAAGAAACATTTGTTTTCCTGGTGATCCCTACTGAACACGACTCTGGTGTGTTAGAGCTGGGCTAAAACAAAAGCTTTCACACACTGCAGCTCTACAGGGACCCAAGTTTCCATCCCCTGCTGCAGGGTTTGGGGGCGAACTAGAGTGGGACCTATACCTCTGTCCCAGAGGACTGTATAAGTGACTGTGACTCCTGAGCCAGCCACGTCTGTAGGGGGGGAAGGTTCTTGCTGTAGGCCTCCCAGGTACTCAACACACGTCCCATGGTGCCTTTCACTGCCGCCACTTCCTCTGTGCTCGTGGCAATGTCACTCTCTGCCTCCTTCACCTGCCTACTGATGAGCTGGGCATCCTCACCTGGGGAGTGGAATGCAAAAGGTTTAGGGTCAAGGTTTATTGGGGTTGTGTTATTGGAGGCTAGAATCCTACTGTAGGCCTTGCTCAGCAGGACAACAGAGTGCGTCACTTAATTCAATTGCAACAATGCTGCTCTGAACAACCATTTGAAGAATATTGTGATTATGGTGGTCCAAAGGGAGATTATGTACAGTGTGCTGCATGAGTTTTGCGATTTCGATTGGTCACACCCTTATTGATCAGGTAACAGCCCGCTACACACACCATACAGGAGAAAACACACTTTGATGACTGTTGAAGAATGGTGAGCACCGTTTAGGGGAAACGTGCTGTTCATTACAAACCGTTACGCAATGTAGCAATGAATTCAGGATGAATTCCATTGTACACATTGAAAACTCATAAGGCTATTTCTCTCGTACAGACACGTTTATTCTCACACAGTCACTCACACACATGTACAGTACACAAATAACACATTTGCATACACACGCGCATGCACACATGCACACACACACACACACACACACGCCTTACCCAGAGCTGCCTTGCTTGTATAAGTGCTGGCTGTCTGTTTCAATTTTTGGAGGGCATCCATCAGATGAGAAACTAGGCCTTGGCGATCCACTGTGTCCTGAGTTAAGATAATATCATTCATACAAAACCATAGAGTAAAGAACCTTACGAGTAAAAATGGGTTTCCTTGTCAACATAGGATTCCTTGTTGTTTCAACTTACTTCATCAAAGTAATTGCGTTGTATCAATGTGGATAGTTTGATGAATTTGTTAACTTGTTAACTTTGATATTTCTATAATTTTAAACAATGACAGGGTTAAAGTTTTTATTTATTTTTTAAGTCTAATTTAAACTGAAACAGGATGTTTATCTAGAGTGTTCGCCTGGTTGGACCACACTGGTATCTGATGTAAGACAATTGCTAATCTTGATCACATAATGAGTAGTAACTTGGGATATAAGGTGACTTGTAGATCAGAATCACTGATCTCGAACATGCACATCGATACATGCACATCGATCACAAACAGTGAATCCATTACCCCTCACTGCAGTGCCATGATGCACAGCCAGGGGCAGAGTATGGAGTACATTTTTGGACAGAGGCCCAGCCAACTCACATGCCAGTCCTGTAGGAGCAGACACACTGCATCCTGTGAGCTGTAGGGCCCTTTCCAGGAGCGTAACTTGGCACCAATCCGAGCCAGTAGATCCAGGACGGTGTGCCGGTGCTCCCGGTATTCCAGTTTGATCCCGTGGTACTTAGCCGTGACACGGGCGTTGGTGAAACTGTGGTAAGAAAGACAGGGTTGTGTTCAGTAGGCAACAAACATAAGGGAAAAGACAGAAACAGGAAGGGACAACCTGGTTTTTGTTGCAAAAGGTTTTATATGTTTCTGTTGTGTGCCCACGACCCAGGGGTCAGGAATGAAATGGTGCACAATGACACAGTTCATTACCTGTGAGTTTAGTACAACATACGTTGCAGGTTTGGGAAATGTAATGGAAATGCCACATCATTTAGTGAACTGCCTATTTTTTCTACCCACTCATTTTGTATTTTATGTTTTTAATTAATAGGACAGTCAGTAGAGGGGACAGGAAAGACAGCAGGAGAGTGTGTGTTAAATAGGCAGTGGGACAGACTCGTACCCAGTACCTACACCTTCAGTACATGTGTTTGCTGAGGCGGCACTAACCTCTGGACCAGGCATTCCCAACCTTTTTTCCCCAGGGTCAAAAATATCACGCCCCCCTGCAATTCTACGTAGTTAACCCTAAAGACTTGACATCTTTTAGGTAGGCTATTTAATGATAATAATTTATATGAACTCTCAATTGAATTATACATATGATCTTTTACAGAAAGTGAATAGATCAATTGATAGCAACAGAGTCACACATTGTATAAGTCCAATTTCTTTGACTGCTTGACTTTAGAAGGCTGTAGCTCAGCTTCTGAATGCCAAACCAAATATATTCCCATGTGCATCAGAGTCGCGTCTTCCTCTGGCATGTTTCTATAAAAAAGCTGTCAAATCAAAGAAGGTCACGCCCCTTCCCCCACAGCTGGGAACCCCTACTCTAGACCACCCAGGCCACACTGGCAATCACTGTAAATAACTTCAATCAAACCTGCTTTTGCACTCTGTATTCAGTATGTTTGTTTACAAACTACTGTCATCTCACTAAAAAGGTGTCTTATTCTATAAAAAAATATTTTGAGGGAAGTCTATCTGCTATTTTACAGGGCCCAAAACTAGCGATATTTTCTTCATCATACCAACTGACTTAGTATTTTGATTGGCTATCATACAACTATTCTATCTGGGCCAATCAGCTTGTTTCAGACAGGAAGTGATCTCTGTTCCAAGGGAAGTTGTGCCCTTTGCTATGCCCACCGTCTCTTGATTTCCTCTAACTTCTCCACAGGCACGAGTATGGCACCGGTCTCAGCCTGGTTGCAGAACGTGTGAAGGATGTTGAGGTGGCTGCTCAACTCAACCATTGAATTCTGGGGGAGAATGCATGATCGTAAAATTATACAAATGTACATGCAGGGGCTGTATGTGTCAAGCGTCTCAGAGTAGGATTGCTGACCTAGGATCAGTTTTGCCTTTTAGATTATAATGAATGGACAGGGGATCTGATCCTCGATCAACACTTCTGCTCTTAGATGCTGCCCTGATCTTCACAACTCCTAGAACGGTGTGTTAACGTTTCAGAAATGACATCAACATGATACAGCACAACAGTTCCTCCGCTGCACAGCCCAAATGCAATGTAGTCAATGTAGTCAATTTCAAACAAATATAGTAACTGTTTGTTTCTTTTACAGGCAACAACAGTCTTTAGACAGTGTTGAAGAGCTAGAGGCAGAGATATGTAGATGGAGATAGAGCATAGAGTTAGAAAGAGATCCCATCTTTGCCATTATCACTTCTGTGACAGCATAGGGAGTGCCATTGAGGGCTAGCCTATCTCCATTTCAAAGTAGTCAATTCCTTCTTCTTCAACTTCTATAGTTTATTGGCACACCTTGAGTTTTTCCTGTTTGACTCTTGCTTCTTTGGCAGCACGGGCGTGGTCCTGAGCATCTCCTCCCTCTTCAGATAGTACTGCCTCCATACGGTGAAGCCACGCCCCCACAAAGTCCATCGGAGCAGGAAGATACGTATCCAGCTCGGCCTTACACTGTCGCAGCTATAGAAGCGCACAAATGCACACACACACACACACACACACACACACACACACACACACACACACACACACACACACACACACACACACACACACACACACACACACACACACACACACACACACACACACACGGAATTAGAAGAGCAGGTGGTCAAGTGCCTTTAGAAAGTATTCATACCCCTTGACTTATTAGACGTTAGAATCACCTTTGGCAGCGATTACAGCTGTGAGTCTTTCACGGTAAGTCTCGAAGAGCTTTGCACACCTGAATTGTATAATATTTGCACATTATTATTTGCTAAATTCTTCAAGCTCTGTCAAATTGGTTGTGGATCATTGCATGACAGCTTTTTTCAAGTCTTGCCATAGATTTCCAAGCTGATTTAAGTCAAAACTGTAACTAGGCCACTCAGGAACATTCAATGTCATCTTGGTAAGCAATTATATACTGTATATACAGTTGATGTCGGAAGTTTACATACACTTAGGTTGGAGTCCTTAAAACTTGTTTTCAACCACTCCACAAATTTCTTGTTAACAAACTATAGTTTTGGCAAGTCGATTAGGACATCTACTTTGTGCATAACACAAGTCATATTTCCATCAATTGTTTACAGACAGATTATTTCACTTATAATTCACTGTCTCACAATTTCAGTGAGTCGAAGGTTTACATACACTAAGTTGACTGTGCCTTTAAACAGCTTGGACGATTCCAGAAAATGATGTCATGGCTTTAGAAGCTTCTGATAGGCTAATTGACATCATTTGAGTCAATTGGAGGTGTACCTGTGGAAATATTTCAAGGCCAACCTTCAAACTCAGTGCCTCTTCGCTTGACATCATGGGAAAATCAAAAGAAATCAGCCAAGACCTCAGAAAAAAATGGTAGACCTCCACAAGTCTGGTTCATCCTTGGGAACAATTTTCAAACGCCTGAAGGTACCACGTTCATCTGTACAAACAATAGTACGCAAGTATAAACACCATGGGACCACGCAGCCGTCATACCGCTCAGGAAGGAGACGCGTTCTGTCTCCTAGTGATGAACGTACTTTGGTGCGAAAAGGGCAAATCAATCCCAGAACAACAGCAAAGGACCTTGTGAAGATGCTGGAGGAAACAGGTACAAAAGTATCTATATCCACAGTAAAATGAGTCCTATATCGACATAACCTGAAAGGCAGCTCAGCAAGGAAGAAGCCACTGCTCCAAAACCACCATAAAAAAAGCCAGACTACGGTTTGCAACTGCACATGGGGACAAAGATCGTACTTTTTGGAGAAATGTCCTCTGGTCTGATGAAACAAAAATAGAACTGTTTGGCCATAATGAACATCGTTATGTTTGGAGGAAAAAGTCTGTGACTTGCAAGCCGAAGAACACCATCCCAACCGTGAAGCACAGGGGTGGCAGCATCATGCTATGGGGGTGCTTTGCTGCAGGAGGGACTGGTGCACTTCACAAAATAGATCGCGTCATGAGGAAGGAAAATGATGTGGATATATTGAAGCAACATCTCAAGACATCAGTCAGGAAGTTAAAGCTTGGTCGCAAATGGGTCTTCCAAATGGACAATGATCCCAAGCATACTTCCAAAGTTGTGTCAAAATGGCCACTCCCGAGTGGCGCAGTGGTCTAAGGCACTGCATTGCAGTGCTAGCTGTGCCACTAGAGACCCATGGGGCGGCGCGCAATTGGCCCAGCGTCGTCCAGGATAGGGGAGGGAATGGCCGGCAGGGATGTAGCTCAGTTGATAGAGCATGGCGTTTGCAACACCAGGGTTGTGGGTTCGATTCCCACAGGGGGTATGAAAAAAATAAAAAATAAATAATAATTATGTATGCACTAACTGTAAGTCGCTCTGGATAAGAGCGTCTGCTAAATGACTAAAATGTATATGTTAAGGAAAACAAAGTCAAGGTATTGGAGTGGCCATCACAAAGCCCTGAAAAAGCATGTGCGATCAAGGAGGCCTACAAACCTGACTCAGTTACACCAGCTCTGTCAGGAGGAATGGGCTAAAATTCACTCAACTTATTGTGGAAAGCTTGTGGAAGGCTACCCAAAACATTTGACCCAAGTTAAACAATTTAAAGGCAATGCTACCAAATACTAATTGAGTGTATGTAGACTTCTGACCCACTGGGAATGTGATGAAATAAATCATTCTCTCTACTATTATTCTGACATTTCACATTCTTAAAATAAAGTGATGATCCTAACTGACCTAAGACAGGGAATTTTTACTAGGGTTAAATGTCAGGAATAGTGAAAAAAATATTTTAAATGTATTTGGATAAGGTGTATGTAAACTTCCGACTTCAACTGTATATATGTACATATATAGGTTATTGTCCTGCTGAAAGGTGAATTTGTCTCCCAGTATCTGTTGGAAAGCAGACTGAACCAGGTTTCCTCTAGGATTCTGCCTGTGCTTAGGCTCTATTCCGTTTTATCCTAAAAAAGAAACTCCCTAGTCCTTGCCGATGACAAGCAGACCCATGACATGATGCAGCCATCGCCATGCTTGAAGATATGAAGAGTGATACTCAGTAATGTGTTGTGTTGGATTTGCCCCAAACATAACGCTTTGTATTCAGGACATGAAGTTAAATTATTTTCAGTATTACTTTAGTGCCTTATAGCAAACAAGGTGCATGTTTTGGAATATTTTTAGCCTGTACAGGCTTACTTCTTTTCACTCTCATTTAGGTTAGTATTGTGAAGTAACTAGAATATTGTTGATCCATCCTCAGTTTTCTCCTATCACAGCCATTAAACTCTGTAACTGTTTTAAAGTAACCATTGACCTCATGGTGAAATCCCTGAGCGGTTTGCTTCCTCTCTGGCTACTGAGTTAGGAAGGACGCCTGTATCTTTGTAGTGACTGGGTGTATTGATTTGATACACCATCCAAAGTGTAATTAATAACTTCACCATGCTCAAAGGGATATTCAATGTCTACTTTTTTTTATTTTTACCCATCTACCAATAGGTGCCCTTCTTTGCGAGGCATTGGAAAACCTCCCTGGTCTTTGTGGTTGAATCTGTGTTTGAAATTCACTGCTCGACTGAGGGACATTACAGATAATGGTATGTGTTGGGTACAGAGATGAGGTAGTCATTCAAAAATCATGTTAAACACTATTATTGCATACAGAGTGAGTCCATGCAACTTATTATGTGACTTGTTGAGCATAGTTTTACTCCTGAACTTATTTAGGCTTACCATAACAAAGAGGTTGAATACTTATTGACTTTTGAAATTTAATTTGTAAAAAGAAACTAAAAACATAATTCCACTTTGACATTATGGTGTATTGTGTATAGGCCAGTGACACAACATCTCAATTTAATCCTTTTAAATTTCAGGCTGTAACACAACAAAATGTGGAAAAAATCAAAATTCCTTTTCTCATCAATCTACACACAATACCCCTTCATGACAAAGCGAAAACAGGTTTTCAAAATTTTAGCAAATGTATTAAGAACAAAAAACATAAATACTTTATTTACATAAGTATTCATAACCTTTGCTATGATAATCGAAATTCAGCTCAAGTACATCCTGTTTCCATTTATCATCCTTGAGATGTATCTACAACTTGATTGGAGTCCACCTGTGGTAAATTCAATTGATTGGACATGATTTGGAAAGGCACACACCTGTCTATATAAGGTCCCACAGTTGACAGTGCATATCAGAGCAAAAACCAAGCCATGAGGTTGAAGGAATTGTCCGTAGAGCTCTGAGACAGGATTGTGTCGAGGCACAGATCTGGGGAATGGTACCAAAAAATGTCTGCAGCATTGAAGGTCCCCAAGAACACAGTGGCCTCCATCATTCTTAAATGGAAGAAGTTTGGAACCACCAAGACTCTTCTTAGAGCTGGACACCCGGCCAAACTGAGCAATCAGGGGAGAAGGGCCTTGGTCAGGGAGGTGACCAAGAACCCGATGGTCACTCTGACAGAACTCCAAAGTTCCTCTGTGGAGATGGGATAACCTTCCAGAAGGACACCATCTCTGCAGCACTCCATCAATCAGGCCTTTATGGTAGAGTGGCCAGACGGAAGCCACTCCTCAGTAAAAGGCACATGACAGCCCACTTGGAGTTTGCCAAAAGGCACCTAAAGGACTCTCAGACCATGAGAAACAAGCTTCTCTGGTCTGATGAAACCAAGATTGAACTCTTTGGCCTGAATGACAAGTGTCACGTCTGGAGGAAATCTGGCACCATCCCTACGGTGAAGCATGGTGGTGGCAGCATCATGCTGTGGGGAAGTTTTCAGCGGCAGGGACTGGGAGACTAGTCAGGATCGAAGGAAAGATGAACGGAGCAAAGTATAGCGAGATCCTTGATGAAAACCTGCTCCAGGACCTCAGACTGGGGCAAAGGTTCACCTTCCAACAGGACAACAACCATAAGCACACAGCCAAGACAATGCAGGAGTGGCTTCGAGACAAGTCTCTGAATGTCCTTGAGTGGCCCAGCCAGAGTCCGGACTTGAACCCGATCAAACATATCTGGAGAGACCTGAAAATAGCTGTGCAGCAACGCTCCCCATCCAACCTGACAGAGCTTGAGAGGATCAGCAGAGAAGAATGGGAGACACTCCCTAAATACAGTTGTGCCACGCTTGTTGCGTCATACCCAAGAAGACTCGAGGCTGTAATCGATGCCAAAGGTGCAACAAAGTACTGAGTAAAGGGTCTGAATACTTTTGTAAATGTGATATACCAGGTCTTAATACATTTGCAAAATTTTCTAAAAACCTGTTTTTGCTTCGTCATTATGGGGTATTGTGTGTAGATTGATGAGGATATATATATTTTTTTTATCCATTTTAGAATAAGGCTGTAACGTAACAAAATGTGGAAAAAGTGAAGGGGTCTGAATACTTTCCGAATGCACTGTATATATGCTGTATATATACACAGGGCCATGATTCTGTAACAATCATGTGATACCTGATCCATGTCAATGAATTATGTAATTACCCAAAATTAAAATGGAATATGTGATAGTATAACAGGGGCAGCTTCTACAAACTCCCACTGGTGACTGCAGTGAGGCAATAGATGTAATTAGATCACAAAAAAATAACATTAAATAAACCTTTACAAAAAAATAGCTTCTCCTTTTCGATTTATTGAGAAATCATTGAAAATAGATGCCCTTTTTTAATTATTGACTTGGAATTTCAGTTTACTTCCTGAATTGACTGACTTAAATTAAAATTGACCCGAACCCTGGTTATCTCTATATGAGTTTCTCTCACCTTCTCTTCCAGGCGGTCCCAGGCTGCTCTTAGGGCACGTTGCTCCTCGCTGGGCTCCGGGCAGCGTCGCATGGCTCCCAACAGGGGCATCACTGGCCGCCGCTGCTCACTGAAGGAGACCGCAAATGCCTGGAATGCCTGGAGCCCATATAGACGTCACATAGGAAAACATATTATGTATATGACAGAGTGTAACATATAGGCTTTAGCTCAGTGGGCTAATGCAGTCACGTGAATGACCCGGATTAAACATTTGGTTGGTCACACAATGGTCATACAGACCTGAACCGTACTGTGCTGGCTTTCATGTTGTCCATTTCAGCAGTTTCAGCACAGCTCAGGTCGATAAAAATGAGCTGATTTGGCCTGACATTTCTGACATTTCAGTCAAGTTTTCAAGATGGAGCACTTTCAGAACAGAGCATAAACTGTGATGATGCATTTTGTAGTGAAAGTGGTCCATCTTGAAAACTTGACTGCTGAAATGGAAAAAAAAGTTGGGACTGCAATAACAGTGAATTAATCCAAAAAATACTAATTGAGTGAACTATCCCTTAAAGTCAGGGACGGCATGATAGTGTGAAAAAGGTCTAACCTGATACCGCTCTGCATAGGCTTTTTTCTCAGTGGAGGCCCACACCTCCAGCAGCTCCTGATAGGCCCGTTGTAGCCAGCAGGTCACCTCCCGGGCTCTTTGATTGGGTGAGGCCTGGGATCATAACAAGTTACAAAAGAAGGCATTATCAATACAACATCACTCATTCACGCACACTTCACTCTTTCACTCATTTTTACTTGGTCTCCCACTGACATCAATGCAATGTGAAAAGTAGAAGTTAGGATTCACCCCTTATGTTGGAATTCAATCAAACCTGCTATAGCAATGTTTAGGTAGTATTTTTTATTGTGAAATTTGTGCATGCACAGTGTACCTGGTGCAGGGGAGAGACAGCGATGGCGGGGGTGAAGTGAGAGGGCAGATTGATAGGAGAGAGGCAGGGGGGCAGAGCCTGGGTGAACAGCTGCACCACCCCACCAGCAAGAGGAGAGAAGAAGAGGAGGAAAAGGAAAAGGAGGAGGAAGAAGAGAGATAAACATTACAGTGCAGGAATCTGGATGGATGGATGGATCGAAGGAAGGAAGGAGGGTTGGATAGATGGATGGGCAGAAGGGATGGACAGACGGAAGGGACGGACCAGGGGAGAACGACTGCCCCCTCTCATTGAAGCCACGGAAGTTCAAGGCCGACCGTGGTACCGCAGGCATTGTTTTTAGAAAACAGGATCCCCCATTATAGTGACTGGAAAAATGGCAATCTTCGTCGTCAATCATCATGTAGAAAAAAAAATTTTTAAGACAATAATGGCACCAATAATTGCCTCCAGATGTATGTCCTTGAACCAATTTTTTTTTTTTATCGCACACAAAAAAAGTTATAAAGATGATGTAGTTGCTAATGGCAGCCTGCAGTACCCCGGTCGGCCTTCAACTTGAGTTACTCAATGAGAGGGGGCAGCACTGAGCTAGCCTGCAACGTCACTTCCTTGAGTAGCTCAAACTGCGAATGCTATGGGGTTTCCTCTGTCATCTCTCCTCCGTCCGCTCTCCTCCGTGACCCGGAAACCGATAAGTGGTCAAGGAGTGTGTCTGTTCATTAGTAGGCAAATGGAAGAGTGTCCTCCCCTTCTCAATAGCCACCTTTCATCGAGGATACTCATGTTTATCCTGGCGCGGAAGAGTTGTGAAAGGGGATAAAAACATGCACACGTTTAAAAACAATATGCTACTTATTGTTTTATCTATAAAATGCCTTGCACAACTAACTTCATTTGTCATTTTGGGATCCACCCCTGTAAATGTGATTTGCCTAATGTGGAGTGGAGAAGGACAGTCTCATTTCAAGCAAGCGCTATTCCATCCACGTTCACTCTCCTCGCCGACTGTCCTCGATTAACTTTGACCTTTTTCAAAAGGAGGCGATAGAGGACGGAGAAGAGAGGAAGCAGAAGGTGAGCAAATCTAATTGATAAAAGGCCTATGTCTCTATGAGATGCCATCTTAACCGACTTCATTTGGCTTCAACGCGCTATTGAGTCTTCACATGGGAATGAATGGTGTCATGTGATCGATGGCTTTGTCCATTTATATACCGTATACAGTCATTGGGACAGACGGACGGCTGGAAGGACAGACGGATGGAAGGACAGATGGACAAACAGACGGACAGACAATTATGAACAAAAGGAAGAGAGATTGACTGCAAAGCAGGAGAATGGGTACATCTCAGTAGTCTAACATCCTCTCCTTCAGCTATGCTAATTTAACAACTAAACATAAGATAGTTGAAAAGCACAATGCACTATGACTGAAGCATATAATAGCATATTGCTTACAGCAGGCACATTCAAATCTGGACCTCGAAGCCAGTTCCACTGGCTGACTTTCATTATTTCCCTCTAATCAAGGACTGATTTCGACCTGGGACACCAGGTGGGTGCAATTAATTATCAGGCAGAACAGAAAAACCAGCACTACTCCGGACCTTCAGGCTCGGATTTGCATACCCCTAGCCTACAGTATACTGTAAGTGGTTTGCACAAGGTGGGGAAATGGGAACGTGACCGCTGACCTGCAGGTCATCATCGTCGGGTGGTGTGGGGAGGTCATTGGAATATTGCAGGAACTGTGCCACGTAGGTCATGATGGACTTTTCGTCTGGGTCTTTCACGTCAATGTCTAAAATTAAAAGAGACAAAGCCACATTCAATGAAACTCCCATAGTAATTTTTATGTAATGTATATCATGTAATGTACAGTATATTGTCTTGTTTCTTTGTCAACATCATGGCATCACCTTATGAAGACCGACTAACTCCTCAACTTTATTTTTTTTTGGGGGGGGGGGGGGGGGGGGGGGGGGGGGGGGGGGGGGGGGGTTTCGATCTCCTTTTGTATTGACAGGACAGATGGAAAGTTTGGGAGGTCATTGGAATAGAGAACTGTGCCACGGGTCAGATGACTTCCTGTTTCAGTAATGTCGTATAAGGCCCGTCCTCAGACTTCCATAGTTTTTGTTGTTCAGTATGTGATTTCTTGTCCGTTCATGGCCACTGATGGCCACTATCCAAGCTTTATTTGTTTTTTGGGGGGGGGTCGTCACTCTGGGGATGCAGGACGGGGGATGTGAGCTCGAGGAAGAAATGGGGGGCTGATTTGAGTTGCTCTGCAGGGCGAGTAGTCACAGTCTGGTTAGAAAACACAGGATGGCCAGCTGATATGCCAACACTGCGCCACTGGCCACTAGACGGGAGTGCACTCGTACCAGGGAGCCGTCAATCCATCTGGTGCAGGACTGGGCCGAGTAGGAGGAGGTCAGCTCAGAGAGCAGAGAGAGGAGAGCCACCGATGCAGGAGCTAGAGAGACTGAGGGAGGGAGAGAAGAGAGAGGAGAGAGAGAAGAGAGAGGGATAAGAGAGAGAGAGAGAGAGAGAGAGAGAGAGAGAGAGAGAGAGAGAGAGAGGAGAGAAGGAGAGAGAGAGACGAGAGAGGAGAGAGAGGAGAGAGAGAGAGAGGAGAGAGAGAGAGAGAGAGAGAGAGAGAGAGGAGAGAGAGAGAGAGAGAGAGAGAGAGAAAGAGAAGGAAGACAATTTTAACAACATTTTAAGAAATCATGCATGGTGGTGTGTGTTCATGTGTGTCTGTTTATGTCTGTGTGTGTTATAGAAATACATGTAGGCGGAATCCACCTTTGGCACTGGTCTCGGACCCACATCAGCAGGGCCTTCTTGGCCGAGACGCGGAAGCGGGCGTGGAGGGGTGATGCGCGCCCTCGAGGGGCGGGACTACCCGGGGTTGGGCTTCCCAGGGCAGGGCTACTGGAGCAAGAGTCCAGACTGGCCAGGGAGTCCAAGGAAGAGTGACGTGAGCCGAAGGACAGTGTGCTGGCCAGCTCCTCAATCTGGGACACAAAGCAGATAGCGATTGAATATTGGGGAACACTGATTTGCATTGGAAGAGAGTCCTTTTCCTCAAAATGAAGTAGTTTACATTGTATTTTTTCATAGCTATTCTCTAACAGTGTTTCTTTCTTCTAGGTTTTTTTTCCAGGCCACTATGCTTCTGCTTCTCCTTGCTCTTTGGGATCTAGGTCAGGTTAATGCGAAAACACTTGTGCCTGATGTAAAAAGGGCTTTATAAATACACTTTATAAACCAGGGTCTTCCATCTGGCCCTACTAATCAGACCCCCTTGAATGTACTGTCGCATTTCAATTTCACATTGACATATAACCACCCCACACTACCTCCCTGTAGTATCTAAACAAAAAGTCCTCCCTCCTCTGTCCTTCTATATAGAACCAAACTGACTGAGAACACTCCTGTAAGTTATTGTATTCAGCATTGTTCCTGAGCAGAAACTAAATGCAAAGTCTATTTCCCAGGGCTCGTCTACACTACATGAATGGAGAGTCTCTTGTACTTTGAGGCCATTGAAGCTATAGGTGTGGTTAAAGAGACAGAATACCTCAAGGACACAGGATATGTTCTGTAATGTAATACGGTATTATCTAGCCATTATATCCCTGATATCAAAACCATCAAAGTCAGAAAAGAAGGGTTTTACGGGAACTCACATTGTTACAGGATGTTTCACACTGTTACACTCCTTATATTGGTTGAAATATTGATACAAATACTAAACTAAATGTTCACTTTTTTAATAAGAATCAAGCTTTTGTGCTGACCAATCAATGGTCTCTGGACATTTCATAAGTCATCTATAAACGATGTCTATCAAGCAGCAATACCAGTATATTGAAATGTTAGACAATATAGCATGAATAGCCATGCCAATGTAGTCTGGTGTCATATTATGTAGAGCAATAAGATTGATATTATCATTGCATCCACATTTAAACTAACTATTGAATGCACAGTGCAAAACATATTATTGCTTGTTTGCACCGTAAAAAATGCGGAATGTGACAGAATTCGTCACCAAGAGCCTTTTCACAATACTGAGCCGAGCCAAACCAAGCTGACCTGTAGTGCGCTGGCCTGGTTACGCATCCACCATAGTTGCTGGAAAAGTGCTGGAAAGGACAATGTGAAAATCAAATATCCAAGCCAGCACAGAACAGTTTGGTTCGGCATGAGGGTTCGGCAACACAGAGATTTTCTTGTCCAAAAAATTACTAATTGAGCCAATCGTTTTTCAAAGGGGATCATCCGTTGACGGATAATGGACAACAGAGATTGTCTGTCAACAAACACACAATATGTCCGCTTTTGTGTGTATGCAACTAGTCCAAAACATTTTTACGAGTTGAACTTTTGACAGACAGAAAAGGAAAATGATGAATGCATGCGTTTTCATACATCTCTGTGTAGCCTTATGCTTTGAACACACCGACTGTGTCATTGCGCAAAATAGTATGCAGCATCATCTAGTTATGTGTGCAACAACATTCACCTTCTGCTGCCATTTCTGTCAACCCGATTACGCATACAGTTTGACGCATACCTTCGATAAATCCAACGTATGCACCACACAGAACGCACTGCAACTGCCTCTGCAACACAATGCTGCAAGGCAAACGCAGCATTCCATTGGAAATGAATGTACTTCTGGTGTACCAAAACGCAATGACACAGTCGGTGTGTTCAAAGCGTTAGCCTGATAGTGTGAAAAGGGTACGTCATGGGCTAAACTGTGCAGACACCCACGTGACAGTGGAGGATGATGGTCCATATGAGGCCCAGGATGATGGAGGGGCGTCCGTCAATGATGTCCGGGATGTTGATGTTCACCAGTTTAACCTGGATTTGGGTTAACAGAGGCATGCTATTAGAACAAGCCAACCCCTGACACACCATTTTACATTTACATTTTAGTCATTTAGCAGATGCTCTTATTCAGAGCAACTTACAGTTACAGTTTTTTCGATCACAATACTTAGAAAATATCAAATCTATTATTGTATTTATAAAATGTAGCATTATTTTTGTTTTAATTTGTCTGCCTTATCAGATTCTTCCACACTCACACATGCGCTCTTACCGATTTCTTCTTGAGGAAGTTCAAGGCCGTCTGAATGTTACCCCTGTGCTGAAAAAACCCGTGGCCCCTCTCCCGTTGCTGTGGGAGAAAAAAATTATCAACACGTTCCCTGAATCCCAAATCAACCTGTAGCCCCGACCCTGAGTGAATCAGTCCCGAATTAGAGGGAAAGATCGGTTGCATTCCAGGCCGACTACATTGCAGTAGTGCAACGTGGATCAACAAATTATTGCATGCCACGTAATCGACTACACAGTTGGGCACCAATTGCTATATTATATGATGGAGTTAGCTGATATCTTAAACACCTATCCCAGCAGGGTACCCTTACGAAAAAAGATTGCAGTCAGAGTGCAGTATAACTGCAGTATGCTTCAAATACTGCATCCAAAATAACACCGTTTTTTTTACTGCAGTAATTTTGCAGTGTTTTTTTAATTTTTATTTCACCTTTATTTAACCAGGTAAGCCAGTTGAGAACAAGTTCTCATTTACAACTGCGACCTGGCCAAGATAAAGCAAGTGTAACTGCAGTTAGAGTGCAGTATAACTGCAGTTCAACTGCAGTACACTGCAGTTATTCTGCAATTACTTCGTCCAAAATACCCCAGTCGACTGCAGTTACAACTTTTTTTGTAAGGGTGAGATCTGGCAGGCGACTGCAATGTAGCCAGCCTGGAACTCAGTCAATAATATAATATATTTCATTTAGCAGACACTTTCATCCAAAGCAACTTGGTCATAAGTGCATACATTTCCCTATGGGTGGCCCCAGCGGGAATCAAACCCACGATCGCTATGCTCTACCAACTGAGCCATACAGGGCCAGTGAAAGTCAATAGTGCTACGGCCCTTCAGGACTGTTACTGAATATCCCTTGTGGCGTAAGGGGTACCTTCTTGTCCATTTTACCATGTACAATGACTTATACTGTAAGCTGCCAGGTCTCCCTCGAAAAAAGGGATCCCTTATCTCAAGGTATTTCTTGGTTAAATATAGGTTACATTTATAAAATGTATAAATAAAATAATACAAATCTGGTATCACTGTATTTGGATAGTCCCAAATTCTGTTGATGGTTTGTAGATGTTCAATAGATGATCAACAACTGTCATTTCAACTAACTATTCACTAACTAGCGATGTGCTTAATTCCCTTTCAAGACGATTCGATATGCATCTAGTTACATGGGCTCCGATATGGTACAGGAATGATACATTTTAGCTTGAAATGATTTGATGAGATTCGTTTTGATTAGAGGAACGAATCGATGTGATTCGGTTCGATGCAATACAATACGATTCCATGCACTAACTAATTTCAACAGCACATTTGATCAAAATAACCTAACAAATTACATTGGTTGTCACTGAACTAATAAAGCCTAATATTGCGCAAGCCATTTTATAAACATTTGAATGCTGAAGGTGATGTGCAGATGTGCCAGATCAGGAATAGGCCTACCTCTCATTGCTCAGTGCACACACTTTTACTAGGCTGCTGATATTGCCTGGGGTTGCTCGATATGCAAAATAACTGTCAACATAATTACATGCTTAGTTCGACACTGAAGGTGAGGACACAGTTGTCACAAAAGAAGAGAGGTATTTCCGGAAGGTAGAAAGAAAGTCATTTTTGCAAATAATGTTAATGAACTGGCAATTTGTAATGTTCGAATCGATTTTCTGATCGATGCATTCTACATTTGGATTGGTTTGGGGTCCCGCAGAGCGATGCACTCATATCTTAAACATTTGAACCGGGGACTGATGTGTATCGGTGAATCATTACATCCCTACCACTAACCCTAACCCTAAGCCTGACCCCTATCCTAACCCTAAACTTAACCCTCTCATGGGGGATCACTCACCATGCGCTGGCCGCTCATCACCTCGAGCAGGTCAAGGAGGCACGCCCCATCTCTAAGGTCAGAGAACAGGTCCAGCACTGTTGTGGGAGGGCTCCTCTGGGACAACACAAAGAACAACAACTATTATAATCCATGAGGTACTATAACTCATATGATGACTTGGGTGAGACAAATTGATTGGCTGATCCAAAATATTACAAGAGATGCTGAAAACGCACTACCTCTTCATGCTATTTAAACTTTTTATAAACACATCAATGAACCTACAGTATATGAATCATACTGGAGCAAATTATATTTTGGGCACAGAAAAGTTGAAATCAGTGAGGGGGCCTTGTGTATATAGGTCTTCTTACAGAGGTAATAAGATATAATAGATCACAGGTTATCCCTTTTATGATGAGAGATTGAAGTAGTTAGAATCTGGTGCTGAGCAACGTGGATGTGGGGGTGGAGGTGGGAAGGGGGGTCAGCTCACCTTACAACCTGCTAGCCTGCTCCTCTGCCCAGGCTCTATTAATACTTTAGCCCCCTGTCGTACAACCCCCCTTCACTTCACTGTGCAATGAGTCAGCATTTGACAGGCTGCTGTAAGTCAAGTCTAGTAGTACTAATGTCCTAATGAGCCCTTCACAACAGTGAAGGCAATCACAGAGCTACGCGCAGTGAGAGATTTAACAAGTTCTCCCCAGAGGCACGACTCGTTTCAAATAAATATAAACTACCAGTCAAAAGTTTGGACACACCTACTAATTTTTACTACTCATTTTTACTATTTTCTACATTGTAGAATAATAGTGAAGACATCAAAACTATGAAATAACACATATGGAATCATGTAGTAACCAAAAAAGTGTTAAACAAATCAAAATATATTTTATATTCTTCAAAGTAGCCACCCTTTGCCTTGATGACAGCTTTGCACACTCTTGGCATTCTCTCAACCAGCTTTATGAGGAATGCTTTTCCAACAGTCTTGAAGAAGTTCCCACATATGCTGAGCACTTGTTGGCTGCTTTTCCTTCACTCTGCGGTCCAACTCATCCCAAACCATCTCAATTGGGTTGAGGTTGGGTGATTGTGGAGGCCAGGTCATCTGATGTAGCATCATCACTCTCCTTCTTGGTCAAATAGCCCTTACACAGCCTGGAGGTGTGTTTTGGGTCATTGTCCTGTTGAAAAACAAATGATAGTCCCACTACCCTAAACCAGATGGGATGGCGTATCGCTGCTGAATGCTGTGGTAGCCATGCTGGTTAAGTGTGCCTTGAATTCTAAATAAATCACAGACAGTGTCACCAGCAAAGCACCCCCACACCATCACACCTCCTCCTCCATGCTTCACGGTGGGAACCACACATGGGGAGATCATCCGTTGACCTACTCTGCGTCTCACAAAGACACAGCGGTTGGAACCAAAAATCTCACATTTGGACTCATCATACCAAAGGACAGATTTCCACCGGTCTAATGTCCATTGCTCGTGTTTCTTGGCCCAAGCAAGTCTCTTCTTCTTATTGGTGTCCTTTAGTAGTGGTTTCTTTGCAGCAATTCGACCATGAAGGCCTGATCACGCAGTCTCCTCTGAACAGTTGATGTTGAGATGTGTCTGTTGCTTGAACTCTGTGAAGCCTTTATTTGTGCTGCAATCTGAGGTGCAGTTAACTCTAATGAACTTATCCTCTGCAGCAGAGGTAACTCTGGGTCTTCCTTTCCTGTGGCGGTCCTCATGAGAGCCAGTTTCATCATAGCGCTTGATGGTTTTTGCGACTGCACTTGAAGAAACCTTCAAAGTTCTTGATATTTTCCGTATTGACTGACCTTCATGTCTTAAAGGAATGATGGACTGTCATTTCTCTTTGCTTATTTGAGCTGTTCTTGCCATAATAGGGCTATCTTCTGTATACCACCTCTACCTTGTCACAACACAACTGATTGGCTCAAACGCATTAAGAAGGAAATAAATTCCACAAATTAACTTTTATGAAGGCACACCTGTTAATTGAAATGCATTCCAGGTGACTACCTCATGAAGCTGGTTGAGAGAATGCCAAGAGTGTGCAAAGCTGTCATCAAGGTAAGAATCTCAAATATAACATATATTTTGATTTGTTTAACACTTTTTCAGTTATTACATGATTCCATATGTGTTATTTCATAGTTTTGATGTCTTCACTATTATTCTACAATGTAGAAAATAGTAAAAATTAAGAAAAACCCTTGAATGAGTAGGTGTGTCCAAACCTTTGACTGGTACTGTATATACTTTATATATATTTTGGGGGGGAGAGTTTTTATGTATTTATTAAGATAGGACAGTGAAGAGGAAACAGGAAAGGTGGGAGATATTGTGAGTCAAATGGGCAGTGGGTCGGATTCAAACCCTACTCTGGTATACATGTTTGCCGGAGTCTGGGATACTAACCGCTGGACCACACAGGCCATACTCCTCATGGTTTTAACCTGAACACATCAGAGTCATGGAAGTCTTCGACAGTAATGACAGCTGATTTCAGTTTTTAGCAACAGATCTGACAAGAAGTGTCTTTATAGTCTCATGACTATAAACAATTATCTTTGTAAGCTTATGAAGTTGGCTTTGTGCCAAACAGTGGCTTGAGTGTGTGTATTTTGTATGCTGACCTCACAAAATGATAATAAAGTTATAGTATATTACGCTCATAACAGCATCATGTAGAGACTACACGAGGGATGTTTTACGAGTGGTGTTACCGGTTAAGTTTGGACAGGGCGTTGCAGATGAGAGTGGTGAGGTTATCCATCTTAAAATAGCATGTTTCAGTTCAAAAGCGTCTCCTGAAAAGTAAAATGGACGGGGGAGCTGTGACGATTTACAGTTGAAGTCGTAAGTTAACATACACTTAGGTTAGAGTAATTAAAACTCGTTTTTCAACCACTCCACAAATGTCTTGTTAACAAACTATAGTTTTGGCAAGTTGGTTAGGACATCTACTTTGTGCATGACACAAGTCATCTTTCCAACAATTGTTTACAGACAGATTATTTCACTTATAATTCACTGTATCACAATTCCAGTGGGTCAGAAGTTTACATACACTAAGTTGACTGTGCCTTTAAACAGCTTGGGAAATTCCAGAAAATGATGTCATGGCTTTAGAAGCTTCTGATAGGCTAATTGACATCATTTGAGTCAATTGGAGGTGTACCTGTGGATGTATTTCAAGGACTACCTTCAAACTCAGTGCCTCTTTGCTTGACATCATGGGAAAATCAAAAGAAATCAGCCAAGACCTCAGAAAAAGAATTGTAGACCTCCACAAGTCTGGTTCATCCTTGGGAGCAATTTCCAAATGCCTGAAGGTACCCCGTTCATCTGTACAAACAATAGTACGCAAGTATAAACACCATGGCACCACGCAGCCGTCATACTGCTCAGGAAGGAGACGCGTTCTGTCTCCTAGAGATGAACGTACTTTGGTGCGAAAAGTGCAAATCAATCCCAGAACAACAGCAAAGGACCTTGTGAAGATGCTGGAGGAAACAGGTACAAAAGTATCTATATCCACAGTAAAACAAGTCCTATATCGACATAACCTGAAAGGCCGCTCAGCAAGGAAAAAGCCACTGCTCCAAAACCGCCATTAAAAAAGCCAGACTACGGTTTGCAACTGCACATGGGGACAAAGATCGTACTTTTTGGAGAAATGTCCTCTGGTCTGATGAAACAAAAATAGAATTGTTTGGCCATAATGAACATCGTTATGTTTGGAGGAAAAAGGGGGACGCTTGCAAGCCGAAGAACACCATCCCAACCGTGAAGCACGAGGGTGGCAGCATCATGCTGTGGGGGTGCTTTGCTGCAGGAGGGACTAGTGCACTTCACAAAATAGATGGCATCATGAGGAAGGAAAATTATGTGGATATATTGAAGCAACATCTCAAGACATCAGTCAGGAAGTTAAAGCTTGATCGCAAATGGGTCTTCCAAATGGACAATTACTTCCAAAGTTGTGGAAAAATGGCTTAAGGACAACAAAGTCAAGGTATTGGAGTGGCCATCACAAAGCCCTGACCTCAATCCTATAGAACATTTGTGGGCAGAACTGAAAAAGCGTTTGCGAGCAAGGAGGCCTACAAACCTGACTCAGTTACACCAGCTCTGTCAGGAGGAATGGGCCAAAATTCACCTAACTTATTGTGGGAAGCTTGTGGAAGGCTACCCGAAACGTTTGACCCAAGTTAAACAATTTAAAGGCAATGCTACCAAATACTAATTGAGTGTATGTAAACTTCTGACCCACTGGGAATGTGATTAAATAAATACAAGCTGAAATAAATCATTCTCTCTACTATTATTCTGACATTTCACATTCTTAAAATAAAGTGGTGATCCTAACTGACCTTTAAATTAGGATTAAATGTCAGGAATTGTGAAAAACTGAGTTTAATGTATTTGGCTAAGGTGTATGTAAACTTTCGACTTCAACTGTATCTCCAGATATCTATTTGTGTCTCTTCTCTCTTTTCATGTTCATAACTTAAACCTATTCAAGTTATATCTATCCAGGCAATCACGTAATGTTGCTATACTCCATCTTAGACTCATGTTGCCTGACACACACACACGAATGCACAGACGCAAGCACGCATGCCCACACATACACAGACACACACACATACATACACACACACACTGGACTTTCCATCTTTAGACTCACCTTAGATAGTTGAGCATTGATCCAATTGGTGAAGGTTCTCTTCTGAATCTGTTCTTGCTCCACTATTGGGAAAAGAAAGACGCTACATTACATAGTCTGCATCACAAATGGCACCGTATTTATAGTGCACCACTTTTTACCAGGGCCCATATGGCTCTGGTCAAAAGTAGTGCATTATATAGGGAAGAGGGTGCCATTTGGGACACATCCAATTGGTGGTACAACTGGTGGCTAGAGTATACATTGGTCGAAGAGTCAAGAATAATTTGAAATTAGTTGTTTGTTCCAACATAGAAGAAAAGGGTCAATATTGCAGAAATATTTTAATAAATAGCATCAATTTTCTGTGTTACAGTATGTCTTGTTCACACTTTGAGTATGATGCATTCATCAGTGAAATCACCATGAATTTTGCAGTAAAGTTGAATGAATCAGTCAGAAATTCTCCATTGCATATGATGTATGCAATATCCATATAACTTTCACAAATATAGACTGAAAAACACACGTTAGCTCTTTAGACAACTGCTGTCCAAATTGTGATGCGACTAAATAAGGCCAAACTTACCAAAGTCAGAGTATTCAGGGACCTCTGTCTCCATTTCAGATTGTTGACCCTTCATTCTTAAGCTGCCCAGTGGATCATGACCAGACACAAAACTCCACTTATGACCCACTCTGTCTCTCTGTCTCTCTGTCTCTCTCTCTCTGTCTCTCTGTCTCTCTGTCTCTCTGTGTCTCTGTGTCTCTGTGTCTCTGTGTCTCTGTGTCTCTGTGTCTCTGTGTCTCTGTGTCTCTGTCTCTCTGTCTCTCTGTCTCTCTCTCTCTCTCTCTCTCTCTCTCTCTCTCTCTCTCTCTCTCTCTCTCTCTCTCTCTCTCTCTCTCTCTCTCTCTCTCTCTCTCTCTCTCTCTCTCTCTCTGACTCTCTTCTCTGTCTGACTCTCTTCTCTGTCTCTCTCCTTGAGTATCAGTGTATCATGACCAGACACAAAACTCCACTTACAACTCAAAATATCTCTCTCCCACTCTCTCTCTCCCTCTCTTTCTCTGTGATTGCCGACAGATTCCTTTCAGACCATTCCTTACAGTGGGGCAAGGTTTCTTCCTGTGCTAATTAAGGATAGCTAGAGACAGCTTTGGTTCTGGGATCTGGCCAAGGTGTTCATGATACATGACGGGACAGGCTCCAAAAAATGTAAGACATACTCACCACACACCCACACCCACACACACACACACACACACATACACACACACACACACACACAGGCAAAAAGGGTTTATAGGGCCAAAAGACTGCACCAATATGTGCTCCAAGACTGTGACACACCTTTCTCTCTCTCTCGCTCTCTCTCACACAGACACAAAGACACATTCTAGAGGCTGGTGGGATTATAACTAAAGGCTGCCTCTCCATGCCTCTTGGTCCTAGGCTTTGGGATAGTTAAAAGGCCAGTGCCATAGGACCTGAGGGACCTACTGGGTACATAACTTAAAAGCATGTCTGACATGTATTGGGGTGCACAATCGTGGATTGATTTAAAAACCAATAGAATAATCTTTAAATGAATTCTTAAACTCACAGGCAGCTAGTGCAGAGACCTTAAAACCAGTGCAATTTCTGCTCTCCATCTGGTCTTGGTCAGTACCCGTGCTGCAGCATTCTGTATGTTTTGCAAATGGCTTTCTTGGGTAGACCACACAGGAGAGCATTATAGTAGTCAAGCCTCTCTGTATCAGTCTGAGAGAAAAACGGCCGCACCTTGGCAATGTTCCTCAGGTGGTAAAATATATTTTGGTCACATTCCTAATGTGTGATTTGAAATTGAGATCAGAATCTAAAATAACACCTAGGTTTTTTATCTTGTGTTTTATCTTTATTGCCCGTGAATTAAAATGTGCGGCCAGATTCTCTCTCTGTGCTTTGGCTCCAACAATAAGTACCTTGGTCTTGTCTTGATTTCGCTGGAGGAAGTTGTGAGCCATCCAAGTATTTAAATCACTAATAGAGTCTAATAATTTATCCGTGGAGCTAAAATCCTCCGGTGACACAGAAATGTAAAGTTGTGTATCGTCTGCGTAGCAGTGAAAATCAATGCTGTGCTTTCTGATAACGCTGCCAAGGGGTGACATATATAAACTGAACAGTACCGGACCCAAAATCTAACTTTGTGGAACACAATATGTGACAAAAAACTCTCAACTGGTTAAATAGGTCCTAAAGCAATTTAGAACTGGACCTGAGAGGCCAACCCACCTCTCCAGTCTGTCTAGAAGGACATCATGGTCAACAGTGTTGATTGCAGCACTTAAATCCAAGACACCCCCTCCTGTCCAGCTCAGGCGTTCGGCGTCGCCAGCGTTCTAGCTGCTGCCAAACCTGCTGCTGGCAACGCCCTTCACTCATCAACCCCAGACTTGTCTCGTCATCATTACACACACCTGGTTCCAATCCCCACTCTATCACTGTCATTTGTCTTTGTCTGTCATTGTATATGTTGCTTGTTTTCCTGAGAGGTATCTCTCCTACTATTTCCTGAGTACTTTATATTTTGCACTGTGGGTTTCATCCCACTTTAAGCTATGGTGCTTTAATAAATTCAGTAGTTCTAAACCTGCGACTGCCTCCTGCCTCCTGCCTACTCCTCTCTACACTTGTGACAGTTCGGCATCTGTATTGGCTCTAAGATTTTGCCTAAGAATAGGTTGGAGATTGGCTGAAAATATCTAAGCGCTGAAGAATCTAGAATACTAGCAGTTTTTTAGAGCAGTGGGGAAAGTGCCTGTGAACAGGGAGTGATTAACAATAGCTTGCACTTCTTCAGATATGCAATTAAAAGCTGTTTTGAAGAAGGTGGGGGGGATAGGATCGAGAAGGCTTAAGTTGTAATATCACTTTCTTGAGCATGTCTGTGTCAACCAGGGAAAATAAATCCATAGTGCCTTTGCGTGGTAGGCTAGGACACATCATCAAACTTCTAATCAGGTCTTGACTGATACCAAGCCTAACGTTTGTTATCTTATCTCTGAAATATGTCGCAAACTCATCACATTTAGATGTGTAGGAAAGTTCACATAGATTTGCAGGGGTAGGATTTATCAGGCCATCAATGGTTGAGAAGAGTACTCTCAAATTATTCTGATTATTAGTGATCAACTTAGAAAAATGAGCCCGTCTGGCATTTCAAATTGCCTTATTATACAGTACCAGTCAAAAGTTTGGACACACCTACTCATTCAAGGGTTTTTCTTTATATTTACTATTTTCTACATTGTAGAACAATCGTGAAGACATCAAAACTATGAAATAACACATATGGAATCATGTAGTAACCAAAAAATAGTTAAACAAATCAAAATATATTTTAGATTTTAGATTCTTCAAAGTAGCCACCCTTTACCTTGATGACAGCTTTGCACACTCTCAACTAGCTTCACCTGGAATGCTTTTCCAACAGTCTTGAAGGAGTTCCAACATATGCTGAGCACGTTGGCTGCTTTTCCTTCACTCTGCGGTCCAACTCATCCCAAACCATCTCAATTGGGTTGAGGTTGGGTTATTGTGGAGGCCAGGTCATCTGATGCAGCACTCCATGACTCTCCTTCTTGGTCAAATAGCCCTTACGCAGCCTGGAGGTGTGTTAGGTCATTGTCGTGTTGAAAAACAAATGATAGTACCACTGAGCACAAACCAGATGGGATGGCGTATCGCTGCAGAATGCTGTGGTAGCCATGCTGGTTATGTGTGCCTTGAATTCTAAATAAATCACAGACAGTGTCACCAGCAAAGCACCCCCACACCATCACACCTCCTCCTCCATGCTTCATGGTGGGAACCACACATGCAGAGATCATCCGTTCACCTACTCTGCGTCTCTCAAAGACACGGTGGTTGGAACCAAAAATCGGACATTTGGACACATCAGACCAAAGGACAGATTTACACCGGTCTAATATCCATTGCTTGTTTCATGGCCCAAGCAAGTCTCTTGTTCTTATTGGTGTCCTTTAGTAGTGGTTTCTTTGCAGTAATTCGACCATGAAGGCCTGATTTACGCAGTCTCCTCTGAACAGTTGATGTTGAGATGTGTCTGTTACTTGCACTCTGTGAAGCATTTATTTGGGCTACAATTTCTGAGGCTAATAACTCTAATGAACTTATCCTCTGCAGCAGAGGTAACTCTGGGTCTTCCATTCCTGTGGCGGTCCTCATGAGAGACAGTTTCATCATAGCGCTTGATGGTTTTTGCGACTGCACTTTCAAAGTTCTTGACATTTTCCGTATTGACTGACCTTCATGTCTTAAAGGTTGGAGTGGCGCAGTGGTCTAAGGCACTGCATCGCAGTGCTAGCTGTGCCACTAGAGATCCTGGTTCGAGTCCAGGCTCTGTCGCAGCCGGCCGCAACCGGGAGACCCATGGGCGGCGCACAATTGGTCCAGCTTCGTCCAAGGTAGGGGAGGGTTTGGCCGGCAGGGATGTGGGTTCATTTCCCACGGGGGGCCAGTATGAAAAAAATTTATAAAACGTATGCATTCACTAACTCTAAGTCGCTCTGGATAAGAGCGTCTGCTAAATGACTAAAATGTAAAACAAAAAATGTAAATGTTAAAGTAATGATGGACTGTCGTTTCTCTTCACTTATCTGAGCTGTTCTTGCCATAATATGGACTTGGTCTTTTACCAAATTGGGCTATCTTCTGTATACCACCCCTACCTTGTCACAACACAGCTGATTGGCTCAAAAAATTAAGAAGGAAAGAAATTCCACAAATTGACTTTTAATGCATTCCATGTGACTACCTCATGAAGCTGGTTGAGAGATTGCCAAGTGTGTGCAAAGCTGTCATCAAGGCAAAGGGTGGCTGGTTTGAAGAATCTCAAATATAACATATATTTTCAGTTGTTTAACATTTTCTTGGTTACTACATGATTCCATATGTGTTATTTCATAGCTTTGATATCTTCACTATTATTATACAATGTAGAAAAGAGTAAAAATAAAGAAAAACCTTGGAATGAGTAGGTGTGTCCAAACTTTTGACTGGTACTGTATATGCCAATTTGTTCTCTCAGAATATCATAATGGTTCTGCAACTTTGACTTTCTCCACTTCCGCTCTGCCTTCTTCAATTTCTCTTTCATTAATTAGTTTCCTCACTCATCCAATGGGCTCTCCGTTTGGATGTGGCTTTTTTCAACTTTACTGGAGCTATGGCATCAATGGTTGCCCTTAATCTGCTAGTGAAGTTATTAACTAAATCATCACAAGAGGAGGGCAGAATAGGTGATGGAGTATTGTTCATACACTCAATACAATCTGTAGCAACTTCAGAGGTAAGATAGCTTTTCTTAATAATGTGTTAGCACAGTATTACCCTGGTAGTAGTAAAAAAAAATACACAGTGGAGATCAGACAAAGCAACATCAACAATAGAGGATATGTCAATAGAAAGCCACTTGGTAATAACCAGGTCCAGAGGATGGCTGCGGTTATAGGTGGGCACACACAGGCAAAGGGGGTGCAAAGAACTGCACCACGTAGTCCCCAGACCAGGGCCCATATCTACAAGACATCCCAGAAAAGGTCCTAGGAATCCTGTTAAAACCCGTTTTAATACAATAAAGCACTCCCAGCTCAGAGTAGATTTTAGGATGATGTTAAGACACTGCCCAGACACTCTGAGCCAGGAGTAAAATCAACTCATAAAAGTTTCTCACCTGGTAATCATGACCGTTTGAGGTATCGCAAAGGAAAGAGTGATAACGCTCATTGGCATTGTTGCAAATGATGAGGAATAACCAATCGCAATGAAGCATCGCCAGCTGTGAATTCTATAACACGCCTCAACCATCAAACATTGCAATGGTAAAACGTTTGATATAATTTTTGACTAATACGTTTTTTTTATCAATTCTGATGGCTGTTAAAAGCAGAATTTGTATAATAGGCAATTACTGTTATATCAACACAACCGTTTAACAACTCTAAATAGCTTTGGCTCAGTAGGCATCAAATTACTTGCCAATAATGTTGCATAAAACATTTGAAAACTTATTTGTAATCTTAAAACAGGTTTTAACAGGATTCCTATGACTTTTTGAGACGCTTAGTGTATACGGCCCCTTCCACCAAACATAGAGCACTCTTAAAGCTAGACTCAGCGATATGATGTAGATGCAGAAAGTAAACAGCATAGTGGGTACAACTTCTCCGCTGTTTTGGTGGCCTGGCTACCACGCTGTGAACAGCGTGAAGCAAACCTGTGCACATACACAGATACTGTGTGTGACTGTGTGAGAGCGAAGTCTTCCATCTCGCTCATCTCAATATCTGCGGTGCTGCTCGTGGCAATGAGGCTGAGTCTACCTTTAACTTCAGTTCCACTCCATTAACAACCAGAAATATTTCAGACCCAGCGACTCAACACTTTTATTGCATCAACAACAGCCATTAACCTTTTGAGCCATCCAACCATTATTAGCAAACTGTCAAACTTTCAGTTGTTTGACAGTGGCACAACATTGCATGGGAAGCTCAAGCTTTACAAGAGTGTATGACTCCATAGTGCATAACCATAAATATACAGTAGCTGAAGTTATTTCCCAGTCAGTGTTTGTCTAAGAAAGCAAAGCATAACAATGGCACTCTTGCTTGTTTGTATAAAGCCGGTTATGGCAGAAACCCCAGTGGTTTGCCTGTCATACAGGTAAAGATTTAAAAGCAGTTGAAGTTGCTCCTAGATACTGACCTAAGGTCATTTTCACATTTTTCCCCCTGGAGGAAAAATGCGAAAATGACCTTAGGTCAGTATACCCAGATCGAGAAAGGGCCTAATTTGCCATGGCTCAACCTGGGGTGTATTCACTAGGAACCAAACAGAAGCAAATGGGCTGTAACGGGGAGGGACCTACCTGAATTTGTCCAATAAGGAACACTAGATTTTGTTGCAAAATGCTTTCCGTTGCAAAATGTTTAGATTTTACGATTTGCACTAATGAATGCACTTCTGGTTTGGGATGAGTTTATGGATGGATTCCAACCTGAACACCTGGCTCCCTTCTCTCAGCTGGTTGTTCAACCACAGCAGGTTTTGTTTTCACTTTTTGCAACCACATGTCTTGATAAAAAGTCTTCATAAAGATTCCGCATCCCTGCTTCCTGAGTGTTTCTACCACCAGCCTTACAGGTCCCATAACAAAGTCAGCCTCGAGCTTTGCTACTATATCCACAAACTGTGTATAGAAAGAGAGAGATGTATTTAAGATGGCTACCAGAAAACAGCATCCAGTAGCCTTGACCAGCGATAAATCTTCACGGAAGCCCTTAGACATTGAAATTCAATATGCAGAAGGAACTGTTGCATCATGTGGAATGATCTCCAAAAGTCCTTAAAGTTGGTGGATTTGGTGCCCATAGGGCAATTCAGTCGGATGTTAGAGGGCCGTTTTACTGAAGAATGTGTTTTGCTTTTCGTGTTTGCTTTTTATGTATTGTGTATATAGATATGTATTGTCATTGTTGTATTGTGTAATTGTTGTTTATTGATGTGTTGTTTATTGCTGTTTGCTAGGTCGTCATTGTAAATAAGAATTTGTTGTTAATTGACATACCTGTATAAAAAAAGGTGAAATAAATGAAAAATGATGTCACCTTAGACACAAAGGTCACCTTAGACAACCGTGACTCAGAATGACTATCCCCACACACCGACCACTTCGTGGTCATAGCAAATTCCTCGTAGCCTGGCAACCATGTGACAGCGAGCAGTGTCTGCTTGGGCCGAGTCTAGACCACACTGAAGATAAATTAGCTAGAAAGAGAGAGAGCAAGCGAGAGAGAGCGAGAAAGAGAGCGAGAGAGAGCGAGAGAGAGAGAGAGAGAGAGCGAGAGAGAGAGCCACCCCTAACCTTCATCTCTAGGCAGTGAGAGATCTACAGTATCTGAGAGGAGTGGATGGGTATAAGATGAAAATTAGATCTATCAGAAAGCAAGGTATTGCCATATTGCTTACACCAATCCAATGCTTTGAGCTCTACAAGAAAGTATTGGCATAGGGGCTTGGTCTTTATTGGCGATGTATGAAACAGTGATAAACGTGTGACTTCAGCCCTGTCCAGAAACAACCCATCATCCCTGGGCACTGAACAAATTGGATCGGTATAAGTAATATGATAGTAATTCCACTTTTCTCACTGAGGTGTAGTGTCAAGGGGGAATTAAATAATGTTTGTCAGGGCTGGGCAATTTTGATGAGAGTGGAGGCCCCAAAAAATCTGAACTCATCATGAGGGGCCACAGTTGCTCGCGGGTCTGCGTACCCACATCCATACCCCTCCCCCCCACACACACATATTGTGAGCAAAACATTTTAGAGGCCCCCCACTTTCATGCAATTCTACACATTTTGCCATGGGGTATAGAGAAAATGTTGCCGTTTTAAAGCAAGTTTGCTGCAATTCTACACATTTTGCCATGGGGCGGAGAGAAGATTTAGCAATTGTATAATATAAGGAAATCAGTCAACTGAAATACAGTAATTAGGCCCTAAACTGTGGATTTCACATGACTTGGAATACAGATATGCATGTTGGTCACAGATACCTTTAAAAAAAGGTAGGAACGTAGATAAGAAAACCAGCCAGTACCTGGTGTGACCCCCGTTGATCAGGCTGTTGATTGTGGCCTGTGGAATGTTGTCCCACTCCTCTTCAATGGCTGTGCGAAGTTGCTGGATATTTGGGGGAACTGTAAAACGCTGTCGTACGTGTCGTTCCTGAGCATCCCAAACATGCTCAATGGGGTGACATGTCTGGTGAGTATGTCCCAGGAAAAACTGGGACATTTTCAGCTTCCAGGAATTGTGTACAGATCCTTGCGACATGGGGCCGTGCATTATCATGCTGAAACATGAGGTGATGGCGGTGGATGAATGGCACAACAATGGACCTCAGGATCTCGTCACAGTATCATTCAAATTGCCATCGTTAAAATGCAATTGTGTTCGTTGTCCGTAGCTTATGCCTGCCTGCCCATACCATAACCCCACCGCCACCATGTGGCACTCTGTTCACAATGTTGACATCAGCAAACCGCTCGCCCACACGATGCCATACACGCATCTGCCCGGTACAGTTAAAACCGGGATTCATTCGTGAAGAGCACACTTCTCCAACGTGCCAGTGGCCATTGAGGGTGAGCATTTGCCCAGTGAAGTCGGTTACGACGCTGAACTGCAGTCAGGTCAAGACCCTGGTGAGGACAACGAGCATGCAGATGAGCTTCCCTGAGACGGTTTCTGACAGTTTGTGCAGAAATTTTTATCAGCTGTCCGAGTGGCTGGTCTCAGATGATCCCGCAGGTTAAGAAGCCCACACGTGGTCTGCGGTTGTGAGGCCGGTTAGAGGTACTGCCAAATTCTCTAACAATAAGTTGGAGGTGGCTTATGGTAGAAAAATTTACATTAAATTATCTTGCAACAGCTCCGGTGGACATTCCTGCAGTCAGCATGCGAATTGCACGCTCCCTCAACACTTGAGACATCTGTAGCATTGTGTTGTGTGACAAAACTGCACATTTTAGAGTGGCCTTTTCTTGTCCCCAGCACAAGGTGCACCTGTGTAATGATCATGCTGTTTAATCAGCTTCTTGATATGCCACACCTGTCAGGTGGATGGATTATCTTGGCAAATGAGAAATGCTCACTAAGAGGGACGTAAACAAATTTGTGCACAAAATTTGAGAGAAGTAAGCTTTTTGTTCGTATGGAACATTTCTGGGATCTTTTATTTCAGCTCATGAAACATGGGACCAACACTTTACATATTGCGTTTATATTTTTGTTCAGTACAGTATATTTTATACTAAATATAATTTGACTAATTTGAGTCTCACATCACTGTGGGCTAAGGGTCAAGACAGAGAGGCTGACCAAAGATATTTATAACTAACCCAAGATAGTTCATCTGTGTCGTTAACAGTGGGAGAAATGAAGCATAGTGGGCAGAACAAGCAAGGAGGTGGGCAAACCCAAGCACGAGCTAGCGAGATCCTATTTGCGCGTTGTAGCATGTATTTGTATTTTTCAGTTAGGGAACGCCTACTCAGTTTGACCTTGCACTCCTAAACAACGCCATTTTTAAAAACTTTGGCAAAGTGTCAAGTCTATAAAACTTGTGCACTGTGTTCATAAGAGATTCTAGTTTTGGGAACAGAAAACTTTATTGAGATCATATATTTCATCGATGAGAAAATTTGCAGAATGTCGGCCCAATTTCACCTAGTTCCATCCTCTCCCACTACCCGCGACTGGACTTCCTCTCACTACCATATTTGGTGGTAGGAAAACATTCTGAACGGATGCTTCAGCTTTACAGCCCCTGTGACGTGTCTGGGTTCCCCCTTCTGTCTGTGGACTGACCTTGCAGTAGCATGTGGACGTTATCAATGTCCAAGGGGATGACTCCATCGTCCAGGGGGGCTTCCTCTGGGTTTAGCCCTGACGCCATATCTCCTGAGTGGGGAACCGATCACCAGGTGAGTCCTGGCAGCATGCTGGTGCTCTGTTGAGATAGCAAGGCATACAGGACAATAAATAATCTGAATTATATTTACTGTATATAACACACTTTCATTAATCACACCCACACACACACGTCAACCTAGTGGGCTCCGAGGAGAGTACTGTGTACACAAACTGTGTACCAGTAGTACATTAAATAGACATGGTGTCACCACTGTGAAAACTCCCAAGTCCCAAGAATATACAGTAGCAACAGCAGGTCAAATAAATGAAGTTTAATACAATACGAGTTGCAGCAAGCTGAACAACAATCCACATATGAGCAGAAAGATTACAAAACATTCAACAATATACAGGTACATACTAACATAGCTTAAGTACAAAAAAAACATATACACATAGGATCAACAGTGGAAACACGTATCTGGCTATAAATCTTTGTCCAAAAGAAAGAGTAACAGCCTATGTGTTGTGTGACACAAGTATTTAGTCAGCCACCAATTGTGCAAGTTCTCCCACTTAAAAAGATGAGAGAGGCCTGTAATTTTCATCATAGGTACACGTCAACTATGACAGACAAAATGAGAAAAAAAATCCATAAAAACACATTGTAGGATTTTTAATGAATTTATTTGCAAATTATGGTGGAAAATAAGTATTTGGTCAATAACAAAAGTTTCTCAATACTTTGTTATAATAATAAATAATAATAATAATAATAGTTATATACCCTTTGTTGGCAATGACACAGGTCAAACGTTTTCTGTAAGTCTTCACAAGGTTTTCACACACTGTTGCTGGTATTTTGGCCCATTCCTCCATGCAGATCTCCTCTAGAGCAGTGATGTTTTGGGGCTGTCGCTGGGCAACACGGACTTTCAACTCCCTCCAAAGATTTTCTATGGGGTTGAGATCTGGTGACTGGCTAGGCCACTCCAGGACCTTGAA